GGACGCCGACTTTGCCGTCTCGACCGATCCGCCGGGCGCGGCCGATGCGCCCGTCCTCATGTTCAACTACGCCGGCGCGTATCACACCGGCAACACGGGGGGGCCTTTTGACGCGGTCCGTCTGCTGGCGGTGGAGACGTCCATGGAGGATCCCCGGAACATCCGGCCGTCGGTGCTGGACTTCAACTGCGGTGCCCGGGACGGCGTGATGGATTTGAGTATCTTGTACAGTCGGGCCATGCACGCTGAGGAGGATGTGTATGCGTTGTTGATGAGGTGGAGAGAGGCTGTCGAGGAGATTGTTGAGGAGTGTACTAGTTACTGAGAGAAACGGGCGGGGTCTTCATGAAGGTCAGGTCAGGAGCAATGCTCCATTCTATCTTGATTGCATGTCAAGGAGAACATGTCCTGTTCAATCAGCAAGGCAAGCTGATGTGTAGTGCGGTTCGTCACTTTCGTTCTGTTGACAATATTTCCATCTCTCTGCTTCCTTCTTACTTTCTGGCTTCGAATATTGTAACGAGATCCCATGAGCCCAGGTAAAACGAGGTAAACGACAACTGCTGATGATGATAGCAGGATGGTACGTGTGAAGAAATGCAGACGGGAGAGAAAAAAAGACGAAGACCCGACCCAGGCGGAAAGTCTCATATTCTCTTCTATAAAAGGTGGTCTCTAGAGATGCACGTCGGCTTCTATTTGGTAGTCCTCCACGAATGAGTAATTGGGACTTGAAGGATCATGTCGGGATCCGGGAGATGCTGCATGAAGCGCCTGTAAAGAAGAAGACGCCTTGGAGGGCAATGAAGGGTATACCGTTGATGGATAAGCAGCTTTGATGAGCGAAGACAGTACTACCTAATGAGGCTTTCCAGGGCTGTCATGATTGATTTCCCAACCTGCTTTACCTTATCAAATTTGTTTGACTTTTCCCCGGGACCATCGAAGTATTATAGTCGACTGTCATAAGAACAATTCTACTTATAATTCTATTGCGATTCCCTCTTTCTACTAAACAGCAAGACTGTCACTCCTGTATACAATTTCAGGTCTTAGGGGTCGGCTATTCTAGATATTTCTTTACATTATTGGTAGTTGGATGGTCTGGGTTCTCAAGGTGGGCAACACGCTTGGTACATCGCCTCGAATCACGTGGGCTGGATTCCTTACGAACGCCGACAGTGACTGATACAAATCGGCAGACGCAGTCTTGGGGGTGCAGTTGTACATATCATCAATCTTCTCCGCCGGCTACAAAAACGAGGAGGGTGTTCACCTCTAGCCATGCGAAAGCCGCCATCCTACTGCTTTTCTCTTGCCTCTCAAAAGCCATACTTCCCTTCCTTCATCTCCCTCACTGCCTGCGCAGCCTTGGGATCCTTCTTTTGCAAAAGCCTTTCATACGAGTCAATCATCGCGTCCTGAAGCACATTCTGCTCCCGCCACTCTTGTATCTGACTTGGCACCACAGCCCCAGTGTACACCTTCTGCGGGTGCTCCATCGCCAGTAACCACAGGTCTATCAACTCTGTCGGCTGCATCACAGACAGCGCATAGAGTTCACTCCAGACCAGGTTCCCAAGGATCCGCATCTGCCCGGTGTAGCCAGGCGACTTTGCCTTTCTCTCGTCGGGGACGGATGACGGCGTGAAGTCCGCATCGATGGCGAGGATATGAGGGCGGAAGTCCCTGGGGAGTTTGTCTTGGTCTTTTTGCATGTATGAGCTAGCACTCCAGGGGTCAAGCATGAGAAAGCTCGATTGGTTTAGCAGAGGGTGTTGCGTGCGGAGATTGCGGAAGTGGCTGCGTGATGCTCATGGCTGGGGTTAGTGGGGTTCCCGCATGATGAAAAAAAAAAAAAAAAAAGTAGATAGGGAATATAGTGGACATTGAGACGAACCTTCGCACGGCCTCGGTATCTTTAGGATCGATACCCAATTCCCTGCAATCGAACCACTCGAGCTTCAGGAGGGGCTTCACCTCCTCCGCGCCCGGCTCAAGGTCGCCCCACGTGGCCACATGCTCTTCCACCTTTGCTCTGACCAACCCCCACTCCTCGTCGGAGATGTCATGACATGCAGCGCGGTAAACGGCGAACCCAACGGTCTGCGCCCCGGCATTTTCTAGTGAATCGGAGATTGTTCTCACACATTTTCGGAGGACCCTATGGATCCACGGAGCCGGAGGCAGCTCCGTCAGCGGGGGCGACAACGAACCGCGCATTTCCAAGCGAAGTTGATCCCGCGCCTCCGTCTCCAATGATCTAATTCTCCGTATGCCTGCGAGGGCCCTCGAAAGTTTCTCGTCTTCACTTATCTCGCTCATCTCGCTGGCCAGCGGGATCTCTAAGTCAGGCGCCGCGTGCAGCCGTGCCTCGAGCACCTCAGGGAGCCGTTGCGCATACGCTTCCTCCATGTCCCGTAGTTGCGGATGATGCAACCCCGCCACTATGCCAGTGGGCACTCGGTACCCCTTATACCCCTCCAGGGGCATCCAGATCCCGACATCAGCGAGATACGTGATATCAGCGAGGAGGCGCCACCGCCGTTCGAACTTCGTCAGCCGAGCCAGAAGGTCTGTCTGATCAACAGCCGCCGTGTCGCAGAATTCAGCCACCATCCGCTCCGTCAACCTTGCCAGGTGGCCCACCACCCATGCGTGCGCGGTGCGGGTCATGACCTCATACACGGCGCACACGTATTCCGCCCACAGAGCGCGGAGATCGAGGGTGTCTGGAAGCTCCGCCAATTGATCCGGCCTCGCCCGCCGCCGCGCGTTCAGGGCCCACTGCACCTCGCCCAGCTCGTCGGAAATCAAGTTAAACTGGTCGCGAAGATTCGTGCTCACCTGTTTGATTCGCAGGTACTCGAAGACGACTCCCACGGCGGTCAGATGCTCGCAGGCACGCTCCAGATTTGCGGGGTTGTCGAGGTCTTGTTCCTGCCACTGGGCCCCGGAGAGCGGGACCAGCCCGTCACGGAGGCGGGCCTTCATCAGGTGGATGTTTTTGCCCACGAGGCAGAGGCGGGAGGGATCTTGGTGGCTGCCGCAGTGACCCAGGACCTTGCCTATCGCGCAGGTCACACTAGGGGGCGGACCGGGCGTATCGACTGGAGCCCACGCCGCGGTCGGCTCTTCCAGGAGCCGAGCTTCCATGGGTTGTAGGAGTGGGAGATTGGTGGTCGTGCCGTTGGGGAGGTGGCCGTCCACGGCAAACGCGACGAAGTTGGCGATGAATTGGGGCTCGTGGAACCGGTCAACTGGTGATAGATTTATCTGTTACCTCGGATGTCTCCATGCAAGATTGATGCAGAGGGAGTGAAGATAAGGCCGCCGTGCAGTACAGTACGTACCAATGGGTGAGTCTTGGCTTGCCCAGTGCGGCTGTGTGGGCCCGGATGAACGCAATGCGGTGGCATCCACGTTGGAGCTTTTCCTCTGGACTGGTGGCTCGAAATCGGTATGTGTGGCATATGGTCGAGCCACGTTTGACAGTCCGACGATCGCTCCCGATTCCGGGTGTAAGCGGGCGAAAGGGAGAAGCCTGGATCGTTGTTTTGGCATAGGCAGCCTGCCATGGTGTCGACGACTCAGCTGCCATAGTCTTCGCGATACTCGTGCTGCCATTTGGGCGGGTGAATTTGTGGGTCTGGGGTCTGGGGTCTGGACGGAGTGAGTAGAAGGGAATTGATCGAGAGGGGGGAGCAGAAAGAGCGGATGCCGATCTTACCCTCAGGGTCTCAGGGTCTCAGGGTTGTAGACGATGCACGGTACCTGGTGGGCTAACGTTACCCCTGGCCTAGCCTGAAGCAGACTAGGAAGGCGCGGCCCGTTCGGAAGTCCCAAAGCCGTGCATGGACATGACAGCACGTCAATCCTGGATGTCCGGCGCGCGGCTTAGTTATCCATGATGCTTTCAGACATCCCTCGGCTGACACTCCAGGGCCCTACGTTGGAAAAAAAAAAAGGTAATACTCCCACTACCTGAAAAATAGCGTGACTTCCTAAGTCACGGACGGAGTAGGTGTGACCCGTCTTCGTTCTATGTTGGCTAGGAGCCATTTCAGCAACGGTATACTGACAGCCTGGCTGCTAGTCCTTAACAGATGGATGGGTGGAGAAGTTCATGTCGGGACACTGATACTGGCAATAAATAAGAAGACCCAAAAAACATACAACAGAAGGGATTCGCTGGTGGTCACCCACCCAACTACTAACCTCCCGGCGTGTGGCTTAAGTACGGCTGAGCGGACGGGAAGCCCTGTTTTCCACACCCTGTGGTCGTATGTGCTTGAATGTATCCACTAATGGTTGTTATTCTACCATTCATTATGGGAGAGTTAGCTAACTCTGAAAACAAAATCGCAACACATCCTCTGTAAGGGTCGATATCTGTTTGTCCCTCACACTTGCCTTCGACCGACAAAGCTATTGCGATGAATCCATGAGGAGGGTATTTCTCCGGAACATTTAGTCCCTTAGGCCTTGTTGTTTTTAAACCTACAGGATGAAGTGGATTACCCTACTGGGCTTGTGGGTATATATTTCCCAATGCTGGTCGAGGATTTTCTCTCTGGGAGGAAAATTGTTGGGCGGATAATGCCGGCTGGACATGTATGATGCAGCATAATAGTGATTAAGTCCGAGCGGTGGTTCTGGGCCCATCGTCCTTTGTGGAAGGTCACTGTGACGGTATGAGGTGATACACACTCAGCTGCTATGTCAAATGTACGCCGCCGCGTGGCATCACCGTTTGCTCATAGGCAAACAGCGGGACAATGAGTAGGTCAGAAGACAGGATGAATCCCCCTCTTCTTCAAGTTGGGAGCCTGAGAAAAGCTCACTCAAAAGGATGACATGTGTCTAGCCACATAGACCGGCACTGGCCTTGTCGTTTTTTGCGCGCCTTTTTGGCTATAACTGCCACCACCTTAGCCACAATCCAGTTCATTCTTCATTCAACCCACATGCCACATTTCTGCGAGACTCACACCTCTACTATGCAAGCCATCATTATTTCCACGTTGCCCTTAAGTGACCTGAAACCCACTAGCCAAGCCGCAGCGACCATCAGCAATGTCCATCACCTGGCATCCTACAACTGGATCGAAGCACCCGAGCCTACCATCGCCGTTCCCGGGTGTCCCAAGCGCTGGACACCCCCCTGGCGACCTGGTCAATATGGGATCAAGGTCCCCAAGGACCCCGCGGAGGACGGTCATTCAGAGAACGCGGCGCGCCATCCAGCCAGCCCAATGGAGCCCCTTTTCCGCGCGCTGTACCTCCTACAGCCAGATCTGGATATTCGATGCGTTGACCTTGTGACCGACCGCAGCACCATCCGCAAGCTATTATCGGTCATCAACCCGAATCTCGACAAGAGGGCGCTTGCTACCCTTACGATCCACATTGAGCGACAGGGCAAGACCGCCCTTCTCTGCTGCGAGGAGGCGTCGACCCGGGAGCGTATACCTCGCACGCGGTTCCGTGGATACGGTCAGGAGTTTGAGAAAGCGACCACCACCAGTTGTGTCGCAGGCAGCACCAGTCACTACCGGATCACGTCCTACGACTTGGAAGAATTGTCTTGTATAGTCCGATACGAGGCTGATGGCTACGTGGAGCAGAGAGGAGGCCACGATCTGTCCACGATGCTGGTCTCGTTGAATATCTCCGACTCTCCAATTCCGATCCCCCGGCACTCATCATTGAGGGTTTGCGCAAAAGGCCTGATTATTCCGCTGGACTCCATCCTCGAGATCAAAACCTCGGCCCCCGGAAGAAAAGTGGAGATGGACAAAGTTCTGCCCCAGATGTGGGTGTCCCAGACCTCGCTGTTGGTTTGTGGCTCTTACGATAAGAAGGGCTTGTTCAGGGAGTGTTGGCCGAGACACGTTGGACGGGAGCTTAAAGAATGGGAGAAGAACCATCAGGTCGATCTGAAGCGGCTGGTCGCCTTACTGAAGTGGATTATCGCCTCGGTGCCCAGAAGTGGCCAGAAGGCGACGCTGGGTTACGATTCGCGTCGCGAGGAGCTCGTGATATCGCGCGCGGAGCGTCCCAATATGCTCCCGACTGACCTTTATGATAAATGGGAAGGTCAGAATCAGGGTGTTGTCATGCGGGGTTCGTAGCGCATGAGATTTCGATGGATGATGGGGGGAAATGAGATCGTGATTAGAGGGATGAATGGATATGTGCCATCTCTCAAGATCAAGAACACTCGAGCTCTGAGTGTTAGTCATCAATTGGCCGGATGGTGTAGTTGGTTATCACGTATCGTTAACACCGATAAGGTCCTGGGATCGAGCCCCAGTCTGGTCATTGCTTTTTGCTCTTTGCTCTTTGTAGAAGTCTGTCGAGGGTGTAAGGATTGCAATCGATGAGCGATGCGGTAGTCCATTTACATAGGAGACCAAAATGGACCATAAGCGGATTGGACCTTTTTCTAAATCAAGCCACCCACGGCGGTACCGGCCAGCAAAACGGAGGAGCGAGAGGCACGATGCTTGCATTAGTGTCTCGGGAGATTCGTTGTTGACGTGGCGCGAGTCAGATTAGGTAGAATTGGATTCCAAATGAAAAGGCGTCCTATAGGAGGACGCATCTTAGCGCCCGCAATCCTACCGACATGCGACAAGTGATAGCGTGGGAGATTTGGTGGGGGTATATAAGCGATCTTCGAAGCTTCCCATCGCCCTTTGACGGTCTGCGGTGCCCGAATAATAAGTTACACGCAAGGAGATTTAAGCTCGACTCTGTGATAATGGTAGATCCGAGTGGAGTCGACGACGTGGCAGAGGCTCTAGGAGCATGTGAACAAGGCATGCATTTCCCATACTCGCAAGTCGCTGTAGCGATTGGTGACAGGTATACTGACAGATCAGTAGTGGCTGAGCGGGAGCGCTTGAGAGCGGCCCTAAGGGAAGGCAGCCGCTTCCCCTTCGGAGGATCCGTGGAAAAGTACAACAGCATTGCAGCTAAAGGAACATGTCGTTGGATCTACCACACCAAGGAATTCCGAAACTGGATCCGGCAGAGACAAAGCGTACTGTGCGTTACGGGGTCGTTTGGGTCCGGGAAGTCGTGTCTACTCGCCTCGCTAGCGATGAATCCTTGGGGGTTACGGTCAGAAGTGAATCTGCCACCCCAGCCTCTTATTATCAGACTCTTCTATGATTCTCTGCAGATCCCAGATTTATCTCAGATATTGCAGGCTCTACTAGTCCAAGCAATCCCAGAAGAGGGGCTCACACACTGGGTTCACACGACTTCTGCGGGCCAACTTGACATGAGTATTGAGGACTTGCAGGATGCTCTCCTCCAGTCCCTAATCAATCTGGGTCAGGAGAAGTCGATATTTATGTTTCTCGATGATCTGACCGCGCTTGAGCTCGATGTCAGTGGGGGCTTGGTTTCGTTTCTCGGTCGATTGGTAGACCACGCTTGTTCTACTGATATTGCATTACATGTTTGCTACTCGAAACGGGATTATCCTATTGTGGAAGCGGCAGCCTCAACGTTTCCCACCCAGTTTCAAGTTCGGATCGATGCCTTCAATCAACAGGACATCCAGTCGTGGGTTCGTTATTCCTTGGAATCAACGTTTCGCCAAGGAGTAGTGGAGTCGAATGACTCGATCGAAAGAGCAGTGAGCAAGATCCTTGAAGAGGCGGGTACAAGCTTTGCCGCTGCGTCGATCTATCTACGCCACTTGGAGGAAAATAAAAATAACGTGCCGTTTCAGAAATTAGATGAGTGTCTTGAAGTGCTTCCCAGACCGCTTGAAGAGATGTGGTTGAAACTGTTGCGAGATCTGTTGACATCCAGAAACCCCCACGGGGCAAGGGCAATGGATATGATGCAATGTGTGCTGACGGCGCAAAGGTTGCTGAGTCCTCAGGATCTCTACTGTGTATGCAACATGCCCTGTGATATGACTGATTCGGATGTGCGGTCCGCATTAGTGGCGGACTCTCTGGGCTTACTCACCCTTTTACCGGATACAACGAACGCCATTGAGCCTGGAAAGCCAAGAGTTATAGTGTCCTTTGTCCAACCAGCATTGAAGGTGTTCTTAGCATCACCCGCAGCGGGTGCTCTCTTCACCGAAACACTGCATTTAACCCACGCCGACTTTGTTGCTGGGGACCACGGCCGCTTTGTCCAAGCGGGGATCAAATGCTTAAAGGAATTTCTTCCCGACTACCGTGATCAGTGGAAGGACTCACTCCCGCCCTTTGTCGGTGGGAGGTTATTTCAGGAGCCCAAACCTAGAAGCGCCCAGGTGAGCTTCGATCAGATCTTCAAGGGGTATCCATTGCTCGAGTATACCGTTCGCTATTTGTTCAAGCATGCTCGGGAAGCTCAACATTCTGATGACCTCCAAAATCTCGAGGAGACATCCCAAGATGGCTGCACGCTTCTTGCCGTCTGGGGTCATCTGCAAAACTGCTTGCAACGGATCGAGACCTACGGGCCCTCGGTCACGTTGCAGCATGTTCTTGCACGATACAACATGTCGGAATATCTGAAAAGGTACCAAAGTCTCGAGGTCAAGACCGAGAGCGCTCAGACGATTCTCCATTGGGCTGCTTTCTACGGAAGTGAAGAGGTTGTGGGCCTAGTGATCAATCGTACTGTCGAGACACAGTTAGAGGTCTTGTTGCAGAGCTCACGGAAGAAGCACCTGACTGGCACCCGTTGTCTCTACTTTGCCTGTCGCGAAAGTGAAGACGGCATGAGCGCGCTGGACATCGCTGTCCAGAAGGGGCATGTGAACATCGTTAACCTTTTACTGTCTTTCCGTGACAGGCTAGTACTGAGATTAGATAAAGACCACGAGGATAACAAGGGGTGGAGGCTAAGGCAGCCGGGGATTTTTCCTCTAGACTATGCATCATGGATGCGACGTGAGCTCTATGCTGCTTGGGAGACACATCTGAATGACAATACGCAGGGTAGGATTCCCGCTCTTCATCGAGCAGTCAAAAAACGGCTTCCTGTTATCGTGAAGAAATTGTTAGGGCATGGGGCCGACTGGCGGGTGCAAAGTGAGAGCTTAACACCTCTACAGATGGCGCTGAGACTGGCGGAAGATGAAAATCCGTTGCATCCGGCTACTAAGACCATCGTGCGGGTCCTCAAGGTGGAAGCCTTCGCAGTCCTCGACAATGCAACCTGTCTGGATTCCGAGATGGAACCAGTTGATCGGCTTTATGAAGCAACCGTAAATCACATCGACGGGCGAGATTTGCTTCGGAGTGAGGTTACCATCCCCGAACTTTTGAAAGAAAATGGCGTGGACCAGACTCGGTCGCCATTTACTTGGATCCATCTTCCCGCCAATAATGTAAGTCTTCTCTCAAGAACCTATCGCCACGCGGTAGCTGACAGCCCTGCAGATGAAGTGGGCAGAGGTACTTGACAACGTTGAATTGGCCCAACCTTGTGAAATGACAGCTCTGACATCAAACAGATCCTTATCTTGCAATTATTAGGGCAGCAGAAACGGGACAAGATGCTGCGCCACGAGCTGTGGACAAGCCGTCAGATACGTGGCTCTGAAAGGTCTCATATCTCGTTCATGAGGCCTGGTTGCGAAAAAATAGATGAAACAGATGACTTTGTGATAATCGTCAGTCAGATAAATCCAGACCGGCATTGAGAAGATAGTCGTGGAAAACTAAGCTTCTCTACTCGCACAGATGCCCTACCTCCACTGGGAGACCCAGAGAAAGCAACGGCGATTGGAGGCCTTCAGCCTCTGCAAATTTCTGCTGGAATCAGAGGCGGACAGAATTCCTTCCCTTGTGACGCAGCTATCTGCAGAGAATAATGACATCCTCAACACATTTGCGGAGATCCCGTCCAGTGATCCTAAAATTGCAGCTCTCGGTCAGGAGCTCCGGCAGTTTCTGACCACCGTGGAAAGTTCAAAAGCAAATAAAGTGCCTGCACAGGAGCGGCTCCAAAAGGCCCTACAGGCCTACAGGGAGGAAGCCTGCGCGTCAGATCGGGATATGCGTCTTTTTGACTCGTACACGAGTAGGCAGAATGTCAAGCATCCTCTTCATATCCGCAGAACGCTTGATCAATCGTTCTACTATACGTTAGACAACACATCTACGCGCAACAAAGATCAAGTTGTAGCACGTTATGGGAGAAAGGAAGGGAGAAAGGAACCCATCGTCATCATGGTAGATCAGTTGTGGCTCTGGTGCTCAGGGAGTAAGTGGACCCTGTTATGATTGTGGACAGTACCCTTTGACTGTACTAACGCACTCTCCAGACACTTTGATTACATGCTTTCCACAAAGACGCGAATGCAATCCTGATGACCCAGACCGGTTCGACATGACTGATATACTGGAAAACATCCTGCATCCAATCTCTCCAGATGTCAAGAAGAAAGAAGGCGGGAAAGGACCACTATGGCTGATCCCGGGCATTGTCAAAGAATGCGCCGGGGCATTTTTTGATCCGATGAAAAACGTGGATGATGGTTTTAGGTTTTTGGATATGTTCAGCAATTCAATCAGCCGGATAGTTGGTCGCCTTTCTTTCCATAGATGTCCGATTGTCCACTGACTTGTCCTCGTAGGCTGACGGAGAGGTTGCCTGCTACCAGCGCTTCGTCAAGATGCTACGGGTATCCAGTCAGCAGAATCTTATGGATATAGACACTGAGTCCGACCTTCTGCGAGAGATTAAGGATATTCTCGACGAACTCCGGATGATAAGGGTAGTTATGGAAGATCAACTGAAAGTCATTGCGGCCATCAGAGCTCCTTTCTTATGCGCACAAAAGTCTCAAGATCCTCGAGTCTGGGATGATGTACGGGAGTCGGTCGAACGCTACCTTGACAAAGTTCGGTCCATGCAGAACGAGGGACAAGCGACAGTAAACTCGGTAAGGATGAGGGCTACACCTTGGAAGTATTATATCGCCAACTAACGGACTCACTCTTAGCTGAATGCCTTGATGGACCTGCGGCAGCGCCACGCGACTCTCTGGGAGGCCAAATCCACCGGAATGCAGGGGAACACCATTACAGTCTTTACTGTAGTCACCATTCTCTTTGTGAGTTCGAAGTCTTTTGTGTTTTAGAAATCCGGCTTAACGGATGCAGTTACCTGCCTCATTCATGGCCTCTTTCTTTGCATTGCCCATCATGCAGTTCTCCAAAGCCGAGAGCTCGGACAGTCTCGACCTGTCATATGTGGTAAAATGGCTAAGTAAGTCGCATATCTCCTGAACACCAGAGGCCATATTCTCGGTTATGGAGAATTACCTCAGCGACTAACGCGAACTGAAACTCAGTGGCTTTTACCGTACCGGTCGCCCTTTTCTTCATTTCGATTGCCTTCTACATCAATGACATTCTGAATTTCCTGTCCCGGATTAGTGGGCATGAAAGACGAGTTGCTAGATTTTCCGCCGAGGCTTGGAAACAACAAATTGGGCAGGGCATCATCGCCCCTGAGCCGGATAACCGGCAGCTTCGTGACGGTTCCGAGACTGGGAACGAGGGAAATGAAGATGTAGTGTCACAGCACAGTCAGGACGAGCCGAAGGCTCAATCGGCAACTCGGCGCAGAAAACTGTTTCGGTTCCAGAATCGGAATACGGATAGTCCAGCTTAAGGCTGAGATAGGCATGGAAGATCAACCGGATGCATGTGTCGAGAAACCTTCTTCCGAGTAGGGAAACTCTCCATTATCACCGCGGTCACTGGGCCGGCCTTAATCAAGACTTCTGGTCGCTCCTAGTGTGGTTTGGGAGAATAAATGCATACCTCTATCGAATTATATCTTTTGCTAGACTTGGCCCGCACAATATCTACATTCCGGTTTGCCAATTCTCGTATGAATACCCGCTAATTGATCTACTATCTAGCTCCAGGGACATTTAAGCTTTGTCTTAGAAGATGGTATGTATATCATTGTTCAAGAGTGAATTGTTATAGTTTTACACATCAAAGTCTCTTTCTAGGTTCGTTTTCTGACATGGTTGCGGTGGGAGAGAGGGATCCGAGGAGCAGTACAGTACAATACACAAAGAACTCGGCAGATGCTGGATGAGATAGTGGTAATTTACGGTATATGACGATTGCCGAACTATCAAGTTGTCCAGCATGTAACAGCCACGGTCGGTTGCCATCGAGACATTGTCCACTATCAGACACCGAGTCCTACGGAAAAATATGAATAAGCTCGCACTACAGCCGTGCAGAGGATAGGATGCACTCGGAGTACCGCGACTTAGGGGCTAAACGACTCGAGTATGATGACAGGTCGAGTTGAAGCGGCCGGTATTTTTCGCAGCACAATGACTCGCCAAGAAGCTAGCCCTCCGGGGCCAAAGATCCAACAGCACAGCCCTTTCGCCGTGCTTACTGCGCGACAGACGTTTCTGGGGGCGTAAATAAGGAAATGAGTTCCCGCTCGTACGCCGGTGATGAGTTCTTTGTATATAGGTGCAGGAAGCCTACCGGGAATAGGACCAGTAGAAGACCCCTTGCGAGCGGCAACTTTGCCTCTGTTTTCCCGTCGTCGATCTCGATCTCGTGATTAGGGCTCGTCGTTCATGCTAACTTGCACTCATCGCCCCCAGTGTAGCCTGTGTGGGTCCATGGGCTATACGGTCGGACTCCTCAACTTATAAAATAAGTGGGCCGCATCGCCTCATCATGACTGCTCATTATGCTCCCGCTTCAGCTACAGACGCATACTGATGATCAGGTACGATCAGGGGGATGTCAGGGGGGGGAGGGAGTCAACTGGCCAGATGGCAAGTGTACCTCCGAGTCCGTACGGCCCCGTTACTCTTTCAGCACGGCTATTCTGCCGCCGCAGCCCTGCATCAAAATGAGGGGGCTAAAAACAATCCTTCCCCACTCGGCCGTGGCTTGGTCTAAATAGGAGTCTGTGTCCTGTCAGATCGCCCCTCTTTCGTTCATCCCGATGATCATGCTCCCACTTATAAGATCAGTTGTCGCACTGACCGACTGCGTCTCAACCAAACCCATCACTTAACCACCCACCTTGGTGCAATGTTCCCCTTGTCGCATTTCCGCCAATACCGGCGACGAGGCGCAATTGTCTCCCGAGCCCTAATACTCGTCGTGCTGATTATCTATTGCGGCAAGGCCACTCTGCGCACACGACAATTCCACCCCGTGGAGCAGGACGCGCAGTCCATCCAGAAAAGACTGGAACCCAGCCATGCCATCCCTGAGAAAGCTCCATTACAACAGCCGGTCGGTCTGCTAGACCCTCTGCCAACCGTACCCCCGGTACCCCCGGCACCCACCGCGCACCCTCAAGCAGCCCCAGACAACCACAACCTCACTCACCACCTCGCAAACCTCTTCGCTGCACTCCCGGATGAACCCCACGCTCACACCCTCACCAGCCCGTTAACAGCGACCGGGGAAGAGAGACTACGCGACCTGGGGTTCCGAACGCGCGCCTTCGACGCCCTCTTCCGCGCCTGGGAAGCCATCCACCTGGTCCCCACCGAGACAAACCAGATGCTCATCCGCGACGACATCGTGCGGGTCCTGCGCGACCACCCAGAAATCTCCGCGGACCTCGACCTCACCCCCGCCAGCGCGATCCACGCCTACGAAACATCGCGCAGCTTCCTAACCCAACTAGCGAAACGCCTCTTCCCATGGATCACCCCCTACTCCGCGGACCACATGACCCTGCACGCACAGTTCCACGACGGAGGCCGCGGCCTGGTCTTCACAGCCGGCAACGACCAAGCGCCCTACCTCGCGACCTCGATCCGCGCCCTCCGCGCCCACGGCTGCACCCTCCCGATCGAGATCCTCTACCTGGGCGACGAGGACCTCGACGAGGAGATCCGCGACGAGCTCGAAGCCCTGCCCGGCTCCGTCGTCACCCGGGACCTGAGTGTCATGGTCGACGACGCCGGCTGGACGCTCCGCGGCTGGGCCGCGAAGCCGTTCGCGATCCTGCTGTCCAGCTTCCGGGAGGCGATCTTCATCGACGCGGACGCGCTCTTCCTGGCGGACCCGGCGGCGCTGTTTGACGACCTGCTGTACCAATCCACGGGCGCGTTGTTCTTCAAGGACCGGCTGTTCATGCCCGGAAACGAGAAGCGGGCGTGGCTGCGCCGGGTCCTCCCCGCGCCGGTGTCCCCGCGCGTCCGCCAGAGTCGGATGTGGACCGGCCAGAGCATCCATATGCAGGAGTCCGGGGTGATCGTTGTCGACAAGTGGCGCCATTTTGTGGCTTTGTTGATGGTCACCCGTATGAACGGGCCGGATCGCGATGGCGATGAGAGTAGGGGGTTGGTGGGAGTTTATGATATGGTTTATGGTGAGTTGGTTTGCTTGTGTTTTTTCATGGGGCATGTTTGCTGACGAGAGATGCTTTGTCTTGTGTAGGGGATAAGGAGACCTTCTGGTTGGGATGGGAGCTGGTCGGGGATACCGAGTACGCGTTCTATGAGGGCGCGGCGGCGGTCATGGGCAAGCCCCAGGTGAACCGCGACAACATCACCACGGCAGAGGGTCAGGAGCATGACTTGAGGTATACTGTGTGTGCCCCGCAGCTGCTGCACTTGGGCACTGATGGAAGACCCCTGTGGTTCAATGGGTGGCTGTTGCCCGATAAGTTCTCGGGCGAGCAGCGTCAGCCGACGAAGTTCGAGGCATTCATTCCTGAGCCCCCCAGCGCGGAAGACAGCGGCTCATGGCAGTTGCATGACAGCAACGTCTGCTGTCTGTCGGCAGACCAGGTGGTGTACTTCGATATGGCGGAGGAGCAGGCGTTGGATGGGTTGATTGAGATCGCTCGAGATGTGGGTGCGATCGGTCACGCGTAGTAGGACGGGATCGGCAAAGAAGCAGAAGGCATGCAAGGGCTTGGCCGTCCATAAGCAAGGATCTGAAATGCGCTGGTCCCGGGTAGTGCATGACGAGCATATCTAAAGCGTGTTCAGAGCACTGTTTACGAAAGACGAGCCTCCTATCCCTGAGTCATACGCGGCCCGGGATACCGTCAAATCAGGTCTTTCGACAGAAGAGAAGCGCGGAGCAACTGCGGGCCTCTCTGCGATCCAACAGAATTCAGTCCGTGGACATCACGATGGATTGGTTTTTAGGGGTAACTGTCCACATTCTGGGGATTTGCTGCAGTTGCATCTAATATCGCAGATTTCCCACAAATAATGCTCCGGGCTGAAAAGGGATGATGGATCTCAACTGAGCCATTTTGATCTTGGCCGCGCTGCTGAACTACCGTCGCACCTATGTCTGTTTTCGCGGGGTCGTTCTTCCGTCACGAAGAATATCAAGGGACTGACCACCTAAGACGCTCTGAGCAGTAGCCCATTACGCACTCGGCTATAACCTCCTTCTCAACACCCGATCCAAAAACGAGAACAAAGGAACCTTTTAACCTAATACATATGTAGTAAAAAAAGTGTATATAGACTATCAAATACCGATTATCAGTATTCAGGAGGGTGGCCAACTAGAGTGAAGATGTATACATAGTGTGCCGCCGAATTTGGACTTAGAGCCAAGTACCCGACAGACTTTCTAGAAATCAGTGGGGTAATCCGCAAGCGCTTCATGAATTATGCCTTCCACCTGCCCTCTTTACTGTCTCTCCCATAGAGATTTAACAGCACCCGTGTCAAGATGGTCGAATTAAGGTGCAGAGGGGTCCGAAGCAGGCGCAAACGGGACCACGGCTTCTGTACTCCTGGACATTAACGAGGCAAGGCGGACCAAGGGATCAGTGGCGCGAGAGGAAAGCCAAACAACGACGCTGCGTGCTCATGAATGTATGATCGAAAAGAATGTTCTGTGGGGAATGAATGGGAACATCCTGCAAGATTCCCAATATATGGGACTGAAGAAATTGTCTCCAATGTGGTGCTGGAGTCCCCACGGCGGAAAAATCTGTTTTTTTGGCCGATCTGTATATCTTTCTGTACAGTTCCTCGCCTGACCGCCGCGTGTATATCGTTCCTTCTACATAGCCTGGAGTCCACTATATTCATGTTCCCCAACACTACTCCGTGTAAAGCCAGCCGGGACAGCCTGGGGTGGGAAAGTCTCGGCATGCTCAGGACCATCCAACCCCTGTGTTAGCATGCTGCTTTCGGGCCGCTCGGACTCTATTCGAAGTGATTCAAGAGACAGCTGAAACTCGTTGGGGGAGGTCTTGTTACTTGAAGAGCGGAGGCGTGCAGATACCTTCTGAATATGTTTGCTTACTTGATTTTTCAGCCGCGTTGCACGATCTTTTCCCTTAGCTCCGAGGGAAGAATGTAATTGAGACAGAGCGAAATTGCCATGAAACGACTTTCCTTCGGGCCGCAACGCTCTCGCCATGCTCCAGGCTCTGCGCACACCCTCATGACGGTCCGGAGGGAAAATGCAGCATGCGAGCTGGAGGATTTCATCCGAGGGGCCGGGGATGGCATCACAACGGCGTCGTTGAAGCTCTCGGCTGGCTTGGCTCAAGTCATTGAAATCCAGTTGCTGCACTTCCAGCTGTGTGGAGCATTCATCCAGCTGCCAGAGACCTAACTTGCTATGTTGATTTGCTAGCTGGGGGACAAAGAAGCGGTTGTGTGCCGGGGTTCTATTCGGTGGATTGACCGACGGTCCTGTCAAGCGGTCCCAGAGGTGGATGTTAAAGTTAACTTTGTCGCCATCATGGGACAAATAGAAATTTATGAAGTCAAGGACGCCGTATAGCTCGCTCGCATCGAGAGGACGTTCGATTCCATGACTGGATAAGTCGCTGAGTGGCAGCATCTGACTAATCGCATCGGGAATCATGATGTAGCGAGAACCTACAGAGCCAGCGATGCACACTATCGCGTTCATTCTCGGCAGCATCCTCGCTACGTGTAGTGCGTCCATGACTTTGTCCGATGTGGAAAGAGGCCAATGTGCGGAGTCGAGGATGGCACGACAGAATTCCGCTATCATTTCTGCACTTTCTGCGCTTGTGTATTGTGGCGAGTTTGGGTGTAATATATCAAGGAAGGACAAAAGCGAAGGCGGCGGGTGCTGGACATCGATGTTGACGAACGACTCGCCCACACCGAGATATATAGCCCAATTCAGACTGTGTACGAGGCGAATTGCCCAAAGCCTGGCGTTCTGAGCTAATGCCATGACGGTGGAGCCATCAATTGTGGGCCACTTGAGCCGGTACAATGGCGACCTCCGGCATAGTGCCCTGAGCATGGCCATTGGTAGCGTCTGGCGGGTGTGGCTGTGCTGACTCGCGACCGCCTCGAGAAGTTCCGTCACCTGGGAGTGCTTGTGCTTATCCATGGCCTTCAGTATGGCATAGAGCCGGTCTAACAACCGCCACTCACCACCCCCGATCGGCATCCCCAGCAGCTGACAGTCTTTCTCGATCCATGTGGCGAGTTCGAAGTAGCTGCTCGCCATTGTGTCTTTGTTCGCGGCGCGCCGGTTCAGCCGCTTGGCTGTGCTGGCCTCCAACTGCTGCAGCGCAGCCTCTCCGGTCAACACAATGCCATTGATAAGATCCAGCAGACGCTCCTCGTCGTCGGATATTCCTTCTCCCTGCGACTCAACCGGCTTATAGATCATGTCATGTTCGATCTCCGACCACACATGCATCACGAGCGTTCCCACCTGAATCTCGACCACAACGTCTTTCCATGCATATCTCCGATCGTCGGGTATATCCTCCTCGCGCAGCTTGACAGTAAAGTGAGTCGCTTTGTAGCCCGAGAAGGTCCTCGCAAACCCTCGTTGCAATGGGTCATTGACCTGAGCAGGCCGATGGACATGATTGTTCACAGACTCTGGGGTCTGGAGGTAGTCAATGAGCTCTTGCAATCGCCTTGATCTCTCCCCGGAGCCTTGACGCTTGTTTGCCATTTTGACGACCTGGACACGATCTTGTAAGATGGAAGCGACCCGCTCCACGTCTCCCGGGAAGTAAAGAGAGACCCGCAACCCGCCGAAGTCCTGCAGTGCGGCGAACATGTCGGCGGGCGTCTGCAGAGCCATCATCTCGTTCTGTGGCGTCTGCAGGCCTATCTCTCGACAGTATTCTTCCCACCGACGGCCCTTGGCTTCGACGGCGGCGCGCAAACGCCGCCATAAGACCATCTCATGGTGCTGTCGGCGGATACTGCCTTTGGCTGACTCCCAAGACTTGATCCGCTTCGTGATTGGTGTGTGACGGATGTTGGACGCAGCGAGGGAGGCGGCACACACTTCCAGAACTTCATCGGTGTAACGCATCAATGTGTCCACCTTGGCCTGAAATGCATCGTACATGTTACTCAATCTTTCCTCAAAGCCATCCTCTTGGTCTTCGCAATTCTGCGAGCCTTGGTTGCGAGCCTCGTTCGGAGGCAAAGACAGCGCCATGGCAGCAACAAACCGGGCGACAGGTGATTTTTTAGTTGCGGTCGGATTTACACTTGAAAGCGGATAGATCCAGACTAGGCCCGTTTTAGGATCAGTGTGTACTGAATGCGACACGACACAGGCAAATGGGAGGTGATAAGGAGGTACACAATTCGTCGACAGTTTCACTGTGTCGACAGGGAGAAACGGTGTCCGCGCCCGCCCGCCTGTGTGTGGAGAAGAGCAAAAGTGAGTGAGCGGCGGGGATGCGAGTAGTTGGACAGCTTAAGGCACCCGAGCAGGGAACAGATCATAGTTATTTTGAGAGTCAAACAGGAGATGAAGGTTAAAGGGGGGTGGAATGCGTGACCCATCTTCCTGCTTCTGGTCGAGGTGTGCCCAAGTAGTGGTCATTGGGCGGCTGCGGCGGGCACTTGGTTTGCTGACATGGACTCACGTAAAGGGGCAAGGGAAGCCCAGGTATTTAGCGTGTGGCTGAGGGTGGCTCAGAAATACATCGGTGGGATTCTAGAAGAGTGGTTGGGTGGCAAGAATCATTATCTGAGATCATCCCTGTCAATGGCACCTGGCTAAAGCCCTAAATGCAAAAGGTGGCCCCAGGCAGATCATAATAGAAAAGGGCACTTTAAGATACTTGTAGGACCTGTCAAAAACAGACGAGGCATTAAGAAGTGACAAAATTAGTTCATAAGAGGGCCGGCAAGACAGTGGAAGAGATGAATAAAAGTGAAGAATTACAAGATAAGTTCCCAAGACAGGGCAACAACACCCGCATGACACTAATCAATTAGTGACTGACCTAATGCAGTCAGCCACAGTTGTAGCGTATCTCCAGGCCTCAAGGCACAGCCCCATTCGCGACGCCCAACGAACAGCCACAGCGCCTGCTGCAGCACGTCTGACGTAACGGGGCTGACTTAGCTTTCGCCCTTGAGCTGTTCATGTTCGACCGATAAGGAAAATCGTGACCGGACCGGCGAGGGGTCAGGAGTTATCAATGTCTGGTGTCCCCGTTTGTCATGGAGGCTCGTCTGTGGAACCCACGATGGGTCTGACGGCATCCTCGTACAGCGGCTATGTAACCCACATGGCCGCTCGTAACCCAAGTCTGGAGGCCCTGTCTAATTTTCTCCTTCGCCCCTCCCCAGCTTTCTTTCGTAGCACAGTCAGTTACATCAAGATCATCCCAGAAAGAGTTCTGGCAGACGCAGGTCCCTTCCACCAGATCACGTGTACTGAGCTTGTTCAGAAAGTATCGGAACTTGAGGCGACCAGTGGTCTCGTCGCGATTATCGAGAACCTCCGACCCGAGGATGTGGAGACCCTGGGGTCGGCCTGGGACATCGATCCCTTTTTCTTTTGTGGTCACATCGCGTCCTCCTATCAGGTTGTCGAAGACGGGCCCCCTCCGCCTTTGATGGCCTTGCCGCCATCTCGGATCGCATCGCAGGAATATTTCAATCTCCACTATCAGAAAGTTCTGGACCTGGGTGCTGAGTCTATTCTGACCCACTTGCCGTACAAGCTTGGTCTCCCTGCGAATATACCCCGAATTGTGCGACGTCTCCCCGGTCTGTCGGGAAGGGCGATCGGCCTCGTGCGCAGTTGCTGCTCGGTTTTGAAGAAACGAATGCCAGGCGGCATATGGATATGTAAATATTCCCGTCGCACCCATTCTTCTGTCTTCCTGACCTTTTTCTTGTTCTCTTTTTTCTTTTTTCTTTTTCTTTTCCTATTTCGAAAATCTTTAGAGATATGTCTGCAAGCACTAAGACTCAGGTCAGGCTTGATCCTCGTGGACCCCACAACAGCCGATCTTGTCGCACGAAAACCTGGGAATGACGCCCCGTTCGAGGACCTTAGGGTTAGGATCCCCCAAGCCCCACGTCGGATCAATGTCGAAGATTTCTGCGACCTGCCCACTTATTCCACGTTTCGCTCCTCTGGGAGCGCAAAGGCAGACACGCGAGACCCAAACATGCGAGAGGATCTGCTGCGGCTCCTCCAGGTCCCGCCTCCGGACTGGGACGCAGACGATCCTGACATCCTGTCGCTGGTCTACTACCCGATCAAGATCGTGCTGGCGGAGTGGATGCTGTACGGCCTGGTGATGGGCCGGTACGTCAAGTTCTACGAGTACTCACTCCAGGCGGCGCGTCCCTGGGCAAGCCATTTTGAGCAGGCCGACGTGCTAGAACTCCACCGGTGGCGGCGCCGGAGTCAGCAGAGCCTGCACAAGATCCGAATGATGCGGCGGTTTGTGGAACACTGGGGGGAGCGACACCCGCCTGCACCGCCGGGAACCTGGCAGCATCTGCTGGTGGGTGATCTCCAACACCTAGAGCAGCAGATCGAGCTGCATGCTCGCGCTCTCGAGATCCTTAACCCCATCAACACTGCGTTGGTGCAGCTTCTCGACTCCCGCAAGTCCATCTCCCAGGCCGAGGACGTCAAGCGCCTTAGCCTCGTCGCCCTGGTCTTTATCCCGCTTTCCTACGTTACGGGCATATTCAGCATGGCCGACCGGTATGCTCCGGGGAGTGAACGCTTTTGGGTATACTGGGCGACCGCGGTGCCCATCGCCGTGGTCGTGCTATGCTTCACGTTTTTGACGGGGCGCATCCCGGAGCTTGTCCGGTGGGTTCACGGTTGGCGTGAATGTGCGTTCAAGGCTCGATGAAATGATTAGAGCGAATCTATTTACCTCTACTGTTGTGGATTTTGACATGCCTTACAGTGCGGTGTTTCTGGGATTCATTTATTGAACCATACACAACTACGAGTTCATTCATCCTCGATTTCGTACAGTCTATACAATATTTCTCTTCGCAAGTCACGAGGATTCAATACACGAAGTTGCTTCACCCCGGATACAATAAAGGAAGAGCTTGAAGATCCGGATTCAGGCTATCGGTGAGGGACTACTTACCTAGTAATGCTGTTCGCGCGACGACCCGACCGGAGCCGGGAAAGCTGATCAGTCAACTAAAGCGAAACCCCATCGCTATAAGTATTACAAATTGATTTGTGGTAATCGAAAAGTCTACTTGATCCCCAAATTCCATTAGATATATCACTGTTAGACCGGCTCTACCGCGCAATCAGACGTGGAAGCTTCTGTTTTTTTTTTTTTTTTTTTTTTTTTTTTTTTTTTCCAAACGTTCTGTACCGGGAATATAAAAAGCGGGTTGGCTTTCTAGCTTCCATGTTTGAATATCCAGCCAGCAAACACCCCAGTGGCCAAGGAAGTACGAATCATCTAGCCACACTGAAACTTGCAATAAGCTGCAGAGAATAAATCATTATCATTATCATCGTGCGTTGACTACAACATCATGCAACTAGCTTTCCGACCACTGGTGGGCTTCCAGTATATGGCCACTGCATTCACTCTCCCGCCTCCCCCACAGCGCAGAGCACAACCTCATGAATCCATTCCGAATGAAGGGCCTCATATGCTGTGATCCGGCGTTCAGGCTTCGGATCGAGCATGGCATAGATCACATTGCAGCAGCGATCCTGGTATCCTTTAGCAAACTAACCTTCCGTTGCTCAAGGCCGACCCAAAAACTTACACTTCCAAACTCCTCAATAGTAGTAAACCCTTCCACATCCTCCCGTGTCCGCAAATACCACTGAAAATTCCGATCCTCGTCGCTAGCCACCTTCCACAAGAGCATGCCCAGCCGCATAAACGCATAGATCAAGCCCACGGCCCAGACATCGGTGGCCCGGGGATCGTGCTCGTGACCACGCAGCACCTCCGGCGCGGTATACGGCACCTGCTCCAACGGGGGCTGCGCTTTTGGCAACGGTCGCGAGTCCTTCGGCAACCACTCGGCACTATCGAAATGCGCCACCTTCACCGCCCCATTCACAGTCAGCAGTACATTCTCCGCCCGCAGTCGTCGGTGCACGATCCCCTCGCCATGGAGGAACGAGACCCCGCGCAGCAGCTGCTTGAAGAAGCAGTCCGCCTCCACGGCGGAGAGCTTCCCCGTTCGCAGAAGGAGGGTCTGCAGACTGCCGCCGCCGCAGTATTCCATGACGGAGTGCAGATCCCCTTTTTCATTGTAGCAGTGCTCTATGGTGCGCACGACGTTCGGATGCTGGACGACCGAGGAGATGGCCATCGCTGCGCGGCGGTACTCGTCTAAGAGTCTTCCGGGGGAACGGTGGCGGACTTTGACGGCGTACAGTTTCTCTTTTCCCGAGTGCCTCGGTGTTTTCTTGGCGTACAGGCCCACAAACGTGGACGAGCCGTAGTGCAGGATCTTGATGCATTTCCCATACCGGTGGGAGAATGGTTCCGGCTTGTCGTCCCCCTCGGAAGTTGTGGATCGTGAGATTGCTGGATCGCTCGGAGTCTGGCGAGGGGTGTGATGGGTGAATGTGTTGCACAACTTCTCGAAGAGACCAGCGGGCTTCTCGGGTTCGATGAGATGGCGATGGTTGCCATCCTCTAAGATCTCGATGTGGTGCGGCTTTCTCTCCTTGGTGGACATGGCGAAGCCTGACCGGTCCGGCGAGGACGTTTCTTTGTTTAGATGTGCGTGTTGAGCTTGCTATGATCTAAACGACTTTATCCAGAACCAATGTGCTTTTGGGATCAATCAGGCGATGTGTCAACTCGATCAACCCTTCGGCCTGCAATATTAGGGTGACTATTTGGAGTAACACCAGATAATGACGCCATCTGAACAAGAAAGGTAGAGGAGAGGGTGGGGTGACTCTGGGAGGGATACAAGGATGTCGGCGTCAGCTGGAATGTGACGAGCCCCGACCCGCCCCGCCCCCGGATCACATGTGCACGCTAATCTAAAATGGTATCAAAGCACCCGTCACTATTCCGTAGTCACCCCGTCGCTAGTCGCAAGCAAACAGTGCAAACCCCGAGTATTGCCGCTATCGAGTTGAACGGGAACCTTTTCCCTTTCCCCCGCATCCAGCAAAGCTTAGCCAAGCTTGGTTTTGCAAAGTATGGAATCGTATGAGTACGTCATGCTCCAGCCACACTTACCCGGTTCCTGACACGATGAACATTCCCTACAGCGAATACAGTCGATGGAAAAGACTCCCGATGAAAGCGTTCACCACATATAAACAGTTGTAACATGCACAAACAGGAAAGACATAGGACTAAAAAGTGCTTGGCACACTTCACTCAACAAGCTAACTGGCATTCCGTTGAAAGCGAAATTTGGCGATCTGTCTTTCCTGAAGCAGTAGAAGTTTATCAGAATAAGAAAGTGAATGCAGTATTTGCAGAGTGACCCTCACTGATACAGAGGGAGTGTACGATGACTCCCCAGCAATGAATTACTCCAGGTTTCTCACCTTCCCCGCCAACCCCCAGTGGTCGTTGGAACGACGAACCTGCCGCCAGAACCAGGCCACATGCGCCTCCTGGTTGCGGGCCGTGTGCGGGGAGCGGGAACCCGCGCCCTCCGTCGGCGCCGTGATGGCCGCCAGTTCCTCCCGCAGCTGCTCTTCCAGCCGGGCTTCCTCGTCGTGCTCATCGCCGCAGTCAGCATCTGGGCGAAGCATACCACCCCCCGGTTGGGAAAGCCGTATCTCCGCGGTGCGGCGCCGCAGGGAGGCCCTCAGCTCCCGAATCATCCGGTCCTCCAGCAACGCCGCTACCGCGACCGAGTGAAATGGCCCCTCCTGATGCGGCCAGTCGCGCAGCGCCTGCATCGCCTCCCACCGCAGCCGGAAATCCTGGCAGCCGTCGCCCACGATGAAGAGGAGCGGGACAACCCCCAGGTCGACGGTCACCGTGGGTCGCCGGGGAAAGTCGGCAATAAATCGCTGGATCCGGCGTAGCACCGCGCGGTACTGCGGTGTGAACCGGCGCAGCTGTTCGGGGTCGTGATGGAGAGGCCCGGTCTGGACGACGAGCGAGATCGTGATCACCAGAAGCTCGAGGAGCTCGACCCCGTGCCGGGATTTGGGGGTGAGATCGTCGCGTTGGTGGAGGGTCTGGACCAGCTGCATCGCGGGCCGTAGCTGCGTGGCCAGGGCGAGCTGCTCCGCCGACAGTGTGGTGCGGGCTGCCTGGAGCTCAGCCGGGGACATGCGCCAGCACCCCCGCACGAATTTGAAGAGGCGGTTGTGGAGGGGTTCTAAGGCTTGGCGCGCGCTGTAGAGGGGGTCGTTGTGGGGTTCAAGCCATTGGTCGCCCTGCTGCTGCTGCTGTGGCTGATGCTGTGGCTGCGGCCACCATGGATCAGGAGTAGGGTGGATCGCCGTCTCGACCTTGTTTTCCTCTCCCCAGCGCCATAAGCCCGGCCCATCCATCCCAATCTGCGTGTCCAGGTGTCGAAACAGAGCGACCCATCGCCTGGATGTGGGACTCTGCGACGACGGCTCGCTTTCGCGGAGGATCTGCATTCCGGCCTGCAGATGCTGTAGCGCGGCACTGTAATCCTGCCAGATGATCGACACCACGGTGAACAGCAGACAGCAGAGCAGGGTCACGTCGCGGACCTGCGGGTCGTGCGGGTTGCGCCGCCGCAGGCAGGCGAAGGCCCGCGCCGACTGAGCGACGGCCACCCAGTACCAGAACCGCGGAGCACGCCCGATCACACCCCCGGCTTCGACCTGTTGGTGCACTGCGCCCAAGGCCACCACGGCATGCCAAACAGCAGGCTCCCGAGGTACCATCTGCAGCAGGAACTGCTGCCAGACGGCTGAGTCAAAGAAGCTGAGCGCATCCGGGAGGGTCCGGGCTTGGACAAAGCTGAAGCAGCGGCGCTCGTCGGAGGTGCTGGCCCACGGCACCGCCACCGCGATCGGGCCGGCCACAGCCGACGGGGGGTCCTGACGGCGGTGATTGGGCTTTTCTCGGTTGGTTGAAAGGGATAGCTGTCGGTAGGAATCGTACCCATCGCACTGGCGGCCAGTGGAGGTGCAGTTGCGGCAGCTGCCGGGGGTTTCGTCACACTTGATGCGTCGGGTTCTGCCGTAGATGATGTCCTTTCTAGTCGCCTTCTCCTGCAAGGTGTGGTGCATAGCTCGGGTTTACATACCGGCACGTGCGACAGCCCGTTCTCGATCTTTTAGATCCGGCCCGTCGAGGCTTGGCAGAGAGTGGTTTCATGGTGAGGCCACGATTCGCAACAGGCGTCGAAAGGATGTAGTGGGTGGCAAGTTGAGGTGAAGAAGTTGTGAAGTTGTGCGGGGAGACACTAGAGGTACTAGCTCCCTACTAGACAGGGATTCTCTTTCCAGCTACACCATTTTAGTACTAGATAGCGGAGTTGAAGGAATGTAGACTATGATCATTTTCGAGAACGTAAAGTGGTCTTCCGTAGACCGAGATCACGTCCTTTCCTCGGAGCGTAAGTGGAATTTCGTCGAGATAAGAAATGGCAAGCACTAACTAGATAGTGCTTTGAGATACATATGGCAGAAATTGTCTGACCCGGTGCCCCATCTCCACTTGGGCAAGATCGGCTTTGTAATTTTGATCAGCTTATGATTTCATGGTTCGTTAGATCTGTGAACTTACCTCATCCCTAAATACCATGGTTCCGATCAACCGTGGGGAAGGGCGCCGCTGCCCGTACTTCATAAAGGCGGGGGGGACACTTAGAGCCTCGACGTCTTGTCATCGGCATCGCAGTTATAAACATGCTACTAAAAATCTAGTACTTGTGTGTACATTATTGTGATCATCCCCCGAGCAATGATTATCCCACTGGAATGTTTTGAGTAAGTATCACACGTTCAGATGATCCGTTATGTATCGTCTCTACACGGATTGTCCCGCGTTTTGCATTGCTGTAAGAAAGGGTTGGCGGACGGGCGGACCGAGGTAAGCTGGGGATGATTAGTGAACATGCGTACACGAGATACTGTACAAGGTGGCAAAGGGACAGCGTATCGTTATTTTGTCTGCAATGGAGCCCAAAATCCCTCTGATGAGATACCACCTTCCATTTGGCCTCTAATCGTGACGCATGTCGCATGTTATTCTGCTATGTCGACCTTGTTTTCCTTGATTCCACCGATTATTTCCGACATATGATACTAGGTAGCATGGAGGAGTCTCCGTAGCGTGGTTTCGGACCGATAGGATTATCGTATTGTACCGTACCCTGAATATACATCACATCGAGAATTGAACCTCAACCCTGACATGAACTAGTGCGAATAACGCGCCAATCATTAGCAGGGGAAATGCCGAGGTTGAAATGCTTGCACTTGTACTGACAAGATGACGTGACCGGCAGGAGTTTGATCTTATGAGGTGCCTCTGCTGGCTCCAGGATAACAAAACTGATGTATTATTTGCTCTGACAACGAATCTTTCGGATCATTGACATCTTTGTACTGTGCCGTATACTGCATGCAGTTCGGCCCTTGATATCCTTGATCGAGGACAATGGCAGAACCCGCGCACTCCTCAGTCTTCGAAAAAGCGATCGCCGTGACCCCGATCGGTCCCAACACCTACTCTGCACGGTTTGACCCGGCCTGGTGTATTGGGAAGGGTAAGAAAAACCGAACCCCTCACCTGCGGTATGCAAGATCCCGGCAGAGGCTAACAACAGTGACTGGAATTGCCGCAGTGCCACACGGTGGCTACACCATGAGCATTTTTTATCGAACCGCGGCTGTGCACTTCGCTCGCAAACAAAGCAGAGCCGGGCCGGTTGCTCTACAACTGTCGTTCCTGCGACGGACACTCGCTGGTCCCGCTGTCTTGACCGTCCAAGAAGTCAAGACCGGGACGAGGATCAGCACGATCCACGTATCCCTATCACAACCCCGCAACAACCCCGGCCTTTCGCCAGGAACCACACCTGCAGTGCAGGACAAGAGGGACCATGAGCGTAAGCTCGAAGTGAAAGTGGTCGGATACATCACCGTGAGTCCACCAGCGTACGAAGTGGGTCCAGCCGTGACAGGCCCTTGGCAGGCTTCTTTCTCTCCGCCTGTGGTCGATTTCCGTGTCTTAGCGGAGAAAGGAGGCGACGGTGCATGGGTGCGCAACCAGTCCCCTCCGCCTGGACTGTTTGCAGCGGGACATGCGGAGCTCTTCTTCCCAGTGTCTACCCTCGCGTCAGCCAAGACACTGGAGGACCAGGTGAAGGGGGTGGTCGAGCAATGGGCGCGCTTCACGCCGGGAGGGGAACCCGCTCGGTGGTCGAATGAAGCCGTGCTGTACTTGGCGGATATGTTTCCTCCTGCATTGAACCGAATGGGTGCGATGGAGATACAGAGGCTAAAGCAGATCGGTGCGATTTCCGCAGAAGCTAAGGCTGGGCCGTTCTGGTATCCCTCCGTCACCTTGAATGTGGATTTGAAGACCCGGCTTCCGGCAGAGGGGGTCGAGTGGTTGCATTCACACGTCGTGACGCGGATGCTCCGTGGAAGTCGGGCGGACTTGGAGGTGGTCATCCACAATGAACAGGGGGAGCTGGTGTTGACAAGTACGCAGGTGGCTTTGGTGGTTGATGCGGCGAGAAACTTGAAGGGCAGGGAGGCTTCTGAGAAATTATAGTTCTGGTAGCATGATTTGCCTGTGTATGGACAATCACTTGAGCATAAAGCACTCGCTCACTAGCCGAACAGAAGGATCGGTAGAGTGTCGTGAGAAAGTGGGCGTAAGCAATTCACAATTCGTTCTCTGCACCACGCCGACGCTACACCCAATGCTGTTGCAGTCTGAGAATAAATGCCAATTCCTCGGCACTTGATCTATAATCAATAATGATGCCGAGGTACACGAACAAAAGGAAGAAAAGCAGGGAGCGTGCGCATCAAGAAGACCCAACCCCGGATTAAGACACGATGCACGCAGGGATGAGAATTAACATATAAAATCTTGCTCATGGCCATTCACCTGAATTACTTCGGTAGGCAGAAACCCATCTATCCACCGGACTCTCCATATTCCACCCCATATAACACCAACAATAGAGCAGAACAATGGCTCCAAGCACCACCTACCAATACCAACCAATCATAAACGCTGAGGCAGACCTCCCCACCGCCCGCAAACGCCGCGCCATCTACCTGCGCCCCTTCCTCCTCTTCTACCTCAGCTCCCTCGTCGCAGAGACCATTTTTCTGGCGGTCGGCGTCTTCATCATGAGCGGCACTCGCGACCTCTACTACAAGGTCCTGTGGACGCTCCTCTTCTGCCCGCTAGGCATGGGGGGCGCGATGGGCGGGCTGATTAACCTGTTCATCGTCGACCACCACTACGGCAAAAAGGCGGCGCATTTGACGGGCATCCTCTCGTTGCTGGTGCTCAGCAGCTGCAACTATCTGTGCTACAATCTGGATCGGAATTTTGGGTGGTTCGGGGCCACTGAGCATCCGATGTGGTTCCATTGGCGGTATCCGATGATCTGGGGGGTGGGGTATGCGAACGGGTTGCTGTTATTTACGGATGAGGGGCAGAAGAAGTTGGCGCGGTGGGGGCTGTAGACTGCTTTAGGTTCCTGCTGGGACTGGACTTCGCGGGACGCTGGAGACAATAAATAGCTAAGCGGGGTCTTGAAATATGCCACAGTTTTCAGGTAGTGGACAACTAGTATCTCCAGTGCACCCTATGCTATATACCCTGTGGAGAGAAGAAACAAATGATTGCTGAAGACATGAAGAAAAGCACGTCATCATAAGACATCCTGGTTGTAACAACTTTGGCTTGAGCCTTTGCAACACACGACGGTTGGGTGCTGAAGACTTTCTCTAAAGTATGCTTGTAAGATGTGTCTTATTAGACGAGGATACTCTCTTTCACCTGTAGCAATAATAGCAAATGGATGCTGGGGTCAATGTCTAGAATAAAGTTGATTATACATCACACCACGCGGGCTCCCCGCAATGGTGCACTGCTGTGGCGAACCGGGAATGAACTCAGACCTCGGCAGAGCAATCGGAATACTAATCAAGCTCTATTCCGGTAGATCGAGCTTTACGAATGGTCGGAAGCATCGTCACGGAAAGGAAATATAAAGATCTTGGCCCCTTGGTACGTATAGTAGGAGGAGTAAAGAGGATCTTCGCGCAATAAGTTAGGCCCTTGCTCTCACCTAAAAAAATAGGTATCTGGCTGATTCTGTTCTCGAGCGGTATGTACCGCACAGTATAAAGTTCTGGGCAAGGGGGGGGGGGGGGGGGGGGCCTTGAGGGACGAATTCCGCCTTTTTGTGGCCTTAACTTCTTTGATCACTGCGACGCGGAGCAGGGTGCTGCGTTGAAGGGCTAGGTAGGTGAGTGGATACGCTGGATGAAATAGAAACATATCGAAGAAGCTGAGAGTAGATGGGGAGGGGGAGTCATACTTAATCTGAAACAAACAAGAAGGGCTTAGTTCTCAGAAGCCTAACTCGGAATGCGTACTACCTCGGAAATAATTTCCAAATTTGATTATGGTGTCCAGGGGTGAAGCTCGGGATGACGGAAGGGGTGACGAGGCCACGGTCCACACGTTGAGAAGTGGAGCACCACTCTGTTCAATAATATTATCTATGTCTACTATAGGACAAACTAGATGCACATTAGCATCGAAGATGTTAAAGGTAAATGGAAAAAAGTGAACTCGCATAGAAAATGAAGACAAGAAGAAATTGGCCAAGTAACGCTCGACGGGGTAATCCGTGGAGACTCTCCCTATACCCCAGGGATTATACGGCGCTGGAAGCGATCCACATTTGGGGTCTAGTAGACAACAATTCTAGTAGACAGGCAGCTTGAAAGCAGGGAAAGTGTAGTAGAAAGTATCGGCTCCCTCGTCGTCGCTCTCGCACTTCCACGCATCCTTCTTCCAAACAGGCCGCTTGGGGAACTGGCAGAGCTGCTGCACCTCCCCATCGTACGCGCCCGCATCGACCGTAGCGTTGAGACCGGTAGGCTGGACCCCGCTCTCAACCCACTTGATCATAGTGGCCATGTTGTCCTCAGGGAAGGGGCCGTTGGGCTGCAGGCTGTTGCGGGCGCAGTGGGCGGCACCGGGCACCAAGTACAGCTGGTACCACTCCTTCATCTGCTCGATCGCCTTAGAAGAACCCAGGCTGGGGTACATAATCTTCATCACCGACTGCCAGTAGTGGACAGACGACGCGGTGGGGACACTGGGGTCGGATTCGCCGTGGTAGTGGATGAGCTTGCCGCCGGAGGACTGGAAGGTGGTGAGGTCGGGCAGGGTGGTCTGCAGAGTATCCATGTAGAGAATCATCGCTTCGTTCATCCACGAGACCAGAGTATCGTAGGTGACGTTGTTCAGATTATCAAGGTTATCGACGTCAAGCAGCTCAATAAAGCGACCGACGAATTCTCCGCCGGTGGAGGGAATGTCCAAACCCCAGGACTTGGTGGAGTTATCGTACTCGGTTTCGGCATCGGTAAACTCGGCACCAATACGGTAGGAGAGGTAAGCCCGCTCGCCCTGGGAGTTGAACAGTCCGTCGTAGATGGCCTGCGCGACGGCCACACCTTCCGCAGTTACATTACCGCGCTGCGCCGGAGTGGTAGTAGTCTGGGTGCCGTCGTTACGCTTACCAAAGTTGAACCCGAGAGAGGTACTGGTGGTCGCGGCGCAGTAATAGGACTCGCCGATCACGGAGGTCAGGTTGAACTCCAACTGGCACAGATCGGAGCGGGAGATGACTCCATCCGTGCGTCCATCGAGAGGATCACAGGCGCTGATGGTCGCGTTCACGATCTTCTCCAGTTCACAGGGAGGGGGGAAGTAGTCGAGCGTCTGCTCGACGACAGCGGAGAAAAGGTGGTTCACCTGCTGCTGGCCGTAGCGGAAGGCCGGGGCTCCGATGACGGCACCGTCGTACAGGTCTCCGTAGCGCTGGATCTGGCTCATACCTGGGACAAAACGAGAGGATCAGTATGTCCCAGCGTTCATTTGCATTGGTAAGACCCACCTTCTCTGCCGCCATCCGAGCACCCCTCGAAGTAAGTGTACACCTTGGCCTCATCGTCTAGGTTGTAGAACGCCCGAGTCAAAGGCTTTCCGACCGTAGTCATCTCACCCAAGCCCTTGTAGGCAAACATGAAGATTGGGTCCCAGTTGATGGTGCCGTTGCCGAGGAGGTTGACTTCGTCGACGGTGGTACCGGAGAGGGCGCCGTAGCCAGCATCGGTGGCACCACCCACAGCTCCATACTCCAGCCCTCCAGTGATGCTGGTGCTCAGAGTGTAGCCGAAGCCACCAGCCACGTAGAAGCGGTTGGCAAAGATTTCAGGGCTGGGGAAGCCGTAGTTGAGGACGACCTCATCGCTGCTGCCGGTGTGGACATAGGAAACCGAAACGTCGCAGTATTCGTAGCCGGAGCTGGTGGCAGTCTTGGCCGTCACGGAGGAGGGAATCATGTCAATGCCGAGGAGAGTGCCATTGGCAGGAAGTGCCGACTGGACGTGAGCGACGGTACAGAGAGTGGCAAGCGACGAGGAATTGGTGGCGCGGGCAGTTGCTGCCAGAGCAACGGCGGCCGCGGCAGCACGCGAGTATTGACGCATGGTGGGAAGACTTGACAATGGGGGAAAAAGAAAGGATAAAGAGAGTGAGCGAAGGACTGTTTGGATAATCAAGTCACCGTGAAATGAAGGATGGGAGCCTTTCTTATAGGAGTGTGCTGTACTGGTAGTTGTAGTACTACTCGGAGATACACGTGTAGGTGCAATTCGGAGATTAGATGGGAGATCAGAGGTCACCACTGCCAAGCTACGAACGCGCGTCCAGAACTGGTTCAGAACTTCAGATATGGTAAAGACCCACCGATTGACCCAGGGGGGTAATTAAGCTTCATCAGTTGTCTCACGATGAGGACTAGCCTAGACAATTAAGCTTAAATTCTTTTCCGTGCCGTCGTCCGGTGGCCAGCCCTGGTTACCTTCTTGACTATGCAAGCTGACTGGCATAGTGGCCACCAGGGCGTATTCAGTGTTTATGCGGCCTGTCATAACGTCAACTCACTCATTAACGTTCAATAAGATCAGTGCTTCAGGTTTTAAGGTTGCATTTGGAGCAGAAACATAAATTCGAAAAAGCGTAAGCCGGTGGATCTTAGGGTCCACTTGCCACCGGTGACCGAGAAAGCATTTATCCGGATGATGCTCCAGGCTCCAGGCTGCAGCCAATGCCTTCCGGATCAGGTTCGAATCCCGGTCCGAGATTCATCGGCGGTTCTGTTTCTTTCATCCCACCGAGAGGGTTAGCAGAAGCTGGGCTCGATTCAAGTTTCAGGGACTTGCCTTGTTCGGGCGGACGGCTGAATCTTCATCGATCATGAGGACGTGCTGAAACGGCTTGCACTGCATATTTCCCCACTTATCTTGCTTTTGGTACCTGAAGAGTCTGGGACATATGTTTACCATGCGGTGGGCCTGCGTAGAAGTGGAGGGCTATTTTCTTTCATTCAAGCACTCGACCAAATAACGGATACATATATTGGACACGAGTAATGGGGGAACAAGGCGGCGGATTGCATAAAAGGTGAAAGGCTTCGCCTTCGGCGATCAAGTGTGTGGTATGGCATCAGGAACGTTCAAAATATTGGTTCTAAACAAGGCCCATACCACCATTGAATTTCGTGACCACCTAGCCTCTACGGAGGAATTCCCAGCAGTCTTTTTAATGGCGTTATATGGTATTGCGCATCTAGGTCGCCTTCAAAAAGGCGGGTCGATTCTCATTCACTTTGCTGCCGGTGCTGTTGGTCAGGCTGCATACCCGCTAGCCCGTGATCGGGGCGCCGAGAGTTGCTCTTTGCGAGAAAGCTGGGATTTCCGGCGCCGGTGACTCTGAACCTCGAGACGACGTTGACGTTTGGCCCGCCGCTCATAGATACATCCTGTTGATCCTCATGTTCCGGGCAGGCTCGCTTTTGTTTCCAGATCATTGCCCAAGTCTCTGGTTAGCATCCTTTTCTCTTGCACGGGCGACCATTTTCTTTTGAGGTGATGTCGTAGGGCTTTGCCAACCTCTTCATGCATCCATACTAGTAGACGTATCTTGTTACTATATATATCGGACATGACCATGCCCGACACATTTTGCTGCCAGGGTAGTTTCAAAAGAAACATGAGCTTGTAGTAAGATATAGAATCAGCACTCAGAGAGCCCTCGAAGCGCATTCTGGATCCAGCGCAATTGACTGCGTCTGACATGGGATACTCCTGCTTGGCCGCTCACTCCTACAAATACTACAATTGGTATATAAATGCTGTGCTACATAATCATAGCACATACGACCACAGGGTGTGGAAAACAGGGCTTCCCGTCCGCTCAGCCGTACTTAAGCCACACGCCGGGAGGTTAGTAGTTGGGTGGGTGACCACCAGCGAATCCCTTCTGTTGTATGTTTTTGTCTTTTTGCAATTTCCATTGCCTACTAACGTTACTATTTATAAAAGCTTTGCTGGGTGTGTCTTGTATGCTTAAGTATTCCCCCTCAGTTAACCTCATCCCGTTCACAGATTCACTCTATCCTTGCCAACCCTAAAAACCTAGCCTCCGCGGCAGAGTCTTCAAGGAACCCCACATTCGACGCGCCCGCGGCTCCCTTCCCTTTGAACCCTTTGGTCCTGCCATCCGTGCAGGGAGCATAAGCATCTCGTTCCGCTCGGGCGAGCGCAACCCGGTATCCGTTGAGAAGGTCAGATAGGGTTGGTCCTGGGGACCCGACACGACGACCCCGATGCTGACGGGAAAGAGATGGGCGTCAACGTCATCCGAGGGCCGTCCCGAGCACAGCGCTTCGATGTGAGCGCTGCTTGCGCCCCATCCAGGGAACCCTGCCGGCACATCATGATGGTGTCGCACTAAAGAATGCAGCAGCAGGCCTGCCACCATAACGACCCCGCAGAGGGTTGCCAGAACAATGGGCAGAAGGGCGTACCCGACGGCCGAACCGGAGAAGTGCGGGAAGTTGACCTTCTCGCCGTTGGTGTCGAAGCCGATGGTCTGCACCACGAAGAGACTCTGTGAGACGAGCCAGTGTAGCAGGATCATGGCGATGGTCAGCGTGAGCGAGTAGGTGAGGGGCAGGGAAAGGAGATAGGACGAGCGCTGCATGCCCCGCGGGGTTGACACGCGAAGAGCCTTCTTCCCGTCCGGCCGGAGGAAGCGCACCCACTGGTCGGCGACGAGCTGGTGCGTCAGGATGTTGTTGTACAAGAGGTAGAGGAAGCTGACGAGGAGCTGGATGATGTTGGCCAGGAAGACGCACTCCATCAGGCTGTAGTTGCTTGTTTCGCTGTTCATGCCGAGGAAGCCTGGGTTGAGCCCGAAGCCGAGTTGCACGATGGATGGGAGGCTCATGTCCAGGCCCCGGCCTTTCCAGAAGACCACCGAGTCGACCAGTATGGCTAATGGAGCGGCTATCCCTAGCATGAATCTATTGTTTCTCGGTTAGCACTGCACTGTACATCGGTTCGGCCTCTGGGCGCGGGAGGGAAACTCACAGAGTCAACGATATTGCCCAAACCTGGCGATGGATGGTCTTGAACCATGATACACTCTTCTGAGGGCGCCAGACCTGTGGGTATACATGGGCCGATTGCGAGTTTGACATATCACCGGGATACTCCAAGTATTCTGCAACGGCATCGCCCATCAGAACCATAGTCTTCTCCGTGTAGCGTCGAGGAGATTTTGTGCGGTACGACCACCAAACCCTCAAGATAAAGCCGCATTGAAGTAGTGTGCACGCACTCACAACAGCAAAGACCTGCGTTCCATAGTGCAGTCCGCACCGCTGGCTAATATCGCTCTCGGCCCCGACAAGGCAGTAGTCGACCTTGACCCAGAATGGCCATCCCGGCTGGCCTTCCTCCTGGTGAGCCCACGCGACAACCGCCCAGTCATCGATAAAAGTACTGGCCCATTCGCGCGTGCACAGGCGGTTGTATTCCGGTAGGTTGTACGCCCCGCAGATCCACCAGGGGGCATGGCTCCAGACATCCCACCCTGTAACCCAGCCGTCGAGCAGGGTGCGGTTGTAGTTCTGCGCCGCGGTGATATTGGCTGCGACGACCACTAATGGTCCTTTGGTCGTGAGACCGTCGATGTACGCATCGATGCACCCTTGTTTGTCGAGATGGGTGAAGTTGGCCATTTGGGTGTAGAGGTCGTGTACCGCAGACCAGTTCTTGCCGGAGAGAGTGGGCGGGATGGGATCCAAGGCCCAATCCCGCCCTACCGTCTGGAAGTCGCTCGTCACTGTGGCTGTTGCATAGCTCACGACTGGGGTTGATGTGAAGGTGAGCGAGTTCCAGCTAGAACAGCGCAGACGCTGGGTATCAGCATTCACCCTATCATAGGAGCAGCAACCGTAAGAACTCACAATAAATGCAAACAAATCGACAATACCCCAAGCCCTATCCACTCGAATAATCTCCCAGACTTGATCCAGCGCAGATTGCGAACACTCTGAACCCCGATGTCGAGCGATACCCCACGAGCATGTGCCACGTCCATCTCCCGCCGAGACGGGCCAACTAGAATCTGCATACAGTAGCTCCCCGCCCCGAGGAAAAGCGACGACAGCACGTTGAGAGCCACGTGGGCGGCGCTGTTGATGCTCGTCATCTCCTCGCAGTCACCCATATGGATGGTCCCGATGCCTCGTTCATCTGGGGGGAAGAACACCCAAAAGCAGATCAGTGTCACCACATTCGCCAGACAGATGACAGCCGCTGTGATGAACTGGTTGCGCAGCATGGTTGACTGCTTGGATGCGGCGCTCTTGCGCGTGGTGGATCGCACATGGTGCTCGTCGATCTCGGGGATATACTTTCCGAGCAGCCCTTTGCTGGCGTATCTGGGATACGGGGTATCCGGCGTGCTGTGGACCTCATCGTCACTGGAATCAGTCTTTATGTTCTCCGCTTCACTCTCGTCCTCATTTGCGATAGAGATCCCTGGCGTCAAAATAGCGGGGTATCGTGTCGCTGTGGTTGGTGAAAGGAGGGGCTCGTCTTCGTGTGCCGGCCCCGCATCGGGTAGGCAGTCCAATTCAACGCTGTGCCTCGGATCCATTGCCAGTTATCAGAGCGTGTACTCGCGCAACAGTGACAGCAAGTCATCACGTTGCGAGAAGCTTCAACGTTCCCAGCCACCGCCATAGCGAAACCACATCACGACTGTATGCCAAGACCCCGGCGCTAGAGCAATGCGGTGCTAAGGGCTCTGCCACTCCCCGTAGCCTTATCAACCCTATCGTTCGCGTGTAGCTAACCTAATGCATATCTTGGAATATTGAGCTATCTATGCTTGCCAATCACGCACTGCACAGACCGGTGACGGCCCGGAGCTTGTGCTTGGCGGCGGTCCAAGCACTGAATGCCAAGTGCAAACATCGAAACACGGGGCACAGATACTCATGGGCTTACATGCGGATGCTATGAATAGTCGGATTCCATGAGTTCCAGATGAAGTGTTGCTCTAACTAGAATGGAACAAGCTACTCCGCCTAGTAGATAATATATCCTAAGCGTAAACACGGAAAATCGGACAGCGGAAGCTTAGAGGCAGCCACAATACTGAAGCCTCTTTGACTAGTTGCTTACAGTCTTCTAGAAACTGCATCTTGAAGGCCAACCTTTGCGCTGATGGCGTTAGGGCTTATGAGCGGATATGGTAGCCGGGGGGTGCCAACCTCAAAGACGGAGTTTTGTGTGCAACAGTCCGGTCTAGAAACTTGCTTATTCTCGCAGCCATGATCTGCACCCAGTAAAACATGGTAGGAAGCGACTGACCTGAAATTGCGTGGTGTGGCGTGGCCGATTCCCAAAATACTGTACCCCGGTCCACACGAGACCCTGGACAGACCCTGGCGCTCTACGCTCAACGAGGGTAAGTCTGATGCTTAGTGCTTACTGGGGTAATTTATTCTGTTTGCTTCAATGCAGCCGAACATTTTACTAAGCACCCGAGTCAACAGAGAAAGATCATAATCGCCAACATGGTTTTAATGAGTACACCTCGTATTTATCGGTATTTCACTTTTCCTACAGTGCTCTACTGTAATAGACTGTGCTGCACTGCACTTGAATGAACGTGCCAGCCGATTAGCGGTAATGAAAATTGAATGAGATTCAATCCGTCCCTTGCACTCTACCCATCGACTAGACCCTTAGTTGCCCCCTTTAATCATGAACCCATGTACGCTAGATTCTACGCTAAATGAACTTTACACTTCTAGGTACTCCCTACCATAGCATAGAAAGTAAGCCGGAAGAGCGGGTCCGCGTCTTCGGGCTTTTTCAAGCAACTCCAATCCCCTGAGTGCCCTTCGCACGAATCCCTTTTTCCACAATCAATACGACATTAGTCCAGAATGCGCTTCTGTTCAATTGTCTGCGCTGTATCTCTCAGCGCGAGCATTCAGCTCCTCATCTCGTTCTTTGTCATAATCCTCGTCTCCATCATCTGGAACCGCCGTGATGACCCGAGGATCTCCCCCCAAGAGATGGCCAGCCTCCCCACGCCGGCTCCTGCATCTTCTCCCGCGATCTCTCCCCCTCCGAGCCACCCAGAGCAGCCGGATCAGGTGAAGGAAGAGGAGGAGAAGGAGGAATACCCCGTCGCACGACTTCCATACAAAGAAGACACAATCGTCACCCTCGTCAGCGATATCTACCGCATCTACGTCCAACTGGGTTACATGAACAACCGCGCTGACGGCATGGAGGAACTAGCCTGGCCCCCACCCGGGGGCCATGCCATCAACGAGGCCATCTGCCAAGAGCTCAACCTCAGTCCCAAGGTGATCTCCTTGATGCGACGACTTCCATATCCGGTCTCTTACCACATCGCGGCCGATCTCCCCTTCAAAGAGTGGTCCACGGCATTCGCGTACATTGAGGACCGGCAGATTCGCGACGGTCGCGACCCGGGTCGCTGGATCTTCGATGAGCCGCGAACCGACTTCCTTCTCCCGCACGAGATCGCTCTCGCCGGCGCGGATGATGAAGGGATCCACCTGATCCTGGACACGGACGAAAGTATGTACCATCGTCGCTGACTTTCCAGCGCTATGTTTGTCACTAGCCACCGCCCCGGAGGTGAATCCTGACTACCAACCAGTACAGATACGATCCGAGCGGTTGATTGGCAACAGTTGGAGGATGAGGACGGCCATGCCGACTTTCGAGGGCTTCCGGCCCAGCATGCGCCAACATTCTTGGCGGAGTATGTGGACAAGCTCAGATCGTTGGAGATTATCCCGGGGGGTCAGGGGAGTTGCGTCGGTTTTTATGAAAAGGAGTATCACAGTGCGGTGTGTGATCTTTCCCCGCTTTTCATTTTGGATCCTGCTCTTGGAGAGGCGAACATCTGCTTATTCAGATTTGTGCAGCACCCGATGATCAAAAAAGTCCTGCAGGAGCAGTACGGCTGGCCGTATGATTTCCGTGAGACGGAGTGGAAGGCCGCAGCCAGAGACACCTTAAAGCGCCTGGGACAGTTGTATCCGTCCTAGTGCGTCGCGGCTAGGATAGAATGAGAATGCATGGTCGTGAAAGCAAGCCGTCAGAAAGAGTCCCCGTGGTGCTCAGAGTCTTGACCCATATAGGTCGATCGATGACGCTTAGCTTGAATACCTACTCTACTTACTCAGCTCCAAGGTGTTGGACACGAGGTGTGATCGGTTTGAAATTGTTCAGGGCTTCATTCCCAAGTACACGAGAGTTCATTAACCGCTCCCCCTCCTCCTCCTCCTCCTCCTCAATATTGGCCTTTTTATAGTCACAACCTATATTATCAGCGCGGGGGGGTTTGCTCACGGAAGCACGTATGCAAGGGATTTCAATCGAGAAAAAGTTTAGCACCGCTCAGCCAAATACATATGTATATATATATATATATACGAAGATACTAATGTAGCCGATTATTTACTCAAAAGAATCCTGATTCCTGTTAGTCGAGGGGGTGGATCTCAATTGCAGGGATACGGCAGGCGTTCCGCTGGTTTTCAGAGCGGCTGAGCGGGGACATGTTGAAGTCGTTGATCTTCTGCGTGCCGCCGGAGCGGATCTGGATGTCTATGGCGTGGATGGCAGAAAGGCACTTAACCAAGTATTAGAGGGGTCGGATGGTTGGTTGATCACTGAGGTGATTCAGAGACACCGTGGCCGAATAGGATGTCCGTAAGGCCCACAGCCTATAATTCTGTAATTGCTTGATTCTGCCCCGGCATGTTTCCATCGCCTCGTCTGATACAGTTCTCATGCTCGGATTGAGATACTCAGTATTTGGCTGTAGAGCTGCGATCCTTCAAATAATCGACCCCGATGTGGTCTGGACATGGTCACTCATATTAGAATCTCGAGGTCAGCTCATCACAGGTTGGAATACCATCCACAGTGCCTTTCTTCCTCGGCACAGCCCCAATTAGGATGCATCGCTGCTGCCGGCAACCATCACTGCCACGATCAGAAAGTGTTCACGCGAAGGGGCTTAGAGCCGACTATTGTGACTGATATACATCAGTCAGGCGGCAAATTCAATGTTGTAGCGAACTAACCATCCAAGTTGAGCGTCTGCGTTGATGTACTGTACTGGTATAACTACTCTGCTCCGCATCAACCTTGCCGTTGAAGCCTGAGGCAGCAGCTAGAGACCTTTCTGCCTCAGGCTGGAGCGTTCTAACCCTGGTCGAACAGAGAAAGCCGCCCGCTACCTGGCCATGCTTGGACTAGCGGCGGCCTGGCAACATTCTTACCTGCGATGCGGCCGTTGTTAAGCTCTTACTAGCCGCCGGGACGAGACCGGGGATCATCAACAATCCCTATCAGAGACACACGGCGCTGTCGGAAGCGGTGCTCCACGGGCATCTTGGAGTTGTTCAACTTCTCCTCGCGACGGGAAGGGTGAGTGGTGCAGACGTTTTTTTTTTTTTTTTTTTTTTTTTTTTTTTTTTTTTTTTTTTTTTTATAGCGGGCCGGGGGGGGGGGGGGGGTCATGCCGAGATCATCCACCTTCTGGTCGCCGCAGGCGCAGATCCGGCCATTCGCGGCGTCACTGGAGGTCGGAGGATTCTGCTGGATATATTGAATGCGGCTTTCGGAGAGCGTAAGAACTTGTTTGCGGACTATGCGGAAAGGTTGCAAGAGCACCTAGAAACTGAAGGAGTGAACCGACCGGGATCTTGAGGTATCTACTAGGTAACGATCTGACAAATCATGTGGAGTATTGTTCCTCTCCGTTCGCTCTCTACATGGCTAGCATTTTTAGTCATAGCTGACTGCAATATACTGCATCAATAAACGCACTCAACCCCTTATCATCACTATCCAGCGATACTAAGAAATCTCCCGCACCCCGAACGACCCACACCCCGAATTCCCCACCGTGAATCCCCCAACCCCGTTCCCCAAATCCACCGACGCGGTATCCCGATTCGACGGACTACATGTGGCATTGTTGGCACCCCCCGGCAGCAGAAGGTAGCACCCCGCCCCCTCCGCCGACAGATACCCGGCACACGGGGTGGAGTGGTCGATGCACGCGACGCAGCAGTCATACGGCGTCGACGCTGAATTAGTCTCGTAGTTCCCCGTGACCACCACCTCGGTGATGCTGCGTCCGTTGACGGTGGTGATCTGGTTGCCGGGGCCGCAGGCGGCGTATTGGGTTTGGGCGGGGGCTTGGACTGTTGCGGTGTTTGTTGTTGTCTGTCTATTTTAGTACGCAGGTATAGGTGTAGGATATAGCATGAGGGGGAGGGGTAGGGGGGTTTACCTCTGTGGAGGTGGTGGTGGTTACGACGGCGGTGGATTTGATGAAGTTGGTGGTGAAGGTTAGGGTTGTGGAGGCGGGGATGGGGACGAGGGTTATTGCTTTTCTGTGTCAGTGTTTTTCTGCTGAGGGGAAGAACTGGGGAAGTTACTTGTGGTGATGTGGGCGGTTGATGTCGTTGTTTTAGCGGACGGGGTCACGACTACAGTGTGTGTCTGGGTGGCGGGTTTGTTTACTGTGCTGGTGGAGAGGATCTCGACCAGGCCGACGCAGGTCACGACGCTGGCGTAGCTGGGTTCTGCCTCTACAATCGCAGTGGATTGGGCGGCGTGGATGGTGATCGCCTGGGGGGTGGATGCGTCGTTGGCTTTGACGAGGGCGGTTTGTTTGACCCCTTGGATGGTGGCGGAGGACTGGCTTAGGGCAGAGGCAGGGGTGAATCCGGCCGGGGCGGGCACGGTGCTTGTGGGTGTTGAGGTAATCTATTGATTGTTAAGCTTAGAAAGATTTGAACAACTTCAAGGAGGGGAAGAGGGGCGTTACTGTAGTATCACTGGTGACGGTCTCAGTGTCCGTGACGATGTCTTGGACCGTCAAGGTTATAGTGGACGTGATGGTGGTGGAGAATGTGCTTGTGCTTTGATCAAGGATTGTGGTTGCGGAGACAGTATCGGTCACCACCGAGGTGATGGTCTTCGCGGCGGCGGTTGAGGTAACCGTGGGAGTTGACGTGGTCGTGAGGACGGCAACACTGGAGGCAGAGTTAGCTCAAGCTCAAACTGCAAAATCGTCCAAGCAAGCACCAGATGGGTATACCTACCTCGTGGCAGTAGAAAGACTGTTGACTGTCCTGACCGTGCTGCAAGACGTGGACGCGTATTCGGTATTGCAGAGCTCGAACGAGGTTGTAGTGGTGGCTTTAGCTAGGGCTGTCCAAGCCGCCGCCAGCAGCGAGATCCAGTACATCATCGCTGCCATTGTGACACCTCAACGGAATTATGACCGCAGACCCTTGACAAACTTGACCAAAGATTTCGACACTCGCCGGGAAAGCTGGCTGCAAGAACAAAGAAACTTTCTTCCCACATAGCAGGGGGCAACTCCTTGTTATACGGGCTGCATTGTCAGTTCATGGGTTCGTTACTGCTTAACCTTAAAGAATGCATCTTAAGTGGGCCAAAGATCCAGGCAGGAGTCTTCCGCCAATGAATTCAGGAAGGGTGCACTAGTGGCCGTTGAAAGAATGTCAACTAAAGTAGGGTGAAAGGATCTACAAGGTTCGTCGGCAGCCCACGCGAAGCGTAACCCTAACCCCTTGCTTGCCCCTGCAAATTGTATCGATAAATGGAAATAGGAATCCGATTCACACAATCAATTGTATTGGATTTTTACAATGTATGGCTGGCTCTACAGCACTAGCCAACTCAAATTAACTAAGCAAGCTTCCGCTTCTTCCGCTGCTGCTCGTCACCCTGCTGCTCATAAGGTTCCCCGTTGGTATACCGTATTTGGACTTCGAGACAGAAGAGTGTCGGAGTTTTCTCTCATCATTGTTGTTCGCCAAAAGAGTACTGCTAGCAGACATCTTCCTGCAGGATAGGCTCCAGGTGGTATCTGCTTTAAGAACAGAGTGCTTTGTCTGCGCTATCATACGCTAGTTCTGCTCGATACTGCTTGTTTCCAATCATGGCACAGGGAACCTAAACAACCTGACGGTAAACTGTAGCATCTGAACGCTTCAGCACGGTGAAAGTACAGACCATTAGAACAAGTATAACAGCTACTTGAACAGCATATCATCAGTTGCCACTACATACAGTACATGAGATATTAAACTTCAGTGCAATTTTAGGTGTCGTCAACACAACTTGCCTTTCCCAGTACCCTCGTTCTATAGACATATCGACTACAAATCGGCATAAGTCTGACATACTTCTACATTCATCAGCTCTACGCAGCCGAACTCGAAATTGTACCATACCCAACCTGCTTCTTCCCTCACATCCTTCGAGAAAACAGCCACTGCTTACCATCTTCCATCGTCGACCAATCAGATGCTTTGAATAATCCAACACAGTGCAAGCTACAAAGCAGTGTCAAGCGAAACCGCATCCCTGATCCTCATATCCGAAACTGCATCCATATTCGTACATACCGCGATGCTACGATCGGAGATCCCACTCCCGCCAGCCGGGGATCTCCGGCCCTTCGCCCTCCCCCAAGAATGAGGGGGGCAGCATTCCACGCACGGTGCCCCTTACTTATCCGCAACAACCCCCTGTACAGAGAAACCCACAAATCTATAGATATTGTGTCTATAAGCTCGCACTTTTCCCACACTATGTACAAAATTTCATACTCATATTACATCCTCCGGGTGCCATGGCCCTGTATCTCATCAAAGATCCCGATCACACAGAGAGAATAAAATAATTATAGTCCACCACATCCGCTCGCTCTCATCTATACCCATGATCAGAGGCATCAAAAACGGCAAATACGGTATCGTGCCAACCACCCGCCCTACCGCGCATTCAACCCATCCAGCTCATGCACCTCCGTCGTGCGGGGCTGCGTGCTATCCAGCTCGGGGATGGGCTGCACTTTGGTCGGGGCCGACAGGCCCAGCCCGTGGGTGGGGCGGAGATGGTCCTCGTCGCGGGAGTAGATCTCGGAGACGGGGCGGCCGTCGGGGCCGATGTGCGAGGCCGGCGGGGACATGGTGAAGCCGCCCGTCGAGCCGGAGGGGTATTTGCTGGCTGGGTCGGGGCTGCTCATGTGCGAATCTACTCGTTGTTTAGCACCCTGCGCGGTGAGAAGAACGGGATGGCTGGGACGAACCTTGATACGGTGAGGATTGGGGACTGTGATACCCGTACTCCCCGGGGTACATGTGTTGGCGCTCCGCTTCGGCGGCGGTGGCTTCCCGTCGACGGCGGCGGCGGAGGAAGAAGATGGCGAGCACGATGAAGGCGACAAGCGCAGCAGCCCCGATGGCGATTCCGGCGATCGCGCCGCCCGACAGGCTTGAGTGATGGCTTGATGAGTCTTCAGGGGAGGAGGTTTGTGTGGAGGTCGAGGTCGGGGAGGCGGTTGCCGTCGCGCTGGCGTTGTCCTGGAAGAGCTTGAGTTGGCCGGCGGAGGAGGAGCTCCAGGCCGCGGGCAGGAGGTCGTCGTCCGGGCACCCGTCGCTGCAGGGGTTGCTACTGCAGCACCCCAGGAATCTCGGGGAGGTGCCGTTGCATGTGTACCAGTCGGAGCTGGGGTTGTCGAGGCAGCGGTTGGGGAGGATCTCGTCGAAGATGGCGCCGTTGAACGAGGCGGCGTACAGGCTGGGGCAGGCCGGGCTGGTGGTGTTGTGGCAGGGGTCCGAGGCACAGCAGCCCACAAAGTACGGCGCCGTGTCGCAGACGAACCACGAGCCGCCGTTGGGGCAGGTGAAGTTGCAGTCCGGCGAGGAACCGCTTTTGCAGGTGGTCATGGTTGTGAGTGTGATCGGTGCTGTGTGCTGTGTGCTGTGTGCTGTATGCTGTGTTGATGCAGAAGTGTGAAGAACGGTCGGGTGCAGCAGGGGTGGTGTGTTAGGGGTGTGTGTTTCGATCGCAAAAAATGTCAACAAGGGTTTTGCGACAGCCCGCGTGGGAAAAGGGTAATTTCCTCCAGAAAAGAAAGAGCTGTCAGCCCCACTGTCCGCGAAAACGCTGCTGCCGACTTTATTTAAACACGGATGACGATCACGAGCCCAGTGACCCCTAAAATCGTGGCCCGCATGGCATAGCCTTCGTGCCCGGCGGTGATTGGCAGGATGGGTCCGGGATTCGGTGTGCCCAGACTTCCACTTGCTTCGTAAGGTTGTCAGCCTCGTCCTTCCTCGTCCTCGTCCTCGACCCGGTGAGTTGAGTTTAAATTGCCAGATGCCAAGTGAAGGATGGGCCATCAGCCACTATTTTAGCCTGGGGGCCGCTCCGCCTGCTTTTTGTTGATGGGTGGGACGTGCCAAGGTCGTGGCTCATGCGGCTAGAAATAGGATACATGGGCGTGGTGAGGCTCAACTCGTTTCATGATTCGAGATCAAACCGTTGCCTTACCAGGGTGAGTGTGGTTCTTCAGGTCTGAAGATGCTGAGTTTGAAGTGCCCCCCTTGCACTGCACCAGGACTGCGTCAGAATACGAAGCAGGGCAGGTGTACATGGGTCAAACTCTCTAGTGTGGGAAAGGATGCTTACTTTTCCTAAGCGGGGTTAAGGTCCACGATAGCTTCTTCCTTCGCTCCCGCTCCTTTATCACCAGGATTCAAAAGCAGGGACACAGCCCCGGAGTCCCAGGATGGAGATAAAGTGGGTGAGACCCTGAGTTCTAGCTGACGAAGAGACGAAACTTCTTTCTCTTTTCTCTTTCTCTTTTCCCTTGAAAATGTTCGAAAAATCGTGAAGAATCAGTCAATCCTGCACACTGGAACATTCACAGAGTCAGGTAGGTCAGGTAGGGCTAACCTCCGCTGGCTGGGCGTGTCGGGTGTCCTCAATGACCCTCAGTTTCTCAGCGGTGAGCCGGGCGGTCGGTGGAGACGAAGGATGCAGGGTAACCTACCCCGACGGATGAGGTTGTTCCGACCCGGGCCCACTGCCTTATTCCCTCAACCAACAGTCTAAACAAACAACCCTGTCTACTATGTATACTCGCTCCGGCTCGTCGGATGTGTGTGAAGACAGCCCCGAAGTAAAGCAACATATGCAACTTCTGTTTCGCTCTTTTTGTTATTCCACTTCGAAAAGTCAGATTCTTGCAGATAGGTTGAAACCTTGAGTGTGTGCGGATTGCCCGACAGCCCCAACTCATCCGGTCTTCGGGCTTCGGCGGAGCCGAATGGACTGGGTCGGACCCGCCAGGGAATCCACCTTAATCGTTCTGCTATAGCTTAATACGAGACCACCAATCAGGTAGTATTGGACTTTGTTGTTGAGGTCAAAGTTTCATCTAGGTTAGTTTCGACTCATGGGTCTAGATCACGTGAGTGGGTCGAGAGGCAAGCAAGAAAAAAAGGAAAAAACTAAAATTTGGTGGACACATTAAGCATACAGCACAAGGGTTGCAAAGGAACACTTCAAATTGCGATGAATTGGCAAGGTGTCTAACCTACAACATCGGATCTCAGAACATTGTCAGGACGAGATATCAATCATGAAGAGTTAGATTTGTCTAGATTCACAACTATATATACGTGTGTATGTACAGTACACCTCATCGAAGATGATAGTAAGGAGACCAAAATGACCTGATGTGGCTCAATCAGCCAAGCCTAACATACTTTCATCTCTCGGGTACCTGAACTCCTATATAGTTATATCTGGCCCCGCTGTAAGTGAGCGATAGGCATACAAGATAGTTTACACTTGTACCTTTGCTGATTGGCTTGTGTTAAATACCGGGGTGACTGCCAAGGAGGACACACTTTTGAACCTGCATCAACAAGATCTTACCTGGTGACGACTGTCTGTGTTGCTTCTGAAATCATCGATTCGATTGTCAACGCCACCTGCATAGGAGGACATCAGACGATTATATCTGATCGAACAGCGTTGATCGCGAATCATTCATGGAGGTTCCGGCGCTGCCCTGATAGGTATTAGAACGGCTAGAGATCCTTGCTCCCATTGCAAGGTCACCGGAAGGAAGAGCCATTCCACTCATCCTAACAGGTGATTGGGGCGCGAGATGAGTGGGGGGCGGGGGACAAAGTCCCTGGTCCACCACCTAGCGCCAGCTCAGGAGAGAGTGGCTGGTTCCTGACAGTATCTAACCAGGCCTCGGCTGCCAGAAGCTGTCAGGGAATGAGGAGTGAAGGACTAGGACTGTACGCGCGACCATGGCGAGTCGGTGGCCGGAATGGGTGATGTAGACTTTGTTCTCCGCCTTGGTGAGGTGACCCATGTTCTAAAAAAATGCATATCTCACGCATAGGAGGGAAAGCGGCATGACGAGCTTGAGCGCGATGCGGTCAGAAGGATTATTGAGTATCTGCAGGTCGCGTTTGTAGACCTCCACTATAATACCTTGTGGTGAGATCATCACTCAACTACTTGACGCAAAGCAAGGTGATCGTGCTACTTCAGGCGGGAAATTGCATATGACGCCTCGGATCATAAGCCAAGGCTCATGGATCGGTCCATCCTGCACCGTCTCTGGAGTGAGAGATTCCGGACATCGAGACCAGGAGCTCCTTCGCATAAGCCGAGGCCACCGCTGCCGCGTACCCTTTCCAGCGGTCATTCTTATGCGAATCAGCATAGTCGCTAACCCCCCGGATGACGAGGCACGGGAAACTATCCACCAAGCCCGCCGCTTCCATCTCGAAGCAGAGGATGCCCAGTTCCGCCTGCATCCGGTCGCGTGTCGGCCCATGCTTCATGACCTGGTTGCCCGAGGCGATCAGCCCGTAATGGACCATGGGTGCCGTGGTGGCGCGCGGGGCTCGGGGCACGATGCGTGCTGGGTCACAGGTTGAGCATGATCCGGCGGGACTGGGGTGGCCATAGTCCGATTGGTAGAGGTGATCATGCCCGGCGCCAGGGTACGCGAACTCGGCCTGCAGAAGCGGGTAGCGATGGACCATTGCATCGAGGTACCGGGTCAAGCCAGGGCCGTAGAGGAAATGTTTGGATTTGAGGCTGTTGACTGCGGTCAGAAGAGCATCCGGCGGTCGATTCAGCGCCGAGACAATGTGAATCCGGCCCGCCTCGGTGCGCTTGCCAAAGTCGTACTGAATTACGCCTGACTGCCCATGGTGCGGGGTCCCGACGATCACGTCCCCCAGTCGAATATCATGCGTGACGCTGGGTGCCGCGCCTCCGATGCCCACCATGAGTCCGATGCGAATATGGGGAAACGTTTGGCACATCCGCTGAGCGATGATGGCGGCGGCCGTCGTGCCCATGATTCCATCCGGCAGACACGTGAGGACGACATTGTGCGTGCCGATGCATCCGAGGGTATAGGTGTTGTTGTCGAAGCGGTAGTCGTGCGGAAGGCCATGTTCTTCATCCAGCATTGCTTGCGCGGTCGCCATCTCTTTGTCGAGCGCAGAGATCCACCCCACCGTGTAATCGCCACATGCGAACCTTTTTGGGGATTGAGTTCGTGGGATGGGAACAGATCTGCTCCGCTGGACGGGTTCGGGTGATGAATAATGGGAAACACGGGTATCAAACTGGTTGAGTTGTGGAGGCATCGATCCGGGGATCGAAAGCTCTCGCGCTGGGGCCGAGGATCGTGATCCAGCGGTGACAGCCGCTGGCTGTAATAGGTCTACCTCAAACTCATTCGAGTCGGGGAGCCTGATTGTTTCCAAGCTGTTAAGATCCATCTTCGGCGCGATGTCATCCAAGTGGTCAAGAGACATATCACTGAACCCTTGTCTAAGCTCGGCCTCGAGACGCTGCACAATCTCCATATAGACAAGCCCTTTGAAGTCGTGATCTTCCAGTTCGTTGTCCTCGTCGTCGATTCCGAACTGGACATCTAGACAGCGGGCCACCGCGATGCGGTAATTATCGGAGAAACTGGGGCTACACTTTCTAAAAGCCTCTCGCGCGAGATGAAAACGAGAATTTTCGTCCAGCAGCTCCAATGATTCCCAGCCGGCACCATAGGAGCGGACCAAGGAACGTATTGAGGTTGCCTGGTATATCTCAATGAGCAGGATCGCCAACATGACGAGGCCGGGACGTGGATGCAATGGGAGGTCATCAGGGTCGCGACACTCCTCATCGTCCGACTGATCATCACCATGAAACCGTGCCCAGACCCTGGAATGGATGAAGGGCTGCAAAGGCACGGAGGCGGAGGTGCCAAGGAAGATGATATTGGACGAATTGAATGAAGCCGGTCGCAGCCAAGGGGTTCCATACAGATGCAGGACGCAATGCCCCAGCAGGACCGCTAACACCCGTTTGATTCTATCTCCCAAGCTCTTCGGGTGGGCTTCCAGAATTCGCTCGAGACGGACTGGGATAGTCTTCAGCTGCATCTGGCTGTCTGCGGATTTGAACTTCCGGAGTTTCCCATTCTCCACTTCCATGTTGAGGCAGCGGCGGAAGTGCTGGGGGCTAACATGGTCGCATAGCTTGTTGATTAGAATGGAGGTCTCCCCCCGCCTCTTCCTCGGTGTGCTTTCCTTGACCGCAATGCGTACCTTTGAGGTCTTTTCCGGTATCGCAGCGTGAATCACTACTTCTTGCCAGTACGATTCATTCGGGCTAAGCATGAGGCTAAACACACATTTCTGCTCCAACGGCCGCCGGCTGCGGTAAGTCGCCAGCCGCAGTCGCGCGGTATAGGTGTGGCACGGCAGGCAGTGACACGCCTGGGCACTGGCGAGGAGCGCATCGAAGACCAAGTTCGCTTCCACGTGCACGGAAGTGGGTATTGAGACATTGACCCTTGCGATGGGAGGCCGTGACTCGCCGACGGCATCGGGCCCGGGCGCATCAAGCGCGTCCGCGCATTCTTCCAGGAAGAGGGCTACCTCATCCCACAACTGTTTGGTCTCCCAGGCGAGGTTTGTTCTGCTGTATGCGATCTTCTCCGACCAGGACGTCAAACGGCCCCATCCTGCCTGTACATCCGCCAGCCTCTGTAGTGCTCCGGCCGGGGATTGTAGACTATTCTTGACCGGTGGACGAAGCAAAGAGGTGAATCGCTTGAGGAGTAGCCAGGCCAGCGGGGCCAAGGCGATTGACTTGGACGGAAAGTGCGAAGACTCGACCTGCTCGCTCAGGAGGAGAATTTGAACATGAAGGTAGCGGTAGCTTTGTCGGAGAATTCGATCTTGTTCGCAACTCGTCAGACAATCGGCGATCTCCCGGAAAAGGACGAAAGTTTCCAGGAGGGAAGAGACTCTCGACCGCGCTTGCTGTGGCTTGTCCATGAGTACTGCACATTTCACACCGGTGTGGAGGATGGAGAGATCTCACCAAGACAGCAAAATCGGTCTCGCCGTAAGTCGATACGAGTTCCATTTTGCATGCTCTCTGAATGATATGCCTGGCTTGAAAGGTGCACTGGTGAGCACCATTTAACGGATTGGCTCACTTGTGGGCGATAATGCAAGCCATAGCATCTACTTGTGCTGAATTGGTCTAGCAGATATCACAGTGATGGGTACATGAGGTATGGTAGTGAGTGTGAATGGGTAAGAGAGGTAGATGGAAGATCGGAGAATGGAAGATGTGAACTGGCCGGGCGCTAAAGAGAGGGGTAAAACCGGGCCATTGCCTTGCGGCCTTGCAGCCTTGCAGAAGTCATCCCCGCATATCCTGAAGGTAATAATGGGAGGTGCAACTGCATCCTACCTTTCCTTCCTCTGCAATCCCAGAGTGACTTCCCTCGGTCGATATCATGGAGAACGAGCAGTCATATGTATCGATCACCACAGCAGCAAGGATATTTCTAGACTCAGCACAGCAATGCATTCAGCAGCCAGTCAACCTGGCGCCCCGGGAGATCATGCTTCTTCAGGATCAGCTCGGACGGTTTTCAATATGGGCTTCAGAAACAGGAGTCTTCGCCCCGCGCAGAGCCTCCTTGGACCATCGCCTTCGTTATGTACCCGAGATTCAACGTTTGGTGCGGGGGCTACTGGAGACATTGGACGATCATCTGCACCACTGTGAGTAGGCAGACTGCTTCTCAATCCGTATTGCGCTCTTCATCCTTTAACGACGGTCTGCGCTGTCAGATCTATCGCAACAGAATGAGGAACGGGATCTATCGGCCATAGCAAAGGACCTGACGCTGCTGTATCGACTGTCAAACACGATTCGGAGAGCCAGCCGCGATAGTCAAAACTTGAGGGCCGCAGAGCACTTTCGGATTGAGGACGAGGAGGGTAACGATGTCGGGGCAGCGTGGCGGGATACTTTTGCCGCCGAGGTAATTCGAAGGAAGTGGCCAAAGTGTGATGACTGGCTCAGGGAGCGACTGGCAACAGCAATGTTGCTGCGTAGGAAGCGTGTGCTATATCGACGATTTCGTCATGACAAGGCGAGAATGGACCAGTCGGTGCCCGGGCGAGACGCCGAGGATCAAGGTCAGAAGCCGGAGGTGGACCACGAGCATGTTAAGAAACGAGAAAGAACGTCCGCTCGCAGTGCTTCGGGGTCGAGGGCCACCACCTCAGCGACCACGCTGACTCCCGAGCAATTTAGAAAGGCATCGGCTCCCTCGGTCCTGGGGACCACAAGGACCACCCGCATGAACACCCAAGAAGAGTCTCTATATCCTCCCGCGCCAAAAGGTGAGATCATCGAGCGGCTTGAGACTCTAGAGAAAGAGCGGAGCACATCCATCGAGGATGGCAGTCAGCACTCGAGTAGCCAGGATGCGGAGCTTGGCCGACGAGAGAATATCATTGCAGATAGGTACGCGATCTTGAGAAACTCGGAGGTCGTCTGTCCTTATTGCTGTTGCACCCTCTCCGGGGCGGATGTGATGGACGATCGTAAATGGAGGTGAGTAGTGGTGGCTGCATAGAGAACAGGACAACAAGATTAATTCTTCTCGGCCCATCAGGAACCATCTCAAACACGATCTAGACGCATATGTCTGCCTCTTTGAAGAATGCGCCACGAATATGATATTGTATAGTCACAGTGAGGAATGGCTCAACCACCTGCGCGAGCACAAGGTTCGATGGCGCTGCACAGCCAAGGCTCATGGGATCCTGATCTTCGAGGACCAAGCCGACTATTTGGACCATATCCGGAACAAGCACAAGGGATCGGAGTCTCAGCTTCGCTACCTGACCGAACGTGGCAGCCAGCCGTCTGGACCGCTCTTTGTAACCTGCCCACTATGCAGCGCTGAGGCCGCTAAGTTGAATATTCCTATTGAAGACCATATTGCAAGTCATCTCCGGTATCTAGCTCTTCAGTCGCTGCCGTTCGTGGAATATAACGCTCAAGCTTCTGGGGAGGATGGATCACTACCATCAAGCGACGGCGAAAGAGGAAGCCGCAGCACACTCAATGATTTCGATGGTGACCTTTCGTTCGACTCGGCCGATGAGCCCCATAACCCATTCGATTCGCATCATGATGAAGTGCCTTCTTTTGCTGCTGATTCTGGACCTAAGCGAGATGTCCCACTGTTTGCGGAGTTACAAAAATTATTTGAGACAATTGAGAAAAATCAATTATCCGCTTCGAAAAACTCTTTGATCGAAAGTAAAGCTGAGCAAGTCGGCATCGACAGAACAATCGATGCATCTAATGACCCAGCTCAGTCATATCCATCATCGCCTCCTGCAAGTCTAGATATGACGTCCAGCGATTCCGCCAAGGGTGAGTTAATTGCTAGCTTGGAAAAGTTGATTATGGAAGAAAGGGCTGGAAGCCCCGGGCGAGAGGAAACTGCTTCAAGGCTTCAACGAGCGACAGCCGAAGAAGACACGACTTCAGAAATCAGGACATCCAGCGCCGCCCGCTTGCTGGAAGTCGCGCGAAAGGAGGCTTCAGACAGCCCAGACCGCACAAGGTTGACTGTCAAATTCAGGGATGCAGTAGGGAGGAGACTCTCGTTTCCATTTGACGCATGTCGCACGTGGGAGGTAGGAGAATCGAATCCCATCTGTATGTTCTTCGCTGATCGAAATCCGGTTCAGGGCATGGAAAGTCTCATAAGACAGTCCTTTTCATACATGGAGGAGCTAGAGTCTCACGTTGCGGCAGGGCATTATGATTTGGTCGGTCCCAATGGAGATATCATTCTACCTCAAATTTGGGAATCTTCTATTCAACCAGGTTGGGTTATCACCATGCATATGTGGCCACTTTCCGGAAGGCCAGTCACGCCTTCGTCACCAGGTGAGCCCTCGGTTCCGCCTGACAATGAGGCGGTCTCAGTACAGCCCACGGGCCCAGAAACCGCAGGTAGGTCTTTTCTCTGATAAGTCGCCGCGGCCTTTTGCGCATCGAAGCAAATGAGTAAGCCGGCCTATTAACAACAAGCAGGGCACGACATGCCTAAGCCACGGGCGCCCGATCCTGGGTCATTCGCAATGTGGATGGTGGGGGGCAAGGTGATGCCCAAGAAGGCTGCCAAGGGGAAAAAATATTGACCTCGCCGTACGTCTGGCACCTACAAGAAGGATATGTTTTGTTCTCAACGGAGAAAAGAATCGAGGCAGAGGTAGAGGGCTGGGGTTAGCGATTCCAGGGACGAGTGTCGCCCCCACGATCAAGGAATAGTCATGACAGAGTCTTCATCCTGGTAGAATATCTGTACCTTGGCGTCTGCTGGCCAGGACGAGAGGGGACTAGATACGGAATGTCATGAGGGAGAAGAAGCTGGTGCGAGGGTGAATGAGGCAACTGATCTACTAGCCACTATCCAGCCATAATCCGTTTAATCTGATGAGAGAAATGGTATCAACCAACTGGCGATATTCGTTTTTCAGCTGCTGCATACTAAACCAATCTGGTGCCAACCTACACTTGTATATTCTAACCAACCCTATAAAATCACACCAGAGCAACACCACTCGGCAAGCCAAAGACCTGAGTATCCGCCTCCACCAAACAAGCACCCACCAGCGCGTCTCCCTCGGTGAGACACTCCCCGGTCTTCGCATTCCTCAGATTCCCAGAAATCGCATACTCCCACTTCTGGTCCGTCCCTCCCTTGCAAGCCTGCAAGCTCACCTCCTCCGCCGCCGCCGTCAAGCACAGCGCCGTGTTCGACAGCGGCCGCAGCGCGCCCTGCGCCGTGACCTGCCAGACCTGCGCATCCAGCGCCTCGCACGTCTCAAACCCAACCCCCTTCCCCTCCCCCTCTCCCTCCACAGCCGTCAAACACCGCCCAGACGCGGTATTGAACACGATGCCCGTGGGGACCACCTTACAGCCATGCGGAACCCTAACCCTCCAGGCCCCCGTCGCATGCTTCTCCAGCCCCTCCACCACCAAACTGCCCTCCACCCTGACCACACGCCCATCCCAGAGATCCTCCGCCTCATACTCACACCCCGCCTGCAGCCCCAACCTCTCCACCGCAACCCCCAAATCCACCGTCCCATTCCCCCGGTTCAGCACCGCAACGACCCTCCCGCCATCCCCCAACGACCGAGTCAAAACATCCACCCCCTCCGCCACCCCCCTCACCGCAAGCGTCGCCTGCAGCCCCAACGCATCCTGATCGACAGCAATCAACCGCTCATTCCGCAACACCTGCACCACCTCCTCCCCCAACCCGGGGATATAGGCACTAATAATCAACGGCGCGCCCATAACCGCCCACAGCGCAAAGTGACTCTTCTTCTCAGCCAGCGTCAGCCCGGGATGATCGGGGATCAAGAAATCCGGATCATTGAAGTACCCGGGCCGCTGGTAGCGGGCGAGCAGCACGTTGTAATCGTAGTTGTTGACGATACTGTCCCACGCGCTGCCGGCGCCGGCATACACCAGGATATCGGTGGAGTGGCGGGCCAGCTCGCCGTAGCGCGGGACCCAGGCCATGACCTTGTACCAGTCCGTGTTATCCGCGGTGCCCGCGAAGTAGGCGGGTGCGCTTTCGGAGAAGATCAGGGGTTTGCGGTTCTGGGCCTGGGCCGCTTGCGTACTGAGGATGGTGTGCCAGTTGGCGTAGCGGTGGCGGTATTCCTCCTGCAGGGTGCGGTTCGCCGCCGGGAACACGTTGCATCCGTCTAGCTTGAGGTAATCGATGCCCCATTCGGCGAAGGTGGCTGCGTCCAGGGCTTCGTGGCCGTACGAGCCCGGGTACCCGCCGCAGGTCGCGTTGCCAGCGTCTTGGTAGATGCCCAGCGTGAAGTTGAGCGACCCCAGGTGCGCGGCGAGCCACGGGATCCCCCGCGGGAATTTGGTCGTGTTCCAGCTGAGCGAGCCGTTGGGGAGCCGCGCCGTTTCCATCCAGCAGTCGTCGAGGTTGAGGCGCGTGTATCCGGCGGCCTGCAGGCCGGTGGTCTGCATGGCGGTGGCGGTGGTGACGAAGAGGGTTTCGTTGAGGTCGCACATGAAGCGCGACCAGTTGTTGAAGCCCATCGGGGGCGTGGGGAGGGTGGTGGGGTTGGTGATTGTGCCGGTTGATGGGGGGGTGAGGAGAAGGAGGAGGAGGAGGGTGAGGAGGAAGGGAGCGGAAGTTAGGGTTACTTGGACTGGGGGACGCATTTTGGTGGGTGTGGTGGGTGCAGTGATGGCTTGCGAGTGAATTGGGTGTGTGGGTGGTGGGTGCATCGGGTTATATGCTAAAGACCTGGTCGGGAGACGCTTCCCCGCTCGCCTGCGAGCTACAGCAGCGCGAATACCACCGTGCCATGTCGGCTGCAGCTTGCACTAAGCTAAGCTATCGCGGTTTTGCTTATCAGGTCGGCAGGGCAGCCCGGCTGGTCGCTGACTGGGGAACAAGGTTCGGCACGGGTCGATTAATCTATTCTGCGGGGGTGAATCTTATCGCAGCCAAGGGTCGCATACACGCCACCACCCTGATTCGCGCTCATGCAAGGACCCTCGACAGCATTCAATCTAGCGAGGTCTATTTATAGCCCCGGCCCTGGTGAAGTGGTAAGTGGTGACTGCAGCATGCGTCAGAACGCTGAGTAAGGAGGGTTTCACTGCAGCTGGAATTGCGGGGTCGATTGGTTTGATGCAAGGGTGTCTTCCTACCCCTTTCCCCCCGGCCTGCTAGACACCACCCCTATTCTGCAACACGCACAAATCCACTCCACGTAATACATTAAACATTATCATTTCTGGCAGCCATTAAGCTATCTAGCTACCGCCCGCAACCGCGACCCCCCCTCCGTCGTCTCCAACAGCACCTCCAAACTCCGCGATGCCGCCACCATCGCACTCAGATCCGGACTGCGGCGCATCTGATGCGGCGCCTCCAGGCTCACGTCCGAGAACAGCAGCGCCAGCGGTGACGACTTCCAGATGTACTGGTTGCGGGTGCGCACCACCGTCGCCACCAGGAACCCCAGTGTCATGGCCACCAACGCAATCGGCAGCGTCAGCCAGGGCCACTGCACGTGCACAAACGAGTCGACCGTCCAGGTCGTGCCGTTCACCGCCGCGGCGCAGACCTCGGTGCGCGCGTGCGTTGTCAACGCCGTCGCGAGCGAGGTGAATACCCCCGAGACGTCCGTGTAGTTGCCCTGCACCCCGTACAGGGCCTGGATGGTGTCGGAAGTCCAGCTGGGGCGGTTGCTGATGAAGAGGGAGCCGCTCCCTGTCAGGAGTGGGGTGATGGAGTTGGCGAGGGCGAGGCGGCTGAGCCAGCTGACACTGTAAGTGCAGTGGGCGGTCTGGTTGGAGGTGCAGTGGTCCGGGAAGAGGGTGAGGTCGGTCGTTATGTCCGATGCGGCGGTGGAGGAGTTGGAGGTGGTGGCGGTCGAGACCAGGGTTTCGTTAAAGACGCCCTCCTGCACCGAGGCGGAGTAGGTCTTGACGCAGAAGTAGAGGGCGCATTCGGTGGCGCTGATGGTGGGCGGCACGCCGTAGCCTGCGGCGCTGATGGCAGTGAAGTTGAGGATCAGCGGAGGAAGGGCGGAGGCGTCGAGCTTCACCAGGTCTAAGCCGGTCGTCGCGTTCATCAGGTAGATTCCGCCCCAGGAGGTGGAAAAACTGAACCCGTTGGTCAGGTTGTAGTGGTAAGTGCTCATTGTGCTGGTCGGGTTGGCGGTCGTTAGGGTTAGCTCGTCGGTGATGTTGGCGCATCGTTGGCACAGCCCGAGGGACTGGTACGGGGCAAAGGTGCAGTTGCCCGTCGGGCAGGTCATGGTCAGGGCTTGGCTGTTTGTTCCGGTGCTCTGGAAGAGCCCTGTGTAGATAGCCCCCGCCGTGGAGAGCGGCACTTTGTTCATGCCAGGTCCTGCCCCTTCGCCGTAGTCCACGTACGCGCTCGTGTTGCACACGCGAATCGAGGACTGGCCCGGCGAGTGGATGGGCTGCGAGGTGATGCTGAGGACCTGCTGCACGAAGGGGGCAATCGCTGCCGCTACTACAAGGATGAAGCATCCTACCGTCACCAGATGGCTGTGCATAGGTTAGCTTGATTCTTTCTGGTATTCTGTCGGAGCTCACCGTGGGAGGAAGCGAAACAAGACGAAGACCGCATTGACGGCACCGCGACTAGCAGCGTCCAGCACTGCCAAGTCATTGAGCTTGTTCTGTCGGTTGAACCAGGACCATTTAAGCTGCGACAACCCTTCGGTGATGGGGTAGACCATGGCCGCCTTCATGACCGTCACGAGTAGTGACACCAAGGCGTTGAGGGTGATGCCGTACGGCCAATCCGGCATGGGTTTGCCGTCGTATGTGTGCAGGACGACGATGATGGCTACTAGGGCGCCCACCGCGATGACACAGCTCACGATCTCAAAGACCCAGCCCGCTCCCCATGGGCCAACCGCCCGGGGCTGCAACAGCATGGTTGACAAAGGCCGTTTCCGCGTGGGGTTCGCCTCCCCCGGTTCGTCCACTTTGTGGTACCCCAGCTCATACTCCTCCTTGAGATGTCTCATCCTGGCTTGGCTGTTGACTGGGAGCTGGGGAATTGAGAGGTCTGACACCACGTTCGAGTTGACCCAGACATGGCGATGGGGGAGGGGGACTGGGGAGGGAAATGGAGTCTTCGTTTGACTGCTCGTGCCTCTTGGCGCACAAAACCCGCTGTGGCGGCGCGGCAACTCTGTTCCATGGAAAAGCCTCCAGCTTGGGTCCAGTTTGAGGTCATTATGAACCAGTTTGAAACATCCTTAACACTTGTTTGGGGTTAGAGGCGAAGACTGGAGCTGAAACAGGAAGTTGATTGGCGAGATTTGCGCGAAGCCAAGTGTAGAATTTCTGCTTCGGGAAATTCTCCTGAAAGTCGGCTTCGGTGAGCTTGCTCATGATTGGTTATGTTTGAAAGAAGGTAAGCACGTGATTTTGGCCTATCCTGAAAAAGGACGATCTGCCCGAGGAGGCGTCCCATGAAGGAAACTACCATGCTGCAAGTACAGTACACTTTGATAGAGTGACTTGGAGGTGTCATTTCCAGTTGAACCTCCCAAGCAAGCTCCAAGCATCGAGGCTACCAGACATGAGCTCCTCCCAGTCAAGTATCGAAAAACCGATAATGTGCTGTAAGCTGCGTACATAAACAAATTCAACGCCGGCGAAAAGTCCAAAGCAGGCACAGTGCGAGTGCGGAGTGCATCGAGTTGCCATTCATAAGTGATGGCAGTATGTCTGCAAAGGAATCTGTCTTTGATCACGCGCCAACACAATGAGCAAGTAAACAATGGAGGCTGAAAAGGAAAGGCTCGAGGTAGATTTGTAGTTGTTGTCGAGTTAAGCTTTTCTCTCTAGTCAGTCAGAAGTGTGAATATGCAGGATGTCTTGGCTTGTACAGATCTGCGCGTACGGGAGCACAAAAATTGTTAGCACTTGCTATTATACCCTCCCCCACCTATTCTTCCTACCAAAGCTGTAATTTGTGTGTGGCTTGGCTAGCAATATGCCTTCTAGCGATGATCTCGAGGAGTATCAACTGAGGAATATAGACCAAATTCAACAATGGTTTCAGATTCAGTGCCTGAGCTCGAGCCTCAGAGAACAGGCCCCTTGCTTCTGGAGTCTGCGTCCGCCGCGTCTTGCATTACCTCTGGCTTAATGAACTTGTCGCTTCAGCGCCCCAGATCTTATCACTGCGGCAGTGGGATTCATTTCGGAACCGCATAATCAAGAACAAGTTGAGGATCAGATTGGAAAACAATCATCAACCTTTTTGAATCGAGTTTTCTTTCAGACATAGGCCAATTGATTGTGAGCTTGATGAGGTCGATACTCGAGGAAGGGGAAGAAGATAAGACCTGTGGTAGGATGCTTGGTTCAACTAAGGAGACAGTGAGTATTCATGCTCAGCAGAGCTAAGGCAGCCGGAATAAGATTTTTTCGCGGGGATCAAGCGATCACAGTCGAAGGAGCCAGTATGTTCCGGGTATTCATCATCCCATTTATCCTCTAGCGCCAAAGGCTGCGCAAGCGTGTTTTAGAGATATGGGCAAACACGGTAGCCTGCGGCCGATTCACCGAATGGCGCAACAGACAAAGCCAGAAGTGGGTTTGTTTAGGCATCATTCAATTGCTAGCAAGTGTCTGAAAAGCTTGACCTGACAAGCACCGGCAGGCCAGTCGATCCGTGGGTTGCTACCCCGCGAGTTTGAGGCTGGAACCTGATTTGGTCAGACCATGGCCAAGTCTCAATCTGATAAACATTGAGGTTTGAGTTGATTCCTCGGGTTCGCAATGAAAACCTGATTATCTGCAACGGGCGAAATAGTTCCTCCCGGTCAACTTGACCGGCCACTTGCCTACGGGATGGACCCCAAACAATTTAGGGCTGTCGCCTTGACTTTCGCAGGGCCACAGAGTTACTGCGAATAACGCCCTCAGAGTCAAGATTCAGCGCCTTGTTCACTCGCGTGGTAAGTGCAGATATGAATGAAACGGTGACCGGCCACGACGAATCGAGACTTGAGGGTGGATAGGCAACGCGTCCCGGACAAGGGATTGGCTGGAACGAGTGGGCCCTAAAGTGGGGAGAAAAGCGGATAGCTTCGTCTGATCTGTCGACTATCGCTTTCGGTTGGTTCCCCTGGCCAGGGGAACCCGGCACTTTTGTGGCCAATTTCCAATTTAACCCCCCTTCTTTTTTTCGATTTGGGTTCTCTGCCACCAACCTTCTTCTTCCCGCCTGACGTCTGTCGGTTGGCCATTCCGTGGCTGAGAAAGGATTATCTCTAGGATGTTCCGTGTGCAGGAGCTCCAGATGATCTCGGTGTTCGTCTGAGGAACAATTCTCCTCCCCCTTCACTCGGGTTCCACCGATCCAATGAGATTGGATTCCAGTAGTGTCTTTCCCTTGTTAGCGTGCGGTTTGCTCCAAGCGCGGTTCAATTCAGAGGCGCTGGTCGCAACTCCTGTAGTAACATACGAGTAGCTAACCATCCGCTTTCACCCCCACTATAACCACCGAGCCACCCCCGGCTCTGTCACCAACCACCCCCCGGTCTCTTCACGGGCATGCAGTCCACGTAACCCGGCACGACCAGCGGGAGAAGATAGAGAAAGAGCCACGAAGCAGAGACTCCGCCCGTTACGTACGACGGAGCGGGCCTCTCAGCCCCAGGCGTTGTCGCGCGGACAATTGCACCCGTCGGAATGGTGCGGACTTCGCCCGGGGAGGCCAAACCTACCAAAACTCACCTTCCATGAAGCTCCTATCCAGGAGGGAGGAGGACCAAAGAGGAGCAGGTACTAACGCGAAGGGAAATTGTGCTAATTATACTACCTCCATCAAGGCATCCGCCGGGCTCCAGCCCACGAGCGGGCACAGCAAAATCCGTCTTAGTGTTTGAATAGCGTCGATCTAGCTATTTACTGCTCTTCCACCCCTTCTCCCATTTTCTGTTTCCCTTCAACAACTCACATTCGTTCTTACCTCCCTCCCCTTCATATCTCCATTCCACTCGCTTCATTTCACCTCCAGTCTCTCGTTTGCTGCCATTGAGGTCTTTTTGCGTGTTTCTGCAACCTTCTTCGAACCAAATAAAGTTTCTTTTCCAGATCCGACGCACTGACACGATGATGTTCGAGGGAGTTTTGAGCTGGTTCCGCCCTGCGGAAGCCGAGGTTGTGCAGGAGACCAGCTGGGATCCCGTTACCTTGACCATGGTCCAACCCAAGAGTCCGGTCGCTCCCACCACAGATGAGATTGTCACCGATCAACCGGTATGTTTGATTCACATGGTGAAAAAAAAAAATATGTTGTCGCGCAGGACACTAATCCGACTGGGCGATGGCAGATTCTCGGCGAAGGGATGGACTTGCGACTCCGCGGTGGTGACAGTGCTGAGGACGGGTAAGTCGCCCGGGGCAGCCAACCCTAACCCGACCGACTTCGCCTACAGTACCTATAACTAAACCCCAACCTTCGTGCTAGATGCTGCTTCTGCTGTCGCTGCTGCAGCTGTCTCGATTCCTGCTGCGCCCCCGACGACGGTCCCGGCCAACGGCTGTAATCCATCGATCGCGATTCCAACCATGCCTACGTACAGTACATAAATCATCCCTTTCTTGCCAGCCACTACATCCGACACATACCGACCATCCCTCGGACTGATTTATCGGGGGTGTTCCTGCATACATAATGTCTTATTCTGCCCGGTCTCAATGGCCGGGAAGACGGGTGAATCGCCAAACTCGCTCGCCTCATCTTTTCTCTCGTTCCGCATACTTCTTTCATCATCTGTGTATAATATCATCTCCCGTCATGACTTGCATCAGCCGCAATAGATTTCCTTGGTTCGGACCACAACTCGGTTTATTGAATAGCTGGCTTCTTTCTGGATACATCGATATATGACGACTACAACAATTTGAGTGACGGGGTGGGAAGGTGACGATGGCGGATATTGTACGAGCGAAGCCACGAATTCGACTGTGCACGAACACCACGAACACGACATCGCTGCTTTCCCGGCTCCCTTCGACAAAGCTTGTATGCGTGGACTGTGTTACGGTCAGTCGGAGGGGTCTATCATTCGGGTGCGAAGCTCCATCGGCCGTGGGCGCAATTGCGCGAACTGTGGCGGAGATCAGTCTGCGCTCGTAGGAGCGAGAATCGTCGGGATGTCTTCCGCTGTAGCATTTCTAGAAACAATAATGGAGGTAGTTTGTAAAGCCCAAGAATGACCGTCACTATAGAGAGATTCTGAACATCCAGGAGGGTTAATTCTAGTCAAGCACATGTTAAAGTTGAAATGCTATCTATATGATCTTCGATAATGAAAGAACTGATAAGTAGCCGGTGAACGTCGACGATCTTCACCCAGTCGAGGATCGCTTTTGGGTGCTTAGTAGGCACTCTATATCAGCTGCCTGCTATTGGCGAGAGACGCGTTAGCTTCCCATCCGAACCTTGGTTTGGGGAATATGATAGCAAAAAGACCGCGGTTTCACAACGACCCGACCGGATTACCTAGTGGTCGGATCCGCCAGCATCATTGGTCTAGTGGTAGAATTCATCGTTGCCATCGATGAGGCCCGTGTTCGATTCACGGATGATGCATATCTTTTTTTCTTTGTCTTCGGCTTACTTGCCTGACTGAGTACACCAGCCCGCCTCCTTTTCCTTTTGTTTGTCTCGCTTGCGGTAAATAAGAAAGGACCTTAATTTGGATCGTAGTATGTCTATTATCACGTATCAATATTTATATGGCGCCCATTGTTCGGCATAGTGGAGATGTCGGCTGAAGTCTCGACAAAAATATACTTCCCCGCAACCGCGCCATCCCCAGATTGGCTCCCAAAATAGAGTTAACCTTCCGACACAATGAAAAGAAGATCGTATTCGCATCACCTGACCCCAAACAAGGCCACCTCCTCTGGCTTTCCCTGCTAAAACCCTTGGTTCCCTGTCCCCTCGTGTCGTCATGCAATCATGTGCACCGCCAGATGGGAGCTGCATATAACCAGCGCGCGCAACGCCCTTGTGGAAGCATCGACCAACCCCAGCTCCATGCATCAAACCACAACAACCCAATCCCCACCACCACCACCCGGCCCACCAAGGCAACAGCAAGAATGACCTCCTCCCCAACCAGCCGCAACGCCGTCGACCTCCTCACCAGCCTGGCCGGAATCATCACCACCATCGCCACCAACCTGCACGCCAACCGGCTCGACCGCGCGCGGCTCCGCGCCACGCTCAAGGAGTACGCCGCGCGCGCCGAGTCGGACGCCAAGCTGATCAACGCCTCGCGGCAGTCGCAGCGCTGCGTCGAGCACGGCCTGCTGCTCGCCTACGTGCACATGGAGTTCATCGCCACCCTGCTGCGCTACAACCTGACCGTCCCCGCCACGGCCGTGAAGTGGTACAGCGTGCGCTCGCTGCGGAAGCGCCACCGCCTGTCCCTGTTCGGGATCCCCGCGCAGGCGCGCGACCTGCGCGCCCAGCTGGAGAATATCCAGAATAAGGCTGAGTTGCTGTATGCGGATTTCGCGGAGAGTGGGGTATGTTTATCCCCCAAAAACTTGTTTCTTCGGCGAAGGGGTCCGGTGCGGTGTAGGGCTATTATGCGCTGAGACTGAGAACTGGCCGGGTAGGTGCAAATCCCCGAGACGCCGATTCTGTATCGCAAGGTTACGGCTTGTGAGCCGGTTGGGGCGCCGCCGGAAGGTGTGTGTTTCCCTTGTCTGTGTGTGTGTTTGGGTTTGCTGATATGGGGCTGGGCTTAGCGATTCATGATCTCCTCCGTCGCGGGACCCTTGCTGAGCAGGAGCTGAGTGGGAAGATTCCGCCTTGAAGGGTGTGAGGATACCAGGTTGTGGACGTAAGCATTATCCGTTTAATGGGAGTTTGGGCGAAAAGTATATCTTGAGGGAGGTTCTTGCTTTGAAAGCGGAGATAAGTCTCAGTGAACTTAATATCAAGGGTTTGCATTGATTGCTGGTGCTTGCGATCACAGATGTTCTTTCTAGCTTTTTACACCTCGCGGTGACTCGCCTTCAGGCGCCTGGTTGGCAATTCAAGTCGATCGCTGTGTCAGGGGGGTCAAGGCCGGTAAAATACTGTGATGCTTTTCACGCTGACTCCCGCAGCTTGTGGAGTTGATAGTGCACACACCTGGTCTAGCAGGTTGCACCAGCGAGTGCCCGGAGAGCTCTGGTCTGAGGCAATATCGAAAGACTTCTAGACACCTGCCCTTCCGAGTACTCAGGGCCTCTCCAAGCGACGCACGCTAGTCTTTTTATGCCTTGGTTCTCTCTAAGTACTATACTCGATTACCCATAGATTGTTCAATGGCGGTAAACCAATATCACGATTGCCTTAGCAATAAGGCCGTAGGGTATTATTTGCGTTAGATAGACTAAACGCAACTTGATCCCTCGCATAGGATATATATAATCTTTGATTCTTGCAATTAGTTAAGAACAGTCGATCATATAGTGGCGCTCGTAAGTACCGTGACAACCGGCAAACCAAAATTTCACAACCAGTGGCTTGCTATACCCACCTTTTCTGGCATTCTTAAGCTCTGAATCTGTAAAGGAGTCATCTGGTATCAATTTTGTGCGTACCTGAACAACTCGTACTGTAAAGCCAAAATCTTACCCTCCGAAAATGTCTGTTGTCGGGCCTAGAAGATACTCGGGAGCCTTTCCTTCAAAGCGTTCTCGTCAAGAAACTAGGGGCCGATGCGCAATGTCTCGCTTCGGAAGAAGAGGCTCAATCTCCATCCGGAACCAAACATTTTCAAGTCTGGAAATGGAAATTCCTTTCGTGGAAGCGGGCGCCGAGTTGCTACCGACTCTCACATGCTGTTCTTGGTACGGAGGGTTTATCGATGAGGTGATTCAGGAACCCCTGGAGCACATTACGGACATTCCAGTGTTCGTCCCAGCATCATCTACCTTATTCCTCCGCTCCCTGGCTCTATACAGTTCTTCGCACCCCGCAATTGAGGTTGTCTCTAGACTTCTAGTATTTATATGACAGCCATTGTATAACAGCCATGTAACCATCACGCCGGGGTTGATTGGGGGCACCGATCAACTTCGTCAGCGTGCGTGGAGCCGTGTACGTGATCTGAAACATCAGTACAACCGGATCAAGATCAAGGTCAAGATGATCACCTATCTGGCTATTGTAAGGCAGGCATCAATCTCGTCTCCTCCAAGCAGTACTTAGCATAAACCATACGAGAGATGCAGGAACCAACGTGTGGAAAACCTCCGTCTAGCGCGCAGTACCTAGTTCCGTCATACAGTGAATATAAACAGAGGAAAATTAGACATTTTACTGTAGTGTTCATTCCAAGACAATTGAGGTAACTCCGATGTACCATCAATCAGCCCAACCCCATCAATTTCCCCATCAGGCCAGTCCCACGCAGACTTGAGTATCCGGAAGAAGTATACGAGCCCTAAAACCTTCCCTCGCACCCCAGCAACTGCAGCTGAGTACAATATACTTTCTTACCCCCAGCGCATTATCCTCCCCCGCAGGCCCCCAAACCCAGTGTTACAACACAACCGCATATTCTCCGACCCGACAACCGAGCCCAGTATATAACCCCCCCTCACCGTCCCGAAGATCCATACCCTCCTCTCCAGCTTCCCACCTAGGTATCACCAGGGAAAAGCAAAACCAGTCCACTAAGCCCTTACCAATTCCCCCTCCCAAACCAAGCTTCTCGCTTCCGTTTCATACCCAGCCAAGAAAATGAAACTCCTACTCCTCCCCCTCCTCGCCCTCCAAGCGACCGCCTGGTCGCTGACCATCTACTTCACCGACGGCGGCCACATCACCAGCACCGGCCGCCTCAATTCGGGCTGCAAGGCCTACGACCTCCCCGTCCACAACCGCCAGGTCAACCGTGTCTCCTTCAGCGAGAGCACCTTCGCCGACACCTTCGAGCTGTTCAGCGACAAGGACTGCCGGAACCGCGTGTTTCGGGAGGGGAAGGGCAGTCATCGCGTGCAGCCGCCGCGGCGGGTGAGGGCTTATAAGGTTTATTGAGATTTGGGGGTGGGGGTGGGGTAGGGGCCTCAGATTACGGTGGATTTGGGGAATTGTGTGAGTCCGGTTTGGGGTTTTGGGGTGCGGTGGTTGATGGGGGGGGACGGGGGTTGGTTACAGAGCTAAAGGCGGGTAGGTTGGGAGTGTTTGGATGGGTTATGGGGTGGGGATCGGGGAGGCGTTTGTTCGTTTTTGCTGTATACGTGCTATCTTGTGATTTAGTGATTGGATGGAGTTCTTGGTTTGGGAGGCTAGAGTTGGCCAGGTTCAATTCAAGGTGTTTGTTGGTTACGAGAGTAATTGCACGAGCAAGAGGCGTAGCAGCCTCGAATCAGCCGAGTACGAGGTCTGTATCAGGACGATAGTGCGTTAAGAGTGCAACATCGGAAGGGATGCTTGACGATGAGATTGAACTTTTTATGAATGTCTTACAGCAGGTCAAATTGAGAGGAGGTATTGCGCTGAATCAACCGCCCAATATCTCAGACCTCAACAAAGATATAGGAAAGAGATGCTCATAAGACTCCGCAGATGAGTCCCATTTACGAAACAACGAGACCTACAAACCTACAAAGCAGGCAAAGGTTACTTCCTACTGCAGGCCAGGCTGCGACATCGGCGACACTCCAGGCGGCGCCACCCAGAACACATTCTTCTGACACAGGACCTTAAACTCTTCCAGAATTTGATGGATTTCCGACATCTCCCCCACAATCCGGTACTCGTTCCGCCGATTCCGCGCATGCAGGGCCCGGGGATCATTCCTCAAGATCCGTCGCCGCTGCGCGCAATGCTGCGAGTAGAACCGACACTTCTTGCCAACGATGACAATTCCCTCAAAGTCCAGGTATCGTCCGGCGCTATCGGGAACCAGCATCTTCAGATGGTTCAGCCGCCATAAGAAAGCATTCCTCTCCGGGGGCCGCTCGTGGCCGCCCACCACCACCAGGAAGGTGGTGGACCCCGGAGTCGAGAGTTCGAGGACCTCGTTGAGGGTCAGATCCTCTGCCTGGGTTAGAGGGTTGGGGATCCAGCCACGCTTGTAGATGTATCCCTTGGACGGGGGGAAGAGTTGTTCCAGGGCGTCGACGATGCGCTGGAAGTAGATTGGGCGTGTCATGGTGGGGGTTTTGGGAGGTAAGGCACTTACCGGCTATCCTGTGAATATGGAGTTTAGTGATGAGAAGGGTGTCTGCATGATTTGGAAGGTATTTTATATCCTTTGATGTATTAAAGGTCCTGGAAGTTCTCTGGTGCAGTCTATCTTGCACAAAGAATATGGTTGTGGTGATGATGTAGTATGCGGGAGTTTCCAGTTATATTGCTTTGACGTGGCCTCCATCTGGTTCTTAGTGACGGTAGTAGATGAAATTCCCGCAGATAGTTCACACCCAAATGGGAGAGATGTAAAATAAGACGGTTTACCGCAGTTAATACATGGTCAAATGGCACTTCATATAGTGTTTTGAGTCGGGTAGCTTATAATCCTATGACAGTGTATGCTCTCGACGTACAAGAGAGGTTCGACCTTTGGAATTCGAGAAGAAGACTAGATCTGAAACCGAAAACCTGGTTGCTCACTGGTGACTTCGTGTATAGAAATCTGCTCTCCGAGTTATTAGCATCTTATCTCTCTAACTGGAAAACGTCAGGGGTTGCATGCACTGTACTGTACTTGGGGCATAAAACGATGTTTCAACTTCAAACAATCTTGTAGTTTCTTGAAGTCCCGGTAAAGATATCGAGCTAAGGTCTGGTAATCTTGGAACGAGGTAGGCATTCATGTGAAGTGGAGTTGAATCTCACTGTAAATATTGGATGTGTTACCTTCCGCCAGACAGCCACCACCACACCACAACAACAACTACTTTATCGACAACATACACTCGTCTTCCTCCTTTCTCCTATCACCCTTTCACTCTTCCACCCTTCTCTCTCCATCTCATCTCTATCATTCTTTTGACCCCGATCCTGTAAAATCTCCAAATCCTCCCATTACCTTGACTTCTCACCTTCAATATGTCATCACTCCAATCCCGAGGAATAAACAATTCCCTGGACGCCCACTTCCTCCACAAACACAAACGCCTGTACGACTTCGCCCAGTCTCATAAAGGCGAGGAGTACCCCTCAACCAAGCATCTTCGTGCTGAGCTCCTTCAACTCTTCAAGGTTCGGGGACACCACCCAGCAGAGGGGCTAATGTTCTCATTCCCCCTTTCCCCCGCCTACGCCCCCTGCACAACCCCGTTAGAGCACCTCACCAAGATCATGGTCGATAACTTGAAGCTCGAAACCCACCACCGCGGGCAGTACATTCTTCTACGGACATTGACACCAACCGACTTCCTCGTCGCTGTGGGAGCTGTCGCGGAAGCCGAGGCGGGGAATGTGATCATGCTGCAGCTGCATAACCAGGAGACCGAAGTCTTCGCTCGGGGGGGTTTTCCTGAAGGGACGGTGCTGGTTGTGGTTGAACCGTATCTGCATGTTCCTGGTGTTAGCCCTTGTGCGATCCGCGTGGATCATCCTTCTGACCTGCGCGTTCTGTCGGATTGGGACATCATCGTGCCTGTGCAGTGGCGCCGACAGTTGTTCGGGTCCGAGCTGGGTGCCATGCAGTGGAAGGCGAAAGGGAATGATGCATTCAATGCCGGGGAATATCGTCGTGCGATCGATTGGTAAGACACGCGGGTCACAGTTTCCTGCGTACAGAAGCTGACCGCCGAGGACAGCTACACTCAAGCTCTGTCCTCCTCACCCACCCCGGACGAGGCCACGAGGCGCTCCCCGCCGCTGTTGGACCGCGCCACCTACGTCGGCCCTGTCGCCGTGCGCCCGGCACAGTCGTCTGGGCTGGGACTCTTCACGATCACGGCCGTCAAAGCCGGTGATCTGCTGGTTTGTGAGAAGGCGCTGGCCTACGCCCAGGTGAATCTGCATGACTTCAGCAAGAGTCTGATAACGCGGGTCGACCCGGAACGCGAGAGGATCAGCCCCGCAAATGATATCGAGCTGTTGAGACTGATGACGCAGAAGCTTCTCAAGACCCCGTCGCTGATACCAGGAATCATCACGCTGCACCATGGAGAATACGAGAGTGTTGACGTGCGCGAAGTGGACAACACACCGGTGGTGGATAGGTGAGCTTATTCCTCGCTGAGAGGGGGAGGCGTACGCCAGGCTGACCAAGTATATACGGCACCCCAGCTTCCTTCTCGACAGAATCATCGCCGCCAACGCCTTCTTCAACGACCGATCCAGTCGCCGCGAGGAGCACCGTCAGACCTGGGGCTCCGATGGGCGCGTCGCCGCCAAAAAGGCCGACGTCGTTTCCTGTGGCGTGTGGCCTCTAATCTCCCGGATCAACCACTCCTGCCACAGCACCGCGGAGTGCGCATTCATCGGCGACATGCGGATCGTCCGCGCCGCCCGGGACCTCCCAGCGGACACGGAAGTCACCAGGCATGTATCGCACCGTCCACAGCATCGGGTGCTGCTTCGACCGGGATCTTGATAGCACGCCGGCCCTGAACTTCCGCCAATGGGGCTTCCGGTGCACCTGCATCCTGTGCAACGACCACGAGGCGACCCCCGCGGACAACCTGCACAGACGGCGTCAACTCCTGCGGGAGCTGGGAGTCGTGCTGGCGATGCTAAAGGATGGAGTCTCGGATTCCACGAAGCTCGAAGAGCATGTTATCAACAAAATCGCTAGCACTTACGTCCGACCCGCGGCGGAAGTGCCCCGTCTGGCGCTGGAGAAGGGATATCCACTGCTGGCGCTGCTTTGGGCGCGGTAGAATACCCCGCGCAGGGCGATTGAGTATGCAGTCAAGGGGTTTGAGGCGCTGGGCTATGTTGTAGAAGGCGCGCTGCCTCCGTATCCTTCGGGAGGTGGCGGGGGTGGAAGACGCCTGCGGGTGAAGAAATGGGGAGTTGTGGCGGAGGGGCTGGTCGGGTGCTGGATGACGTTTGCGCATTCATATCGCAAGGTGGCGCCGGCTCTGGCCCCGCAGGCTCAGGAGTTTGCCAAGGTCACGTATCGGATTGTCGTCGGGGAGGATGAGACTTTTGGGGAGCCGTTTGCGTGGCGGGCTGATTTGCCGGATGGGTTTCTTTCTCCGGAGCGGTGATTCCTGGAATTTTGACTTCTTTGATGTGGTCTTAGGTGTGGCAAGATCCCTGGTGCGGTGGTGATTGATTCGTGGTGATGGGGTTGTGGTGGTTGATGTCGTGGAGATCCTTGCTGCGATGCTTAGCTTAATAGCACAGACGACTCCGTGTCTAACAAATCCAAGAGTCACAAAAATGTACCTACGGCGTAAAACTCCAGATTAACCCGATGCCATTCTGCTATGCGCTACCCAAGAGTCCCTAAGCCACAAACTAAACTAAACCCACCACCTCATCCCCATCCCCAACCTCAACCCTAACCCTCCCTCACCCATCGCCCAGACCAACCGCGCATAACACCCCCACCCCCTCCCCTAACCCAAAAGATCATCTCAATATCACCCCCTAAAAGGTGACACTAGTAGTAGGCCTCTACCACCCCCAGCATCAGCATCAGCATCAACATCAGCACACACAAACACCCCATGATACCCCACCTCTCACCCAATAGAACTCGAACTCACCGCATTTTGGGCATTCTGGTCCTGGCCCATACCAAAATCCTGCTCCTGCTCCTGCTCCTGCTCCTGACCCTGATCCAGATCCAGATCCAGATCCTGCTCCTCAGGCTGCTCCTCTGTCCCGATACAGATATCATCCCGGTTGACGCCGTTGTCCTGGCACGCGCCGCGCCGGCACGTCGCCCGGTAGATCAGGTAGTCCTCGTCGGCGGTGCAGAGGTACAGTGAATCCAGCAACTGGTGGGAGGACGGGGCGATCCCTTCGCGCTGCAGAGCGGTTTGCATGTCCTGGGTGTAGTTGCCTATTCCATCCGAAGAGGGGAAGAAAAAAGTTTGTTAGCTTGCACATACTTGAGAATCGGGGAATGAGGGCTTGGGGAGGGTTGGCGGTTTAATCTGTAGATGGCTTGGGTTCTGGGTTTGTGTGTGTTTGTGTGTGCATGTGTTGATGCTTATGCTATCCTCGAGTTTGAACAGGGGAGAAGAGGGGCTACCCTTCTTGACCAGGGAGGTACCGCAGTAGGTCATGCCCTGGGTGCAGCGGATGGCGACGGCGCAGGAAGCGGCGCCCAGGATGGCGAGGATGGTGGAGGTCTTCATTTTGATGTTGGCAATAGGGTCTTGGTTTGGTTTGATGAGACGGGATGAGATGATTGTATTCGAAGATGTTGTTTGTTGATGAAGGTGTGATTTGGGAGGATTGTTCGTGATATTTATGTCTGGTCTTCATTTATGAAGATGGTGGACGATGGTCTAGATCGTGGTTATAGGAACAGAAGCTATTGTTAGCCATTGCTCGCCTCATTTGTGGGAAGGTGACTATCGCTGCAGCGGGTCGCGGCACGCAGTATTGTTGGCATGCAACTTGAATAATCATACCCCCTTTGAAAAGGCAATAGATAGAATATTATAGCGGTGCATGCAAGCAATATTTGTCAAGAGGGTAATACTGCTCCGCAGCCGATGTTCGGGATCATACCACGCTTTGATTGTGTTAAGTTCAAATAGACTTGAATCCTACGGTATCGTTTCGCAGCTGACAGATTATACCTTACTCTGTGCCAGGAACGTCTATTTAGTATCACTAGATGCGCCGCACCATGCAAGTCATGTGTACTCTGTAGATAACCGGAGCTCGGAGGCAGGATTGCCTAATCCGGTAATTCATGTTCCACCAGAAGCTCGGTATTGGAGCTAACACAGAATTGTAGTATAACAGACTCAGACTTATGGCATGCATGCCGCATCCCCACTCACTTCATCAAATCTAGAACTACTCCGCAGCCTGCACCACCTGGGCCCAGTCCCCAAACCCATACGCCCCCGGGACAGCTGCCCCATCAAACAAGCTCGCCATGACCACGCGATCCGACTGCTCCCCCTGCCACGGCTCCCGACCGTGCTGCGCCACAATATTATCAAACACCAGCACATCGCCCTTCTCCCAACGATGCAGTACCCGGATCTCGTCCGTGATCTTCGCCAAGTGCGCCAGATACTTGTCTGGAATTGGCGTGCCGTCCCCGAAAAGCTGCTGCGTGTCATTTCTCCGTGCACCCGAGTTGACCTGCCATCTCTTCCAATATGCCGCCAGACCCGTGAAGAGCGTGGGAAGGTTAGTCCCCGGCTGTGTTCGAATGGCAGGGAGGCGGTGCGTGAGAACCAGCTGTGTCTGGCCGTCGTCGTCTTTTGACCATTCCCAGGTGGTGTATCCTCCTCGTCCGTAGCGCGCAATCTGCGCCTCTACCTTGCGACGCTTGGTTTCCTCGTCATCACCTGGTTGAAACTCCTTTCCAAATGCCTGACGCAGTGTCGAGCCGCCTGAGAACTGCTGCTCGACTTTATACGTCACGCGACTGAGGATGCCTTTCTCAGCCAGTTCGTCGATGAACTCCGGGATCTCACGTTGAGCGCGATTGAAGAGCTCGAGGGAGGAGGAGATTGGCGATTCACCACCTTGCTTTGGTGCACGGTGGCCATAGAAGAAGACGTATTCGGGTGCGTGAGGGACTTGTGGAGACTCGTTGTGGTTGTAGATGAGAACTTCCTTGGGTGCCTCATTGGCCGGTGCCACGTTAGGCGCAAGAAGGGGTCTATCAACCACAATCCCGATAATTTCATGTGGTTTATAGCCGAAAGCGTGGGCAAATCTACTGAAGTCCTCTGCATTGCGGATAGGCAAGTCGCGGAAGAGGATGGTTCCGTGGCGTGCGAGTTGCTTCGTAAGACTGTTCTCTTGTCTCTGAAGAGATTCGATGGTGGCGATAATACTGTCAAGGGTAATTTCAGAAGTGCTGTGTAGGGTAGGACGCAGGGCAAGCGGAATCACGGTTCCTTTTGGGTGGGGAGGCCCAAGTGAACGCTGATTAGATGCAGAGAGCTCGAAAGAATTGAAACTGATTAAATCTCGTGGCGGTTGCCCGTCGAGTGAGAGCTCGCCGATTTGAATTTCTTCCGTGACCGTGGCCATTTCGCTGAATTCGTAGCCTTTCAAGACAATTTGGTTGATGGAAACGTGGGCAAGAGTTGAGTCGCAATCTCTAGCTCATCCAGCAACAAGCGGGGTAAATTCGGTCTCTTATCTCACAGGGTCACAGAGAAACGAAGAGCTGCAATGATTGGTGTTGATGTGCTCCTGACCGGGATCATTCGCTGCCAAGATGTGCTGAGGGGTATATTTGCTTGTGCCATGCATGGCCACGGTTACGTGACCAAGCACCCGATAGAAACGATCGTCGTGTTGGCAGACATAAGTCAAGCCCCTTGCATCTGCTAGAGCAGACAAAAGAGACAGCTACCTAGAATCTTCTCGCACTTGTTAATCATGGCGACAAGTCCAAAAGTGGATCAGGAAGCAATCATGGCCGACATAGCAAGTATGTCCGACTCGCAACAAGAGCGTCAACAAACCCATTTCCGATTCTTCCGGAGCACGCTCTTCCAAATCCTCGTCGTCGGACTTTGCGCATTTTGTGCCCCTGGCATTTGGAGCGCCATGAATGGCCTCGGGGTGGGCGGCTCCCAGAGTCCCAATCTCGTCAATGCCGCAAACGCTCTCCTCTATGCTTTCATGACAGTTACCTGCTTTGCAGGTCCATGGATGACCAACCTCATTGGGTTTCGCTGGACCCTCACGCTTGGGTCCATTGGTTACCCGCTATATGCAGCAGGGCTATACCTGAACAACCGCACGGGTGCCGCTTGGCTCGTGTACTTTGGCTCGGTGGCCTGTGGCATCAGTGCAGGTTTCTTTTGGAGCGTCGAAGGGGCCATAGCAACCGGCTACCCTGAGCAGCACAAACGCGGCCGCTACCTAGCAACGTGGTTTACCTTCCGGAACTTTGGGAACATCATTGGCGGAGCAATTTCACTTGCTCTTAACCACGACGTCAACCATAAAGGCCAAGTCGGGTACCAGACGTATCTTGGATTCATCGCCATTCAGTGCCTCGGTTTGGTCTTCGGTCCCCTGCTATCGAATCCAGAGATGGTACAACGTGACGACGGAACACGCATCGAAGCCAGTCGCGGAATTGAGTGGCGCCAGGAAGGTCGAATCATGTGGCGACTAATACGTAGCAGGTCGATCTTGCTGCTTGTGCCACTGTTCTGGTACTTTGGCTGGATTCAGGCGTATCCGGGCACGTATCTCGCGACTTATTTCACCGTCCGGTCGCGAGCTCTGGGAAGCTTTCTGTCCGCTATCGTAGGCACACTGGCTACTTGGTTGGGGGGGTCACTGGTTGATCTACCATGGCTGGAAAGCCGCAAGAAGCGGGCTATCTTCACATATATTCTGATCGCTGCATTGAACAGCACTACCTGGATATGGGCTGTGGTGATTCAAAACGAGTATCGCCATACCCAGCCGGTTCTGGATTGGGGCAATCAGCGCTCATTCGGACGAGGGTTTGGCTTGTACCTCTTTGAACGCATCAGCCTTGGCTTTGTTGAAAATTATATCTATTGGTGTATCGGCAATCTGTCTGATTCCCCAGGCGATCAAATCCGCTACAGCTCGTTGCTGAGGGGCATTGAGACGGCTGGTGTGGCTGTGGGATTTGGCGTCCAGGCTGTTCCGACCGCGCTGATTGCGACAGCGAGTATCAACTGTGGCTTGTGGTTCTTCGCACTGCCTTTCAGTTACTATGCCACTCTGCAGGTTTTGCGGAAATTGGAAAGCCAGGGGAAGAGTACCGACGGACAGGAAGCTTCGAGTCAATATAATGCTGATTAATCCCAGGCGATACCTCGGGTTCACTGCATCATCATTCATCGACTGCATGATATGCCGATGACTTTCTTCATTCTTGTCATTGGCAAGAGTCAAGCGGAAGACCCATATCGGCTGAAAATTCCAGGTGTCCTGGGGTGGTATCGATATACCAACAGTCTCTTGAGTAGAAGTATGCAGTAAGGTGTCAGAGTGAGTGAATGAGGCGGGTGAAAAGGACGGTAGAAGAGAAAGTGAAATGGTAGGAAAGGTCATGTGCCTGGGAGTTTGTGGTCTTTGTCTGGTTGGCGTCATTTGTCTTGTTTAGTCTGTTTGGCAAGACCATCACTCATCACCGTTTCGTCCCCTTTCGATGCGACATGTCAACTACAACCGTACCGATGGGTGGAGAGCCTCAAGAGTTGTGGGCGTGGACATTATTCACGTCTATGAGAATGAGCACAGCACTTCATATTTGTGGAAAGACCATGCTAACAACCGATGGAATAGGAATTAATCCTTGAATGAGCTTCTTCTTCCTACCGGTGTAGAACTGGCACTCGATATCAATGAGCGCACGGGCATTGTCCTGCCCTTTGGGCAAGATATATATCACAACCGGACATTCGTGATAAACAACTACAAGGACCACTCGAGAGCATCCGGCAACCCAGAGTGAAATGAAACAGCGCAGACAACACCATCCGAAGATACCTAAGCTACACGCATCGCCAGTCGTCTGTTTCTTCAATGATGGCGCTCCAAAAACAAAAATCAAAGGCAAAGCACACCAGGAGGTATGCAGTGATGCAAAAAGATGGTCCCAGAGGGGCTCGAACCCTCGACTTTAACGTTATTAGCGTTACGCTCTAACCAACTGAGCTATGGGACCCGGTTGATATGAAAGGCTGAGTCCTGTGCTATCTCAATCGCAACAAAATGAATAGAGGCACGAAAAATGGAAACCTCACCTCATGCACGCTTGCTGCCTAGAAACCGGGCACCTCGTGTCTCCCCGAATTTCAACTCATGTGGCTGGCCGAGGGAATGCGACCCACTGCCCCGGAACTGGCGGCGCCGATAACTGGAGTAGAAGGAATTGCGCCGATCGCAACCACGCCATAGTCAAGAAAGGTTAAGCATTCGGCGCCGTGCTTGTTCGCCTTGGCTAGTTCATGCGAGTTTGCCGACAATTCCTTCTCGCCAATGACCCTGTTTTGCTGGCCATTGCACCATCCATCGTCAAGAAAGCAACGCTGCTCACAGCCTACGACAACACCCAATAGTGCATCCTTGACCGACCTCGCCGCCCAGTCTCGCAAGTAAGACATTTGCAAAGGGTAGGCAACAGCAAGAAATGGCGCGGTTGAGGAGGAACACCCCTTATCATCCAGCGGGGCAGATTTACCCCGACGGACTCCGAGTGAGGGTCGAGGGTAAACAACCCCATTCTTATCACGACATCGCTTACGGAGCCGAGCCCATATTGTCTGGGGTGCCCTGAGTAATTGCACAACAAATAGCAGTAATCTGCAGGTCCCGTTCACCTGCATTAGCTTAACGAATTACGAAATGCATTCAAGGAACCCCGTCGGTGTGCCTGCAGGCAGCTTCGATCCGACCAAACGATGCAGACAAGAAAAAAAAAAAACACGTCGATGCGCGATATGACCTCACCGACCCGCCCGTGCACTTATAACGGCGGTGTTCCCCCGACATTTCCCCAACCCAGTTGTGCTTCTCGTGGGATACGCTCTGTCTTGTCAAGATGCATACCAACGGCCTGTACACGGCACTTCTGTGCTCCCTGGCGGCTTCGGCTCAAGCCGTCGTCCATGAGAAGCTGGCGACCGTCCCTGCCAGCTGGACTTATCTCGAGGATGCTGCTCAGAGCAACACCATCAGTTTGTCGATTGCTCTGAACCGTCAGAACCTGGACAAGCTTCAAGCCAAGCTCACGGCCCTTGCCACCCCTGGTGAAGCCCAGTACGGCCAATGGCTGGATTTGGAGGACATCAACAAGGAGTTCCCTGTGGCCAGCGCCGACGCCGTCATCAGCTGGCTGCGCAGCGCCAACATCACCCAGATCTCGCAGGATGGCAGCATGGTGAATTTTGCTGCGCCCGTGGGCACGGTGAACAAGCTCCTCAACACCACATTTGCCTACTACCAAAGCGGCTCTTCCACCAAGCTGCGCACCACCCAGTACTCCATTCCGGAGAGCTTGGTCGACACGATTGACCTGATCTCCCCGACCACCTACTTCGGCAAGGACAACGCCCAGGCGGAGCTGTCGAAGCTGACGGTGCAGCTCCCGTCGCAGCACGCCAAGAGAAGCTCCAACTCTTCCTGCGCCGAGCGCATCACCCTGTCCTGCCTGAAGGAGATGTACAACTTCGGTAGCTACACTCCCAGTGCCTCGTCGGGAAGCAAGATCGGGTTCGGCAACTTCTTGAACGAGTCGGCCTCGTACTCCGACCTTGCCGGCTTCGAGAAGTACTACCACCTCCCCTCCCAGGAGTTTGACGTCGAGCTCATCAACGGCGGCGTCAACGACCAAGACCCCGCGACCGAAAGTGACGGCGAGGCCGATTTGGATGTCGAGCTGATTGTCGGTGTTGCGCATCCTCTTCCGGTGACGGCCTTCATCACAGGCGGTCTTGCGTGAGTCCTGTACTACTCTGCGGATGACGATAGCAAAGCATGCTAATATGCGCAGTCCTTTCATCCCCGACCCCGATGAGCCCACGACTGCGGACGACTCGAACGAGCCCTACCTCCCGTACTACGAGTACCTCCTGTCGAAGCCCAACTCGGCTCTGCCCCAGGTCATCTCCAACTCCTACGGTGATGACGAGCAGGTATGCGACTACCTCAGCCACACGAACCGTGTGTCTCACTAACCGCACCAGACTGTTCCCGAGTACTACGCCAAGCGCGTCTGCAACCTGATCGGCCTGATGGGTCTCCGCGGTATCTCCATCATCGAATCCTCCGGCGACGAAGGTAAGCCAGCCCAGCCCAGCCCAGCTCAGCCGACACGCCTCCTCCCACATACATATCTCCTTCTGTAAACAGTTCTAACGCCAGAAAAAACAGGAATCGGCTCCGCCTGCCGCGCCGGAGACGGCAGCAACCGCCCGCAATTCCAGCCGACCTTCCCGGCGACCTGCCCCTACGTGACCGCCGTCGGCGGCACGCAGTCCTACGGGCCCGAGATCGCCTGGACGGGCAGCTCCGGCGGCTTCAGTAACTACTTCCCGCAGGCGTGGTACCAGCACGACGCGGTCGAGAAGTATTTGTCGCACCACATCGCCAAGGACACCAAGAAGTACTACTCGCAGTACGCCAACTTCAGCGGCCGCGCGTTCCCCGACGTCTCCACTCACAGCTATGATCCTCCGTAAGTTCTGCACCCATACCCATACCCCATAACCTGCCCCCCACTCGATGATCTAAACCAGAAACCCACCCCTTGCTAACCCAACCCAGCTACGTGGTCATCGAAAGCAACACCACCGTCGGCACGGGCGGCACCTCGGCCGCGGCCCCGGTCTTCGCTGCGTTGGTCAGTCTTCTCAACGACGCCCGCCTGCGCGCCGGCAAGCCCGCCCTTGGGTACCTAAACCCGCTGCTGTACAGCAAGGATATCAGCAAGCGGTTCACCGATGTCACCCTGGGCCAGTCGGTCGGCTGCGACGGCACGGACCCGCAGACCGGCGAGACCGTCCCGGGCGCCGGGATCATCCCCTGGGCGTTCTGGAATGCAACCGTCGGCTGGGATCCGGTTACTGGACTGGGGTTGCCGGATTTCGAGAAGCTGAAGGAGGTGGTGCTGAAGTATTAGGTTAGATTTTATGTAGAGGTAGATGCCGTGGATGGTGTTTGTGCTGCAGAGAGTATAAAGATGTAATGCTGTGTATATGTGTACTTAGTGGTGTGAATAACATTTCCGTTCTTCTCCTTTTTCTTTTACCCCCCCCCCCCCCCTCCCTTTTTTTTTTTTTTTTTTGTTTTTTTGGGTGGTTAATAAACTTTTCTTTTTTTTCTTTTTTTTTTCCCCCCCCCCCCCCCCCTTGTTTTTTTTCTGTTGCTGGACTGTTCCTATGCCATTAGAGTGTCAATTTCGTGAGTGGCTTGGCAGTCGGGCGAGCGAAGAATCCGTAGAGAATGCTGCTGCTTTATCGACGTGCTCTGCATGTCCCCTGTTGCAATTGCATTTCAGGTTCATATCCCAGGCTGTCATACAGACAAGAAAATTACCGCCCGCTTCCCCTTCCCCCTCCGACGTTTCCAGCTACGCTGCCGGAAAGAGTAGTAATCTAGTGGAGCAGGCACACTAAGACACTACTATACAGGCCTCGCTCCTACACAATCGATCCCACGGGACCCATTGCGTGGGTGGTTGGTAAGAGCCGGGGTTGATCGTGGGCTTACGAGATCATGCTGAATCTCCCAGACTCGTGGACAATTACCAGGGTGCCATTCTTGTACGCCAAAGAGGCCGCGCGCTGTTGCGGAGGTAGCCTAAGAATCCTTTCCCTTCCCCATCCACGCAGAGCCATTCCCTCTCACACACATGGATCAGGGCACTGCCACTTGCCCAGACGGCATGGGTCCCTGCAGACGTCCGCTCGAATGGTGCCTCCTCTGCGACGCACCTGGGGCGAGATGAACGTGGCCATGATTTATCCCCACCCAGAATCCTGAATTGTTGCCATGGGTTTCCACCGGGTGGTGGACTAAGCCCATTGTTCAAAGTTGGGGAGGAGTTCCTGAATCCTGAAAAGGGAAGCAAGGAAGTCGAACCTTGAAGAAGACTCGGAGCGGAAAGCCGATCTCAGCCCCCGCTGTCAGGTGGCGACTCAGAGCATCTGACTTGCTCTAGTGCTGATGCAGACGCTTGATTCCGATGTTCGATTGGCCTTCGTTTGTGCTGTACTGGACAGCATCATCCATGCAGAAGAAGCCATTTTCCGTTCTGGTAATACTTACGCGGTGTGTTTGGTTGTATAACTCACTTTGCTGATTTCCAGGTCACTCTTTTGTCAAGCAAGCAAGCAAGCAAGCCGGCCAGCAAGCCAACCAGCCAGCCATCCAGCCAGCCAGCCAGCCAGCCAGCCAGCCATCCAGCCATCCAGCTCTGACAGATGGCCCTGCTTACTTGGTACTTTTGGCTGGCCAACCTACCTCGGTGCCGCAGCCACCACGCAAGTCAGCTCACTCCGCGCTTTTCATCGTATGGAGGGAGCGGGGTTGAGAAATAATAAGAATAACAACAAGGGACGAAAGCAGAGCAGACAAAACGATTGCTGTCTGGCCGACATATGCTGAGACAGCCTCAACTCGGGTCTTCATCTGATGTCGAATCTGGTGTCCGTATCTTCAATCCCCGAGTGCGATTGGACCGGCGGGAATTATGATTTAGTGGTTGACTTGGGTGTCATAAGGTGGGTAACTCTTGCTGATCGCCAAACGCTTCGTTCTATACTCGATGAAAGAAAGATCAGGACTCTAGCTAATGTTATCAGAATGGTGTATGGAACAGTCCTAAAATACTATACAGACTTTGTCAATGAACAGTACATGCGCTCAACTACACTCTAGTATCTTCTTAAGCACTTTGGGTAGGAGCAGCACCCATGGACCCAGAAGGCGCACCGCTCATAGAGCCAGAGGGCATGACATCACCGGAGCCCGAGCCACCACCACCACCGAAAGCAGAGCTGTCAGTATTCTGGTGGCCGCCAGTCTCATCGTAGTACGCAGCGATGCTGTAGTAGGAGTTATCGGTGTAATCAGCCGTGGTGTTGATACCGATCTGGATCCACGCAAACAAGCCATCCTCGAGGCTGTCGCCGAGGTAAATGTACTCGGGGAAGGGGTCGTAGGCGGAAGACGCCTGGAGGACACTCCACATATCATCAGCATTGGTGGTGACAGCCTGGGTGTTGGTGGTGTAAGGATAAGTGTCCTCGACGGCGGAGCGGAGGACCTCGTTCCAGAACAGCTGGCCGATGTGGGCGACACTACCGGTGCCGACCTGCAGGGTACCGTTGTTGCGGTTGATGGTGGAGTTGAGGTGGGTGAGGAGGTGGGTGTGGGTGGCGCGGCCGTCGTAGTGGCCGGGGAAGATGGTGCTGAAGGTCACAACTCCGTCCTCGTTGGTCTCCTGGATTCCACGAAGGTAGGTCGAGTCCCAGCCGTCGGCAGCGTAGTTGCCGCTGGTGGAGATACCACTGCCAATGTGTTAGTGAAACAGAACATGCATGAAGTAAATGTGACATACCTGTAGACACCGGTAGCATTGGCGTTCCAAATATCAACCAGAGCTCCCTGAACAGGAAGACAGGTGTTCACGTCAATGTACTGTACTTCGAGGTAGACATCGACACCGTCGCAGTACTGCTCCTCCTTGACATTCTGGCGGATCACCTCGCCCCAGACATAGTAAGGGCCGTCAGTGATGGTAGGGGTCAAGATGGAGCTGGTGTTGGCGCCAAAGATCTCGGCGTCGGCGTTGAGACCGTGATGCACAAGGCCGGTCTTGTTGTGGTTGATGGCTTCCCACTTCTCAAGGGCCGCGAGGTCACGACGCCACTTTTGGGGAGCTAATCAAGGGTTAGAGTCGGCGGGTCCCATCGACGCACAGATGCTTCACTCACCGGAGGTAATTCCGCGCTTAGAGCGCAGCTCATTCGCAGTCTGCGCGCGACGAGCAACGCTGCGCTGCTGAACCTGCTGAGCAGCCTGAGATGAGGAGCAAGCGTTCACACCCTGTTGGCCTCTGGCGGCCAGAGCATCGCGAAGATGGATTTCGCGCTTGACGGCCTTCATGTCATGCTTCTCACCCGGGTGAGCAAAGGCCAAAGTGGCCGCACTGAGTGCAAAGAGCTTGGAGAAGTGCATGGTGGTGATGGTAGCAGGAGAGAAAGGGAAGCTGGTTGATGATCCTCTTTCTTCTGCCTCACGTAGACAGCAGTAGTCTTTATATCTTCTCCATTGTCGGTGTCAACGATGGTATAGATACGCTGCATATAGCCGCGTCATCTGGACCAGGGTGAGCCGTGTTGCTCTATCGACTTTGTCAAATTGTTGTCGAATTGATTGGGAGACGTAAGCTCAGGATCTCGGCGGCACCCGCAGCCCGAGAACGAGGGCCGAATTCTTGGCCGGTCAACGTCAGGGTCTTGGCGCCGCGTACCTAGGATCCGCAGCATCTCAGGGAAGCGAACCCTATTGAGAGGGTGATCGACGACCACCACGAATCAGCGTGCGCCTATTACTGTCACTGCTTCTGAAGACCCTATCAACTCAGGGATCGGGCAGACTCCGTTGGTCTGGGGTATTTTTAAAGCTTGGCTGGTGCTGTTGATGTGTCGGGTTGCGAGCCAAACAGCATTGGCCGTTTCATTCTCGGTACTAAGTTAAGTATGTGTAGTAAGCGGAACTTATTCGTGACCCGCTTCCAACTCGACCCGTCACTTGGCCTGCGCAAATGGGTTTGTCTTGAGTACCTTTGTGCTGGTATGCAGTATCCATAGCATCCCATATGCTCAAATGTTTGCCGTTTCAAGATACCTCGGCAGGAAAGAAATCCGAAGTTGTGTGGTTGCACTCAGGTAGAACTAAAGCATAGTGATGCACGTTGCCGATGCAGAGGTCCTGGGTGGAAATGTGTACGCAGTAATTCTTCAGATGCCTGCTTATTCTTCTCAAAAGGGTACTGATCGCTCTTTTCTGGGCTCGGCCACAGCTTATTCAGTTAGTCATTTCTTGTCCTTCCTACTGCATTACGCACGAGTCACGCGTCATCACCAACAACCTGCAGATTAGCATCACTCTGCAGGTACATGCCATGTATCTTCATGCTCCAGACTGAACAACGAGCTTGAGGCACGATTCAACCATGCAGACACATCTTCTCTCTTGCGTGAGGAAGAAGCCATCAAGCTAGGTGTCGAGGCGGCTTTCAGCAGATGAACAAGGACATTATCTATCAGTTGCAATCGAACAGGTACTTTTTCGGCGTGTGGGGGGATGGATTGTGCCCGGTCGCGGGATCTCAAGTGGAAGTTTCTGGAAGGACATGCAGTCTACACGCCTGCTAAGCCAAGCGACATCCGGTTTGCTTGATGATCACCAACAACATTAGCTCTACTCAGAGCCCATGCTATTTGACACCATAGAAATTCTCCGTGATGAAGACAGCGTACACACCCCATCAGGGAGCTGCGATTTTCTGCCTCGCGAGGGCCAATTCTAATCCCTCTACTGCCGCCCCGATAATCCACGGAGATAACACTCCGTTTAAGCGCCATCTTGATTTTTCTGAAGGCATAGTTCGTATGTAGCCGTAATTTGTCGAGGCGGAGTGCGTCGGCCGATTACATTTGGCCGTAGGGAAACTTCGAGACTGAAGCGTCTTCGTGGCGGACAATCACGCAGCTTCAAGAAATTTGCCGGGACCAGACGATAGTTGCCCGTCGCGCACCAAGTCACCGGTTGTTGGTCGTAACATCCACGTGACATTGACGGGTATGCGACACTCTGAAGTGCGAGCTCTGCTCTGGGCGGCGTTCGTCCCATCATGAAGATTTCTTTCAGGCATGATTTCGTGATGTCTACGTACTCCTTGCCCGTGTCGACTTTCCTGCAGCGCACCCTTTGTAGAAGCTTGACATTCTTCTCTCCGACGCCAATTAGGAAGATGGGGAGAGCATCGAAATAGCTGAAGGTGAAGGTGTTTAAACGATAGAATATTGGCCGTGCTTCGTCATGCATCTGGCGATTCACGGCCATGATTGCCAGGGCATTCTTGCAGGGATTATGTTGTAGCGGGGCGTCTCGTTCCCAGAAAGCAGGGTAGTTATCATGATGCCGATAATGCTCAATAGCAATTTCCTTGAAACAAAGCAGATGTTCGTAGACCATCAATCGCAGTTCTAGGCCATTTGCCATGCTTTTGTCAGCCAAAGTCACGGGAGGTACAAATGGTAGGAGTCGGCAGTTCGTGCTTGCCGAAACACTTGGCAATAACACTCCAGCGACACGGAAATGGGGCAAAGAGACAACTGACCTACAGGAAGACGGAGAAATGGAAATGTCTTCTTGCGAATAAGCACACTCTCCTCGCTGAATTTGAAGGGCCATGGACGCCGCGGGCGGTAGGTCGCTCCTTTGAATTTGTACGTGAAGCCACAGTGGCGCTGATGAGCAACATGCTCGATGAACCGGCGGCGAGATTTGATGACCTTGGCACAGGTCCAGCATTTGTATATCAGATAATCAGCAGCCTCGTAGCTCATTTGACGAGGCTGACGCAAGATCTGAGTGATCTCCGAGAAGTCATGGATGCCGTCGGCCGGAAGACGCCACTCGCCAACGTATTTCTGCAAGTGTTCGCGAAGCAGTCTGTCGCTCCAATAAATCTCTTGGCAGTATTGACATCTCCTCTTACGCCAGGGCATGATTGATCTCTCAGATGAGTCCTGGGCTGGAGACTTTGCTTCAAAATTGGGGAAGCGAAGCATTCAAGTTTTGAACCGAAGTTGTTTGTTTACAAGTCGACGGCGTGTTGCCCGTCCCACCACCCCGGATGTTGTACTGTACCACTTCAGGCACGTGATTGGCACCGTGTATCTGATTTCCTTTCTACGGTAGTTACTTACTTCAGGTTCTTCTGAACTCCTCACAACCACCCACATAAAAAGCACCCTACCTGTTCTTGACATGCAGCGCCCATGCTTCGTATCCTATTCTGTATCCCGGATAATATCGATCGATATTATTGAGAATCTATCGATGTTCCCTGCCCGATTCGTGATAGTCATTAGAATGGCTGGCTGAGGAACCCCGCAACGCTGGCCGGGATTTTCGAGGCAGCCGTGACTCGCGCAGACAACCCCTCGTTTACGCGCTGATGGAGAGAATGCAGGCGTCAGTTCAGCCAAGACAATTGGACATGCTGACAGCGTGGATCACCTGCAGCTCCAGATTCACAAGCGGGGAAGTCCTCCCGCAAATGATCGGCAGGGCCTGAGCCCGGAAATTGCATAATAGGATCTTGAAACCACAGGTATGTGGCTTGCTGAGTCCATTCCTACACTTACAGCTGCGATCTCAGCGGGGAAGGACGAGGATATTGCAAGGATGATTTCTTCAGCTGCACCCAATGTCATCTTCAAGGGAATTATAACCGACCAGCTTGCCACCCCCTCCTCCTCATTATCCGACGCATGGCGATATAAAACTCGATCAGCCCCGACCGCCGAAGAACAAGAGCTGACTCGACACTCGTCTCATCCTTTGCCTCTCATCCTCCCAGCAAGATGGCTTCCACAACCTCCATGGACTTCCACCTCGCCGACGGCCGAGCCTACTCCCTCGGCCGCAGCAACGCAGCCGCCTCTCGTCTGAACTACCAATTTTACCTTTGGAAAGAATCCTTCGGCTTCAATCTCCACCCCACCATCGCCGCGTCGCTTCCCGCCCCCAACCCATGCATCGCGGACATAGCCTTCGGAACAGCCATCTGGCTCCTCGATCTCGCCCCGGAGCTCCCCAACGCCACCTTCGAAGGCCTCGACATGAGCATGGCAGTGGCCCCGCCGCCCGAATGGCTCCCTAACAACATCACCCTCCGTCAATGGAACCTGAACGATGATGTCCTCGCCGACCTCGTCGAGAAGTTCGACGTGATCCACCTCCGCTTGCTGGTTCTGGTGGTCGAAAACAGCGATCCAACCCCGATCATCCGCAAGGTGTCCCGCATGCTCAAGCCGGGCGGCTGGATCCAGTGGGACGACTACAACTATCAAGGCACACACGTGGTCAAGGTCAACCCAGCCCAAAAGACACCGGCTCTGGAGCAGCTCTGCGCATTTTTATTCTCAGGCGGCCGGCAGGACTGGGTGGTTGAGCTTCCTCGCATCTTTGGGAAGGAAGGGTTTGAGAAGGCCCAGATCTTTCACTATCGGCCACGACGAGAAGTGGCGAGGGCCAATGGTGAGTTGCATCTCTCCACGATCGAGGAGTTTGCGGCAAGGTTGCTGGAGGATGGGGAAGTGAAGGCGGGGAATGAGCTGATGGGGCTGGTGCGGCAAGGGCTCGTGGAGGCCGGGGCCGGGGCGGCCATGTCGACGCCCAGAGCTGTTAGCATTGGACGGAAGAAGGGTCCGAACGGGGTGAAGTTGTAGACTACCTTAATGTTGCAGCGGTTGAGGAATGTAGTGGCGTGCAGTGTTTGGGCATAGTGGGCAGAAGACACTTTCAACCGAATCGTAGTTCCAGGTAATAAATGAATCCATTGTGATAATCTCAACTCAACACGCAGTATTTTCGTAGTAAGGATTCGAAGAAGTCTGCAAAGAGCTGTCCAGATAGCGGAGATGGATTCATCTTGATACGTGACTAGTAGTGCGGGAGATCGATCGATCACACACTGATCTGTCCCCACGGGCGGGCGCGGGCGTTGCCGAGGTCCTACCGGTTTAGGCTTAGTGGAGCCGGTCCCTCCCTTTTGCAGCGTTCCAGACCCGATCCATGATCTCCCTTGCTTCCCTCATCCCCAAAGATCCAGCTACTCACAAAGACACCCGTGACACCGAATTGCGTTTCTCGACCAGGACAACGTCCCTAAACAACTGCATGCCCATCTATCTGATAAGGAATCCTTGTGAAGAGGCTGGATGACTCCCACAAATCCGCCTGGGGAGGCTGGAGTTGTCTCCCGGTGACCCTCACTCATGCTAGTTATGCTTTATTGATTACCTACAAAACGGCCTTGAGTCAAAGACTATCAGGCTTAACCGGCCGAAGGTACGATCGAACTCTTTTCTACCCTCGTTGAACACGTTCAAGCCTCACTCATCAACACTTCGTCATTCCAGACACGGAGTCTAGAGCGTTCCCTCCAGTCGGGATGTCAACGCCTTCCCCATACGCACCGTATCCGGCGACCGATCGAGGAATGCCGGGATTCACTTTTGGTACGGGACGCCACGTTGGACTAACCTGCCGCCACCTACGGCGATATCGATTGTCGGATGCAACTTCAGCTACCAATAATACAGCTCCTTGCTGTGCGACCGTCGGCGATGCTTTGTTCTCGATTTCCAAAGTGGACAAAGCATTTTAACAGGATACAAGATTGAGAGGTCCAGCGAGCCTGAATCTCTGCAGCTGAGATCGAAGCAGACTCCCACCTCAGGCTGGGTTCATCGCAGACAGCAATTCCAGCCTTGATCGACAAGCTACAAGCGACGGGCCTAGATGGATCTCTCTTTCTCCCATCCACCGCATCTCATCCAATCCCCGTGGGGATTTTAAGCCCGGGATCCGATAAACTTGTGATTTTCGAGGTTACATTCGCATGTTCCATAACTTGATATCAACCATGGTCGCTTCTTCACTTCCCCGCATCTGCTGTGATTGGCAGAACTGGCTACCAACCAGCACCCGAAACTCGCAGTCGCCAGCCGTGGTTATACAGCATAACAAGCTTTCTTATCTTCATCCATGTGGATTCCGTCATATCTGTCGCTGGTCCTCTGCTAATGACGGAATGGAACGATCACCCATCGTAGCCAGTCTGCATATGGACACGGCTGGGCTACTGTTGAACAGGAAAGTGGTATATGCCGCATCATGCAAATTGACTCCGGAAATTCGATAAAAGGCTGGCCATCCCCCACATCTCAGATCTCTTGGTTATTCTTACACTGAAAACATACTTTTTTTGTCGAAGAGTCGCACGTAGAGTATGCTTGGCTAGACTTAGAGCTACACAGCTGTTGCTCGCCAAGTCTCCTCTCATTCGGTCACATTGTTACGGAATTGGCCCTTATTAATAAGATAGTGACAGAACATCTACCGCAATGACCCCGGAAGAAATTACAGAGAAGAAGACCATGAAGGACAGTAGTCCAACTGCTCGGGTGGAGCATACCGAGAAAGCCAGCGGTGCACATGCGGTCTACGACCTGGAAAGGCGCACCACCGGCCCGAGTCATCTTAGCGCGATCCTCGAGAACCCTCTCGCAGGGATCCCACGCGAGAAGTTGCTGGACGACGTTGAAATTTTCTGTCGTGAATATGGTCTCGATGAATATCTGGAGGACTTCCGGAAGGGAGCGCTCATCTCGCAGAACCCAGCAGGAGCGCTCGATCTGCCCGAGCTGAGTGAGGAAGACAAGAACACACTCAGGCGCGAGCAGACCCACAAATGGTCGCAGCCATGGCAGCTTTACTTTTTGGCTGGTGAGACATTTTCTATATGCCCATTCTTGTCTTTTGACTAACTTTCTTAACTAGCTATGTGCTCCCTTGCTGCCGCTGTCCAGGGTATGGATGAGACCGTCAACAACGGCGCGCAGGCAATATACTTGAAGGTAAGGCATACCAGCTAGTACGGAGAGGAGAGCACTAATAGCTCTACAGCAACTCGGGATCAAGTCCTCTCGTTTTTCTCCGAAGATGCAAGACTATCTGACTGGCCTTGTCGTTGGCGCACCCTACCTCGCCTGCGCGACGGTCGGATGCTGGCTGACGGAGCCGATGAATCGATACCTCGCCCGTCGAGGCACGATCTTCTGGTCCTGCTTCATCGCCGCCGTTGCGTCTATCTGGGAAGGCGTGGCCAACTCCTGGGTCAACCTGTTCCTCGCCCGGTTCGTCCTAGGCTTGGGTATCGGGTCCAAATCCTCGACGGTGCCCGTCTACGCGGCCGAATGCTCGCCCGCGCCTATTCGCGGCGCCCTAGTCATGATGTGGCAGATGTGGACGGCGTTCGGGATCATGCTGGGCAACATCATGGGGGTGGCCTTCATGGGCCTCTCGGACGACCTCTCGTGGCGTCTCATCCTGGGCTCCACCGTCGTCCTACCCATCATCGTCTGCGCCCAGGTCTACTTCTGCCCCGAGTCCCCGCGCTGGCTCCTCCAGCATGACCGCATCGACCAGGCCTTCCGCGCCTTCCGCACCCTCCGGCCCACCTCCCTCCAAGCCGCGCGCGACCTCTACTACGCCTACGTGCAAGTCCAGCTCGAGCGGCAGGTCAACACGGGCCGCAACTTCTTCAGCATGTTCCTCGAGCTCTTCACCGTTCCGCGCAACCGCCGCGCCACGCTGGCCAGCTGGATCGTGATGTTCATGCAGCAATTCTGCGGCGTCAACGTGATCGCCTACTTCAGCTCGACCATTTTCTTGGATGCGGGGTACTCGATCCAACAGGCGCTGCTCGCCTCGATGGGCACCGGCATCCTGAACTGGGTGTTCGCGCTCCCGGCCTTCTTCACCATCGACACCTGGGGCCGGCGCAATTTGCTGTTGTTCACCTTCCCCTTCCTCGCCCTGTGCCTCCTCTGGTGCGGCTTCTCCTTCTGGATCGAACCCGACAACCTCAGCAGCCGCGCCCGCGTCGCCATGGTCACGACGGGGATGTACCTGTTCGAGGTCTTCTACTCCCCTGGCGAAGGCCCTGTGCCCTTTACGTACTCGGCGGAAGCATTTCCCCTGCAAGTCCGGGAGGTGGGAATGTCCTTTGCGACGGCGACGACCTGGTGCTTCAACTTCATTCTGTCCTTCACGTGGCCCCTGCTGCTGAGTTCGTTCAAACCTCAGGGCGCATTTGGGTGGTACGCCGCCTGGTGCGTGGTCGGGTGGGTGCTCGTGCTGCTGTTCGTGCCGGAGACGAAGGGTGAGTCTACTGCCTTTCCCTCCGATTCGCTTCTGGCAGGGAGTCCATCCCTCTATTCTTTAAAACTGTTCTTGGTATGTTGAGAAATGTTCATACTGACCAGATATAGAACTCACCCTCGAAGAACTCGACCAGGTCTTCTCCGTCTCCACCCGCAAGCACGCCCGCTACCAGCTCGACAACGCCTGGTGGCACTTCCGCGTCTGGATCCTGCGGCGGAAGCTCGAGCCGCTGCCCAGATTCTACGAGGAAGCGGAGCGGTTGGCGGAGGTGGTGCACTAGCTGGGTTGCAGTGTACTGTAATTTACGGGGCCTCGGTTGTGGGAGATGTGGTGCGCGAGGCATGAACGAAGTGCTCTATGTAATTCATGTATGCTGTGCGACTGTAATTGACAACCATATATAAAGAGCCATCCGCACTCTCCGTTGTATTGAGAAACATGTAGAGCAAGCCCAATCCCGCGAAAAAGGAAAGGGAGGGAAAGAGAGGAATGATGAGGTGATGATGTCCGCTGAGCGGGCAGCAGCCGAGGAAAAAGCAAAAAGAGAAATCACGTGCTCACACTCGGACTCGAACCGAGGATCTCAGCATTACTAGTGCTGCGCTTTACCATCTAAGCCATGCGAGCGGTCGATGCAGTTTTTGCTCCTTAGGTGCATCTATACTCCAAAACCAAGAGTAGGAACTCAATTATTTTTAACACATTTATGGTCATCTACGTCTGCCTGGTAATCAAGACAGTGAAGAAATTCTCAAGCGCCTTGACAGCTCGATTTATTTTCGAGAACAACTTTCTGCAGTGAGAATTTGTATGTCAGTATGGATCATTGTTGTGGGTTGCGATAGTTTGAGTCCATCTTGTGAGAACGTTGGGTTGTGGAATATGGCAGGGAGGAAACTACATATTTACAAAGACCGACCCGCAGCCCAACACCAACCCCACAGGTAAAGCCACGTCTTCACAAATAGAATAGCATGTGGCGCCTAGCCGGAAAGAGAGAGCAGAATAAGCTCACTGAAAGAAAAGGGGGGTCTGGGGGTTCTCCCCCAGAATGCTATTGTTCCTGAAGGGAGGCTTGGACGGGGTGGGCATTCTGGGGGAGAACCCCCAGACCCCCCTTTCTTACAAACAACAACGCCCGGGATAACAGACTAAAGCCATATCCCTAAACACTCCCCCCAATCACCCACCGGAAACGGCACCTCGAGATACGGTCCCCCCAGATGCGCCAGGGTATACCCCAACACCGGCGGCGCGCCCTCCCTCTGCACGACCGAGACGTCCGCCACCAGCGCCTCGGCGGGAATGAGCCCCGTGCGGGAATCGCGCCGGGCCTCCTCCAGCTCCACGGCGCCCTCGACGAGCGCCACAAACGTGCTGGTGTGGTGGGGCCCCTCGAAATGCGGCCAGCGGCGGAGGAGCTGCACGGCGCGGCGGCGGGTGGGCAGGTCGCGGCATTTCAGGGCGATCCAGGTGAGCGGGAGGATGATGACCATGTCCATGACGAGGGAGGGGAGGTTGCGTGGGCCGAACTCGGCCTCGAGGCTGGCGACCGTGGCCTCGCCGAATGCGAGGCCCTCGATCAGGTCCGGGGCGAAGTCGTCCCACACGTCCTCGGACTACCGGAGGGCGCGGTAGGTGTGGGTTCTGAGGATGCGGTGCTGCATCTGGATCAGGTTCATGCAGCGGGCTTGCTTGGGGGTTGGGTGGCGGAGCTGGGTGGTCGCTAGCTCGGTGAAGGCGGCGATGTGCTCTTCGAGCTGGGTGGCGAGTTTGCGCTGCGCGATGAGGATGGGGAAGACATCGATGATTCCAGGGTCTTGGAGGGCGCGCTGCACGAGGGTCAGGTAGCCCAGGGCGTTGTCGGCGATGGGGTCGAGCTCGCGCCAGGCCTCGTCGAGGGTGCGGAAGCGCAGGGGCTGGTGGTTGGCGCCCCGTACCCCGTTGGTGTCCCTCTGCCGCGAGACGTATCGGTGGACTTGGATTTGGATGTCGAGGTGCGCGATGGCGGCTAGCAGGGCCATTTGCGGCGTCATGGCCGGCGGCCCGTCGGCGTGGTGGTAGTCCTGCAGTTTGTCGTGGACGATCGCGCGGGCTGCGTCGCCCTTCTCGCCGGACAGGATCTGGAGTCCGTTGGTGAGATGGGCGCAGGCGTTCTCGTTGTTGCCCTGGAGGACTTCGAGGTAGGTGAATACCACGCAGCAGACGAGCGCAATCACGGCAACGTGCGGGTCTTGTGAGGTCAGACGGCGGCGAAGGGCGGACAAGGCGCGACCGTATTGCTCGATGGCGAAACGACGGTGTTGAGTCCGATGCTTGATGGCCTTGCTCCGAGACATACCGTTCGTCTCGGAGCTTGCATGCATGGCACTCAAGGAGACCAGGGCATGTCCGACCGCTGGCTCGGCCTGACTTAGCTGCAGTGCGAGACGTCGCCAGACTTCCCATTCGAAAAAGCTGACCAGCATTGGCATGGTGCGAGTCTGGAAGAAGCTGATGCATCTCCGCTCATCAGAGCTCATGCTGGGAAAGCTGATATCAATGATGTGAATGGACGGGGTATAGAATTTGCCCTTCTTGGTGACGATCGGGAGGCGGGCCGTCTCGTACCCTTCGCATGTCCGGCCCGTCGAGCTGCAGTTCTTGCACGATCCTGGGGTCTCGTCGCACTTGATCCTTCTGGTTTTACAGGTCTGACATCCTGTGCGGGAGCGACGAGTATACGCCCTCTGTCGGGCTGGCCGGTTCATGATTCTTGCTGCCTCTTAGCTTGCGGGATTGGAAAAAGGTTGGAAGTGACCGGCTGTGCTTAAATGTTCTTCAACCGGCGCGCTTTTAGTGCATCAGTCCGTCGCTATTAGACCACCACATCCAGCGCCATTGGCTCAGAGCCTCGCATACTGCGCACTTGGCGGAAGATTATCGGCAAATTCTGGCCAGCTTCAAGAGACAATATTAGGTCGAATAGAACGGAGCTGGATTTTATTTGGCCGGCCGTTGGCGGAAAGCCTGTGCCTAAGTCACTATTGTATGTCTACCATTTACTCAATTATCACGAATTGCGTGGAACGATTCCTCGCTGCGTCGAGAATATGGTATCAATCACACACCACGGTAGGAGTCGATACGAGTAATCTCGTTTAAAAGGAATTGTCATGGAAGAGAACAAGTTTGGAGATACCGTGACACTGAAGCCCAAGGATGTGATCAAGTTGGCAACTTTGGCAACCTCAGGAAAATTGATGATGCTCTTCAGTAACTATGGGTCTGAATCCTGGGTTGAAGAAGTGAGATCGTTCTGAACCCTGGGCTGACCGGAAAGGGTCCACGAAGGAAGCACCGTCCTCAAAATCCCCTGGATTGTTCTGCACTGATGGGTTCCAAAGTTCCACCAGAATTTTGGCGCATGCTGCTGCAGTCGCTGCTGCATATCGCTGCCAGGCTTTGTTCTTGTGGCTGTCCGCGTAGTCACAGACACCTTTGACTATGACAGTCGGGAGAAAGTTCCAGATGCCCGCGCCTTCCATCTCGAAGGCGATCACATTTGCTGCCTTTGCAATCTGGTCGCGATGCCAACCGGACTTTATAACGGCATCGCTGGAAGAAAAGGCTCCGAGGTGAATGACCGGGCTCTGTCCCGACTGGCACTGGAGCCGTTGCCTCGGAATCAGGAGGTCCGACTGGCACCCAAGTTCCTCACATGAAGCCGTTCTGGCTGCCACACAAGCTCCGTCACCTCGCGCACACTCGCAGTCCTGGGCATTGTGATGTCTGTGAATGTAGTCTGCGGGGAACAGTCGATCTTTAATCGGACCGGGGTACTGGGAGTTGCCGAATTCTGGCAGCTCCAAAAGAGAAGCAAGGTGCTCGGACATTCTTCGCTCGCAGGTATCGGTACAGGCTTCGATTTTCGCCAGGAATGACAGAATGCTGTGACTTGGTCCTCGGAAGGTGCTCTCCACATCGCTCTTGATGACGAAGCCATCGGGGAACTGCCGTCCGAAATTGGTTTGGACAATGTTCCTGCTGATGATCACATCCCCGAGAACGATCTCCGTCTCGTCAGACGCCAGGGGCATTCCTCCGCAGATCCCCACCAGCAAGATTAGCTTCAGAGCTGGGAAGCCGGTTAAAGCATTCATCGCCACCGCTGCCCCGCTCGTGATGCCCATCCTCGGCATGTGCATCAGAATAACATCATGACGCCCGATTCTACCGGCTGTGTAAGCATTAAGGTCTGCTGGATCTCGCGCATAGGCAACAGTGTCCTTGCCAATGTAGAGCTCGTCGAGAAGCCCTATGATTGCTCGAGCCTCCAATGGCAGTGCCGTTATGAGGCCGATTTCAAAGGTAGGATTGCGAATTGAGCGATGCGAAGCCATTATGGAAGGTGATAAGGTAATCGAGAACGGAGAACATGTCTAAGAACATTAATGTTGGCTCGAGTAATCTCAGCCATTCCGGCCTCTTATATGCCTGACTGCAGGTCAATCACGGGCGCTGGTTGTGCTTTGGCCTCTGCCCCTCCCACCCACCAGCCTCAAGGAGCGCGGCAAAGCATGACCTCCAATAGGATAGCCCTCACCCGGCGGAAGTTATGAAACAAATGGCTTTTTCTGTTAAGGTTTTCAAAGGCTGGACTCGGTAAGTCAATGTATCTTAGAAATCTACAAGAAACGAAGTGAGCCGTCAATGACGGGTCCGGAAATAGTAACGCGTTCGGAGGCTTGGGACAAGAAAGCAACAATAAATTCTTCCCCCGCAGGGCAAAATCCCGCAGTGATATATGGTATCTATAGTCTCTGTCCGCCACTCAATCCAAGCCAGTGGACAGTTCACACAAGTCTCTGGCCAAAAGGTTGTCCGGGAAAATTGCGGCAAGCTTGCCACGAATACTAGAAACAATGCTTTTTCAAGGTCGTGAAGTGACTGACCTAGCCTAGCCTGGCTTGCTCCACATGAGGTATTTTTGAGCAACTTTTGCCCAAATGAGCATGCCTGTAATTTGAGAACTGAGTATGCTATATCTAGGAAATTCTGAGTTTGTTTGTTTCTTTATTTTCCGGTGTGACCAACATCGCAGAAAAACGATATTTCCACCGAGCATGAGACAACAGCCCCCTTACCACTCGACGATAACAGAGCCCACTCAGGCTACAGAGACGCAGTACGCCTCTTCCGTCCAGAAGCCACTCTCGCAATCAGACGCGACGGCGGGGTTCCAGGCGAAGAATTGCGCCTCAGTAATGCCATAGGCTGCCGCCACACTCGCACAAGTGTCGCCAGCTGGTACAAGCACGAAGAGAACACAGGTCAGCTCTTGCTCCCCTTCATTCAGAACATGGAAAAACGAGATGGGAAGGCTCGGGAATCTCCTCACCTTGTGCAACATGGTATGCATTGCAGTTGCCGGGTATTCCAGTCTGGGTAGGGGCCGGAGCTGCTATGGATGTGGCCGAAGTGCTTGCCGTGGTCGAGACCGTACTGCCGGACACACCTACGCAGTACGCCTCTTCAGTCCAGAACCCGCTCTCACAGTCAGATGGGACAGCAGGGTTCCAGGCGAAGAATTCAACTTCGGTGATGCCGTATGCGGCTGCTACAGTCGCGCAGGTATCGCCCGCTATGGACCCATCAAGAGAAAATGGAAACTCAGCTCTCGCGTATTCGGAGACAGGGACAGGACAGAAATAAGGTGACTTACACTGGACAACATAGTACTGATCACAGTTGGAAGGGATTCCAGCCTGGGTGGGGGCCGGGGCTACAACCGATGTAGCTGAGGTACTCACCGCTGTCCTAGTAGCTGCACTGCCAGACACACCCACACAGTACGCCTCCTCGGTCCAGAACCCGCTTTCGCAATCAGACGAAACAGCCGGGTTCCAGGCGAAGAACTCAGCTTGGGTCATGCCGTATGCGGCTGCTACCGTGGCGCACGTTTCACCCGCTGGTCGAGAAGCAAATGATCCATCTTCATCAGCCATGCTCCGCACATCGCCACAACTCACTCTGGGGGCAACTCACATTGAACGACGTGATACTTGTCGCAGTCAGCAGGGATACCTGACTGTGTTGGTGCGGGAGGGGTAATAGATGTGACGGAAGATTGAGCAGCGCTGGTGGTGCTTGTTGTAGAGATAGCGGCAGTAGTAGTTTGCAGGATTCCAACACAGTAGGCCTCTTCAACCCAGAAACCATCTTCACAGTCCGACGAGACAGCAGGGTTCCAAGCAAAGAATTGATCCTTGGTGATGCCAAACTCGGCTGCGACAGATGCACAGGTATCACCCGCTGGGCAATAGTCAGTATTAGCATACGAGAGAACAATAGAAGTCACAGACATTGAGCAACATAGAATGCATCACAGCTTGAGACAATCCCAGTCTGGGTTGGTGCTGGGGCTGTCGACGGAAGGGTGGACGTTGAGGAGTTCGTCGCGGTGCCCGTGGCATTGGTAGTGGTGAACCCGGTCAAAGGGTCAATACAATATGCATCGCCGACAGTTAGATTGGTGTCACAGGTGCTTTGGTTGAGCGAAGGGTTGGCAGCAATAAACATATGAATAGAGATTTGATTTGAAAGACAGATCTCTGTACATGTAAGATTTGAATTGAGGTCGTGCGTGTACCAGCCCGCACAATCAGTAGTGGTTCCTGGGGCCACTGTCACTCCAAAGGGAGGATTCACAGCCTCTGCTTCCGTTGAAGTTGAGCCGTTGCTCAAGGGCTGACCGGTATAAGTACCTCCTGGGGGTGACACACATAGCATCGAGCCCCAGAATGGATCGCCGGAATGAAGGTTGCTGCAATTCGAATTCAATTGTGAGTTCCAAGCCACGATATTCTGCGTACCGACAAAGTTTTCAATGGCGATGCTTGTACAAGTGTCGTTTGGCTGGACAGTGTACGTGCTACCGCATTCCAGCGGCAGACATAATTGAGTCCCGGCCGAACATCAGTGCAGTTCAGGAGGTTGGAGTTGGTATAGTACATTGTAGCAGCAGAGACGTTGTGAGACAAAGCAATCGAGTCACATGAGTCGCCCTCTTGAGAGGTATAGAAGCTACCAGACACACAATTAGGCTGTTCTGATGGCAGGCTCACGTTGAACACACTTGGGGTGGGATCGAAGTCGGCCACCTGAAGGTTACAGGTCTTGGCCACATATTCATACGTTGATTGCCAGTCATCATTGTAGACGCCTGAATAGCCGTTTGCCTGCATTAGTGCCAGCTTCTTCACATAGCAATAGGAACACAGGTCCGAGTTTGAGATATCACTTAGTGACGTGACGTTATCGAAAGATGCAATTTGGTCTGCAGAGGACTATCAGCACTCGAGGCCTGATCATCAACACGAAGACATTCTTCCTACCATTACAGTTCTCTCCCGTGGTCGGGTCCATGAAGCAGGACTGATTCCAGTTGGCCCAGAGCATATCCACCAGTCCGACAAATGGCAGACCAGGAATTAGGCCTGCTTCATCTCCACAGCCTGTCAACACAGAGGATTGGAGTTGCTTGATCGATTTCTCACAGCTCGAAGCACAAACCAAGGCCGTCAGAGTAGCGTTGTCAAAGCTACCCAGATAGTCGTCAGAAGTGAGAGATGATATGGCTGGATCACATGCGACACTTTGATACAGGGCTTCCTCACAAGTAGTCGTCAGACCTAGGGATGCGAGAGATCCATTCTGAAACATGGAAACTTCCCCAGTCGTCGGATCCGAATCAGCAATGCGGCGCACCGAGTGATGCACTGCGGCATGAAGATATGCATGAGAGTTGTAATGAGTTGCCTGGCCGGTATCAAAGCATGAAGCTGCCAGCAGAGAAATTGCCCAACGACCCCTCATTTTGAGATTGTAGCAAAAAGAAAATAGCAGTTGAGGTAGGACCACGCGAATAAACTGAACCTTCCGTTGTCAAAACAATGTGTACCCACGAGCTTTTATGGGAGATTGAGGTAAGACATAAGCGGTAAACACTCTAAAGAACAGTCGGCGCTCTCCTGTCAGCCAGGGGCTTGGTTTATGTCAAGGTAAATCACAAGTCGCTCGTTGATCCTAGCAATCTAGCTTGATCGGGCTTCATCTCCGAAGAGGTCCTCTTTCCCACCTTTACTGTCGCAATTTTCCGACAGGGGAGAGAGATACTCAAGTTCAGGGACATGAGTAATAGGAGTTGCAAGAGTGCTGTCACGGCCAAGGCCAGAGGATGATGCTCTAAGATACGATCTCGGATATTCGGATGGTCAATACGACCAAGCCTTCTAGCGCAGGGACTAAGCCCCTATAGATCGCGTTAGTGGCGTTTAGATCGTAACTCGGCCCCGCAATACCACTGACTCTTCCACATGAAAAACAGAGACCAATGGAGGCTCCACCGTAGTCTGAGACATTTAAGATTGCCGTGAAGGGTCTGGAAGGGATTTTGCCCTATCAGCCTGCCCATCTTGAGGTGCCAGCGCTAAAATCAAATAGTGGCATGTCGGGACCACATTCCGAACTATGTCCAGGGGTCTACTAAATAGCTCGATGGGGTTGCATCCCAAGCGAGGTGAAAAATTTTCTAGGCCTACCAGGGTGGGTAAAGGTAGATAGAATCAAAGCAGGTTGTAATTCGCATTATTCAAGGTAGCATGGCTCTCTCTCGAAATGCTCGAATAAGAATTGCGGAACGCTTATCCGGATGAAAGCACTCGATGGGACGAGCAAACAATACCTTTAGGATCGAAAGGTGACAGTATACCGGCCGTGCCTGCCATCGTAGAGGTCTGGCCTTTAAATGGCATGGGTAGATATGTTCATACAGTACATACACTCTATGAGGGATTAATCTTATACCAGGACACTAGTCTACCACTGTAGTGGGGATTTTTCCTTCCACCGTTCTCCGGTTGAAATGGTATCATCGATACAATAACTTGTAATATTAGTCTGTGGTCCCAGTACAGTACATCGCACAAGTCGATGCGGCGATTGCCTGCCTCCTGAATGATTCCAGAGTCTGAGATCAAACAAGAACTACTGTATAGCTCAGTGACTGTATATAATATCTCATATTCCCCCCTTGAGTCTCAAGATGATAATCAATCTTGCTGAGCCATGACTATTGTCTGAGTTCAAGCTGAGACGTCTGCCACTCGTTTTTGACTTCACAGTCTATGTACTCATTGGTTTCGTTCTTTTCCTTATTCATTTACTTTTCATTCATCTATTGACTCACTCCTTCATCCATTGCTCTTATTTCTATCATCTGATTCAATTACTCGTATACCCTAATTCATCACACTTTCCTTGATCAATGCATTCATTTCACCTTCTTTTGTGATCTCTCTTTCACATTGTCAAAATCAACATCTCTTCAGAGTTTGGCTGGATTGTGGTTCCCCAGAAGCCTCCTACCAATCTCACAAATCTTGCATCATGTGGCGAGGGATACCCTTGCTTTTCCTCTTTGGAGTTATACCCCGTGTGCTGGGAGATACGTACTGCAGTGCTGATGTACCTTGCGAGATTGGGTGCTGTGGCAAGTACAATGTCTGTGGTATGGGCCCTGATTATTGCGGTGTCGACAACTGCATCAACAACTGCGATGCCAAGGCAGAGTGTAACCCAGGGAGCTGGCCTAGTGAGTACGTCAATGCCACAACCTGTCCACTCAATGTCTGCTGTAGCCCCTTCGGCTTCTGCGGAACTACTGAGGAGTTCTGCGGTAGCAAGACTGTCACTGCGCCTTCATGTGACGCCAGTTCACACTCTATTACCCGGGTTATTGGTTATTACAACTCGGCCGCAGCTACACGAGCTTGTGACGGCATGGCACCATTTGCCTTTCCTCAGGGCGTCTTTTCACACATCTACTTCGCCTTTGGCAGTATCGACCCGGATACGTTTGAAGTAATCCCTGCGGAAGCTGGCGATGAGTCTCTCTACTCGCAGCTCCAGGCTCTGCAGATGCGGGATCCAGAACAAGAACTTTGGTTATCCATTGGTGGCTGGGATTTCTCCGACAGCAACTCCCCGACAGCTACTACATTTTCCGATCTCGTGGCTGCTGACTCTGGTCAGCAGAATGCCTTCTTTAGCTCCTTGATCAACTTTATGAGTAGTTTTGGATTCAGTGGAGTGGATATTGACTGGGAATATCCTGTCGCTGCCGACCGCAACGGCCGTCCCGGGGACTACAACAATTATCCCAAGTTTCTGGCCAATCTGAAAAAGGCACTGCAAACTTATAAATACGGCCTTTCCATCACGCTCCCGACGAGCTACTGGTATCTACAGCACTTTGATATAACGTCCATTGAGCCCTCGGTCGACTGGTTCAACTTTATGAGCTATGACTTGCACGGTACCTGGGATATTGGAGACCAGTGGACCGGTCCATACCTCGACGCGCAAACCAATCTTACAGAGATCAAGACTGCGCTGGATCTACTTTGGCGGAACAATATCTCACCATCTAAGGTTAACATGGGTATGGCCTTCTATGGTCGCACCTTCACTCTCGTCGACCCTTCATGTTCCGAGCCAGGGTGTGCGTATGCGTCCGCGGGGGACGCCGGCACGTGCAGTAACTCGGCCGGGATTTTGTTTGGCAGTGAGATAATGGATATCATCCAGGAGAATGATCTCACCCCGACATTGTACAAGGATGCTGCGGTCAAGACTATCACATGGAACACTGATCAGTGGGCCTCGTATGACGACGAAGACACGTGGAAATTGAAAGCCGAGTTCGCCAAATCCGAATGTCTAGGAGGGGTTCTCGTGTGATCGGTGGATGAAGACGATAGCCAGCATAGCTTTTCCCTAAGGGCTGGCTGCCGCTTTGGGGAATCCGGTCAACATAAACACCACTACCGGCTTGACGCAGCCCTTAGTCTCGGAGGAGGTCTCGCCCCTTCTTGGCAGTTCCAACAGTCAAGACCAATACTGTCGCTTCATCAATTGCGGTGAGGTATGTCCTAGTGGTTTCAAGGAGGTCCCTCGTGCAGATAAGTCCGGCCAGCTTATGCTGGATTCCACCGAGTGTCGATCCTGGACGGGTCAGACCCAGACGCTATGTTGTCCGAGCACGGAAGAAATGCCAACATGTCAGTGGCGAGGCTTCCATAATAGCGGGAAATGCAAGGGAGGGTGTGAGAGCGGCGAGGCTGAAGTGGGCACGATCACTGCAGGCTGCCATTCCGGCTATCAATCCGCATGCTGCACGGTGACCTCATCCACCAAGCCCTGGTCCCAATGTGCGTGGACCGAGTCTTGTGAGAGCGACGAAACCTGTCCTTCGGGCTACAACCAATTTGTTGTAAGCTCCCGTCAAGGCTGGGGAGGTCGCAAGTCCTGCGGTTCCAAAAAGCACTACAACTACTGCTGCTCAGGCGCGGTCCCGGACGCGTTTACCAATTGCGCCTGGACCGGGCATGTGGTGGAGTTTACAAATACCGAGTATTGCACCGACGCCTGTCCTTCGGGGTCTATTCGCATTGCCGAAGAGTCTATCAATGTGGTTTTTGGAGCTCAGGACACGGCACAAACCGCGAATTGCTTGTATGGCAATGAGGCATACTGCTGCGCCGGTACTACTCACACTCTCGTTCCGCGATACGACAACCCACTCGAAGATCACACGCTCACTGAATTCTATGCATACCTTGACAGATTTCTTGCTCACCCGGTTTGCCCGCCTGACTGGGATCCTGAGTATGACGCAGGCCTGGGTTTCATTATAACCAGAGATACAAGCTCCAGCAACGCAAAAAGTATCACCAAGAACCAGGCCCTGGTGCTCTCCAATCTTCTTTTACTGCTCCAGACCTGGCTCACGTCATCCTCTCCTTCCCAGCGGTTCGCCGATGTCTGGAAAGAACTTACCGCGCGCTATGGATACGCAGAGCAAGCCGCAAATGTGACGCTCTTGACGAGTGCAGTCAATACAGTAGCTGCAGGGAATGCCTTCACCGGTTCCGCCGATTATGAGGTCAGGACCCTGCTGGCACAAACGCTGTGTGACATTGCAGAGTCTGCCAATGGACTGGAAAGTTTGAGTGCGGCATCGGACGCTCTGTGCGAAATGCCCACTGGAGTGTCCTCGTCCACGTCCACTCTAACGAGGCGCGCAATAGATGGGGTGAGTATGGATAGCCGGTCCGCCAATGGCGACTTGCCTACGGTGATTGGGATAGTGAGAGGCATTTTGGCGGTAGGTGACAGCAAAGCTTGCTTTCTCCCCCCCCTCCCCCCTCTCTTTTCTTTCCCCGTAGTGACTGGCTAACATCTGCCGTGCAAAAACAACAGGGGGATTTGTCCTTTCATTATGCGCGTTGGATCGATGCTAACCCCTGGAAAGGCATGCAACAAGTCATTCTGGAGCTTGCATTCTGGATTGGCCCCACGGCTGGTGAGACGCCAAGCGATTCGTTGCGCGCCCAGTACGCCGATGCGAGTCACACGTTCGAACCAGACCGATGGATTATATTTCATCTGCACATCGTTCGCGACAGAGGCACGTTCTGGAGGGGGGGCAACCGTAAGCCGGGATTTTTCCCCGGCGTGACCGCCATGGGAGTCTACCAAAGCCAAACTATACATGAATTCCCGGCTAGGAACGGAGATCCCCGAGCCGAGTTTGTTTTCTCATCTAACTACCGTCTCGGGGAGCTAAACAGCGGTCCGATGCGAGATTACAATTCTCGGACACAGACACTCGAATGTCGTCGCGACCGAAATGGACAGCAACTCCGCTGGTATATAGGTAGAGATCTAGAAAATGCCGTTTCAGGCCTCAGAGACCAGGGGCGTCCCGCCGGGTATAGTGAAATCCTCAACCAATTTGTGAGTGACCTGATCTTGAATCGCTGCTCCATGTGGCAGTTCGGCTACCAGTGACAGCATGTTTCTAACTGAATCCTCAGGGTCTCTGGCTGATTCAAAGGGGCATTATGTCCAATGACAACCTGGGACTCTTATGGCCGCGCATCAGGGATATCCCTGTGGGAAATACTAATGGCCCAAGGACAAACATGAATGGATTGAGTGACTTCGACCCAGTAGCCAACGCATTCAACACAAATTTTCAAGGGAGTGGGCGACCAGCTCCGGATATCTCGGGCACTGCTCCGACGACCACGAAACCCTGATGGAAAGGGGTGCGTGATCTGCTACATTTACGCAGGATTTTGAAGACCTGGTATCTCAGCAGTGAAAGACCTCTACCTCCACCGGAATATGCAATTGTAGGGTGAAGGGAGGGGTGGCTCTTGTCGTACCAGGTATCATATTGCATGGAATGGAATGTTTGTCTACTTTACAATTGCTATAACTATACTAGGTATATGTGTTGGTATCCACCAACGAAGTTGGAGCATGTCATGTGACCCGATACGCATCAAAACCTGTAAGAAATGTATCGTGCTGTACCCAGTACTTTAGCAATTCTCTGCTTCGACCCCCCTCTCCCTCTTCCCCCCCACCCCCCACCCCACACCCCTCTTTCCTCCCTGACAGGCATTAAAACTTTTGGTAGACTACTATAAATTGAGCCATCTCTGCCTCTTCAAGCCTTTTTTAATTCTCTCTGTGAAGGTAACCTCGACCCACAACACCATCCTAGGTGTTATCCTTCTACCACCCCTTACTCTGTGTTCTTGGATGACATCCTCATTATCGGGCCATAATGACATACAAGACATTCGATGAGGACAACTCTAGCGAAGAGCCCAATTCCGCGATCATCCTCGATATATCTGAAGGTCGTCCAAACGAGGTCGGAGTCGAAGACCCTCTAGATGAGATCATCCAGCGCAACGACGTGCTCGGTCTGCTCCGCTACAACGAAGAAGCAAAAGACCGCGGCGAGGATATTTTCAGCCGGGTGAGAGTAAGCTCTTTCGGATACGACCCGTGGCCGCCGTTCTACTCCGCGGCGTATCATGGGAGTCTCGAGGCTTTACGCGCCCTGATAGACATTTATCGATCCGACCCCGCGCACCGGCAGCCGCTGGAAGAATATCTGCAGGGACTTGACTTTCGACTGCTCAACCTCGCTTGTGGCAACGCCGATCGGAAGATGACACGGTTCCTGCTCGACCATCAACCACCCCTGGGCGCGTGGCGGGATCGGGACACCAATGGGGCGACACCGCTGGTTTGTGCCGCACAAGCTTTTGTGGGTAATGTTGAGGCCTTGGAGAGGAAGATGAAGGATACAAGTTTCATAGTGATCCGGGAGAAGTTGCGAGAGCACCAGGTCCGTTATGGCGAGTTTATTGAATTCTGTTTGGCCAGTGGTGCTTCGGTCCGCGAGGCGGATCAATACGTGCCTTCCTATGCACTCGGACGGCAAGCCCAGCCTGGCGACCCGCAGGAGATATTGGGGGATACCGTGCTGGGCAGTGTGGTGCCCCGCGCCAGCTATGCAATGGTGTCCCGCTTGATCGCGGCAGGCGCCGATGCGCATGTCGTGCAGACGTGGTACGATCCCTGTGCCTTTGGTTCTGCCTTGCGGTGCAGCGGGGTCACACCGCTGCATATTGCCAGCAAATACTGGAATTTAGACGCGATGCAGGCGCTGTTAGACCACCGGGGTCGGATCGAACTGGCCGAGATGGTGTCGAGAATGGATGGCAACGGGAGACCACCACTGTATTGGGCATTAATGGGCGATGAGGACGAAATTGCTACCTTGACTCCTTCAGAAGTGACCTCGCGGATGTTGCGCACTGTGAAGCTGATTCTTGATATTGGACCAGCGATGGTGAATGTGAAGGATCATGATAACAAGACAGTGCTGCACTATGCGGTTGACAGTCATGTGGGGGATGCCGACTGTCTCGCGGCAGTGAAATTGCTGCTGGAGTACCGACCCGACCGGGACATCCTGAACGCCCAGGGTGCGGACCTGGATGACCCGGGCTCGACCGTTTTGCATTACGCCGTATCGCGTCGTGCAGATGACGGCGTCAAGTCTGAGATCTTCTTCCAGCTGCTTGACATTCTAGTTATTCATGGGGCAGATCCGACGATGTGCGACGAGGCAGGCCGGACAATGCTATACCCGTTGGCTATAATGGGTACAGACATCAGGCCTATCGACGATGAGACCTTGGAGAAGGTCTTGACACTGGTGGACATTAATCACGCTGACGTGAATGGAGATACCTCGCTGCATCATTTTGTGAGGCGACTTCGCCAAATCCGAGAGGTGGATAAACTGCTCAACCGGGGTGCCGACGTCAACGCAGTCAATAAGAAGGGAAACACGCCGCTACATGTGGCCGTCGGAGCAAGTACCTTCCCCAGTGTGCGAAGAATGGACGATGGTGGCTACGTGGAAATTCCGCTTGAAGATCGGTTGGAGGCGCTTGAGAAGATGATCGAGATTCTCCAGGACGCTGGGGCCTCCATGGATCAAGCCAACCTTGCAGGAGAAACACCGCGTGAGATATTGAAAGAGACCAGGGAACGATGGGCGCTGAAAGACTTTAGTCCTCGCTGGAGATAGCATCGCCTCAAGCCTAAAGAGATTAACAAGGATATGTGAAGAATATCATTGTTATGGCCAGGAATGATCCTTGCTTCGAAAACCAGAACCAGATATAGAAGAGTGGAGAAGAGGAACCGGTCAAGAGAACAGAATGGTACAAGTACTGAGTAGATGGAGAAGCCGGCAATTAATTCATCCCCGGCGGGGCAGAATCTCCAAATCCCCCCACATGCGGGCTTCTAGACCATTACCTCATGCACGCCTACAAGTTTAATTACTGCTGCTGCTGCCTACCGCCAACGCCCCCGATCTCCCTATTCTGTACAAACTACAACACAACACCACACCACCAAACCACCAATCGCACCCACAATGCCTCCCCCGAAGACCCAACTCCCCGAAGGCGGCAAAACTCTGGTCTACTCCACGGTAGACGGCCATGAGATCAAACTAGACTACTACCTGCCGCGCAACACGACGAGCGGCCACCTGCCCGCGATAATCTACTACCACGGGGGCGGCATGACCGCCGGCTCGCGGCGCGGCGGCCACTTTCCCACCTGGCTCTACGGTGCGAGATCCCCCAATCCCCCAATCCCCCAATCCCCAGCCCCTGAATCACCCAACTGATTCTAAATCCCACAGACCACTGCCAAAAATCCACCTACATCTTCATCTCCGCCGACTACCGCCTGTGCCACCCGAGCACGGCCCTGGACCAAATCGCCGACGCCCAGGCCCTGTTCCGCTTCCTGGCCAGCCCCGCCTTCCAATCCTCCCTCGGATCCCCCGACCTGTCCCTGGACACCTCCCGCATAGCAGTCACCGGCTTCTCGGCGGGCGCCTACTCCGCCCGCGCCGCGTGCGTCTACGCCACCCCGAAACCCTGTGTGCTGATGACGGCCTACGGCACCGGCGGGAACCTGCTCCTCGATCACTGGACGCGGCCACGGCCGCCGACCTCCATCGCCAAGATGGTCGACCTGGCCGACGTCCCGCGACTGCTGGCGGATCGGACGGTGGTCAGCGACGACGCAGACAGAAACTCGAATCGGTTTGCGCTGACGGTGCGGTGGGAGATCGACGGGACGTTTTTGGACGGGGTGTTTGGACGGCCCGGGTTGGGGGCAACACTCAATAAGGTAGAGTATGCGGGGAGGGCGGAGGCGGTGCCGGAGGAGTTGAAGCCGGGGTTCCTGCAGAACTTTGTGGGGGAGGGGTATCCCCCTGCCGTGTTTGTGCATGGCACGGCGGATGAGGTTGTGCCTGACCAGGAAAGTAAGTTTCAGCATGAGCAGTTGGGGCGGTTGGGGATCAGGACAGAGTTGTTGCTTGTGCAGGATGCTGGGCATGGGTTGGTGGATTTGAAGTCGGGGTTCCCGCCGAAGTTGGCCGAGGGGGCGATGGAGGCGTATGCTGAGGCGTTGAAGTTTGTGGATGCTGCGTTGCTGGGGAAGTTGTGAGTTGGATTTGAATTGTGGATAGATTGGGATTCAATTAGATGATAGATGAAGTAGATTGGTGACACAGTTGGTTGTTGGGTAGGCATCGTTCTATCGTATCATTACACCATTATATACATCACCCGGCCCGCACGTCTATACACGATTATTTCTACCTTGGTGATCGGTCTTCGTGGGTATGATCCTCTTCTCTTCCTCGCTATTCGCAACCCCCCCGGACGGCGCAGTGGCATATTCCAGCACTGTCAGCACCGTCGTCAACGCCACACTCGGTTGACCTACGGGCGAGCTCCACCGACCACATTGTAGCGAATCTGGGCCAACAGCGAAGTAACTCCATCCTTTCCGAGCTTGTAATAGATGAGTCCACCCAGAGCGATCGCATAGCCGAAGAACTGAAGGGGCGTGACGGGATCGCGGAAAATAACCATCGAGGCCACCACGAGCAGGATATCCTTGAGGACGCCGGACAGGGTGAGGACGAGAGCAGAGGTTTTGCCGATCTAGACACATTAGCCAGGTTCTCCACCCTACGCTCATGTCGACATACCAGGAAGACGACAGCAACATTGAGTCCGAAAGCAACAGCAGCGTTCAAGAAAAGAGTGCCAACTCCAAGGTTATAGATGTCGGACATGTGCATGGTCGGCAGTTCCACGACCGCAGTGATAACACCGTTCATGATCGCGCAAGCGGGCGCGAAGTAATAGAGCGAAACCAAGGGGTCCATCTTGAATTCGGCGGAGCTGAGGAGGCGCTGGACCATGACCAGACGAACGGATTCGAAGATGGTGGCGAAGAATTGGCCTGCAAAAATATGAGCACGCAATTCATGTCATGAGGGCATAAAAGCACATACAGATGAAGCCGATCATGGTGAACTTGATCTCGCCGATCGAGGCGATGATAACACCGATGACGATGAAGGAGATGTTTCCGAGCAAGCTCAGACGCACTGGCGCAATGCCCATAGCCCATGTCGCGAGGAGAGTCGCAACGGAGTTAGTGGCCTGGTACAATTAGCATCCCTGCTCAGGCGAGTGGGTTCAATGCGATTACCTTGAGCATCTGGATGAAAGAAACACTGAGGTACAGGTAGGCCAGGTTGCCGCAGATAAGACTCAGCGAGAAGAAAGCGCCGATGGGCACGATAGCGCGCCTGAAGACATTCCCAATTAGCAACGGTGTATAAGTCAGGGCAAGAGAGACGAACATGTAAACGCGCGAGGTCATGGGCACATTGTGGCGGGAGTCGAGCAGGGTCGTGAACCGCGCCATCAGGCGGGTCATAATAGTAGCGAAGACCAAGTGCCATGTAGTCAGAAACAAGGCTATAGCAACATATTGTCAGTTCTGGAGGCATTCGGCAACGGTGTCTAGACACGGATCGACGTACGGAAACCTGGTGAAAACGATCGCGATTAGCAGGATCCCCACAAATCAAAGCACACGTCGCAATACTCACTGAAACCAGCAGTGTGCAAAATCCACTTGTTGAAGATAATGACCCCCGAGCTGAGCGCAATCCACGTTCTAGTGGCGTATTAGTCTGAGTTCGAGTCGTAGAGAGCAAGTCAACCGTACGCGATGTAGAAGGCCGGATGCAAAGCCGCTTTCGCGGGCTCCGCGGGGGTGTTGACGGTGGGCAATGGCGATTTCGACGACATGACGGGAGACGGTGGGAGGACAGTCGAGGAACCGAGAACCGGAGGCGTCGAAGAGGAAGCGGAGAATTGAAGGCCGATTCAGCAGAAGACCGTGCTGCTGGATAAGGAGAAAAGAAAGAGACGAAGAGCAGAGAGGGGGTTGCAGAAAGATAAAAACAAAAAAGTGACGAAGGAGAAAGAGTGTGAAAAGTGGAGCCGCCGACCGATCGGCCAGCCGGTCGGTCCCTGGCAGGCTGTGGCAGGCTGTGTGGCAGGCTGGCAGCTCAAAACGACACGCGGCCCTGCGGTTCCAGCCGCGCCCCTCCACGTAATCGCCTCCATCGCATCAGAAACCTGACCGATGGCGTTGAGCCTTTCTCCGGTTGGCTCGTGCAATGGTACTGCATATCCAATGAATTGCTCAAGATGAGGAGGGTCCACGACTCCAGCCATTCCACCCTCTGTGCGTTTCATCCTCCAACCCCCCCCTCCAGGGTCTGCGCTAACCTCCGCGAAAATGAGGCTTATCGATAGACAGCGTAGAAGCAAGGTCTGGCCTTGCGTCATTTCTCAGAAAGACCCTTCTACTTCTACCTGTTACACCGCGTTGAAACTCCCGTTTCTCTGAAACAAATGTCGAGCTGAACCACCACGCCGGGTGGGACAGTTGTCCAACCGGCAGCTATGAAAATTCTGCTTGTTACGGCTCTGCCGAGGTTCATCAGAAACCCCACATACCACCCTTCATCCATCCGCGAAGTCAGAGACAGTCAAGCTTTACTTTTATCTACGAGTCATCCTTGGCAGGAAGCCTGTAGCTTGGCATCTTTGCAGCACTCGAAAGAAGTGGTGGGATAGTCCGCCCACCGTTCCTTTGACAACAAACCACGCAGCCTACCAAGCAGCGTCAGTCTGGCCAAGCAACTGCGCATGGAATGTGATAGTAGGACAGGGGTATTATAGTTTGAGTGACACAAAACGTCTAACAAGCTCTCTCCCCTTGCGACGGCCCGGAATCCGGGTCGCAACACGTTCGAGAACCGGAGGTAGTCGTCATGGGCAGCCGACTTGGAAATCTCTAGGCGTCCACGTTTCACCAACGCCAACCAAAGATTTTGGAAACAGAATGTTCCTGAGGATAATAGTCTATTCTTAATCGAAGACTGGACCAGAAGTACCATACCCAGAGCACTTCAAAGAATGCTGTCGCCCGTTTGAGTTCCTCAAACACTTACGTATGTTGTTTCGAGCTGCCAGAGAAATAACCCTTGCTACTATCTATTCTGTGCGTTCTGCCGCCGATTTGGTGACATACTATGCATTCTGATAGTATCCCAAACAAAAGACTCCAACACACTGCCCTCTTCTGTCCCCAGAAAACAAACCCAAAAGTCCTCTCTATTTCCCAGCCATTACCATACATTTTGATCGGTCATCTCTCGTGAAAAGCGCTATAACGTGCAGACAAAGGTGCGCATCGGGCAACACGCGGTATCAATGACGGGTCGCCATTCCTCGCATCACTGTCTTGAGATTAGCATGTTGACAAACTGCGAGGTCTTCGTACAGAGATGATCATCCAATCTTCCAGTAGTACTTACTGTATCGCACGGAATCGAAATCAATCTCTTCCTGATCTCGACTGCCGCCTTTTCTCGGAGGCTGTTCGTCTTTTCTCGGAGCTAGGGTAGTGGCATCGCTGAGCACCGAAGCAGAATCGTCTTGCGCATGTTCTTTTGAAGACGTGCTGTCTTTGGTTTGTTTCGAGTCCGCATTGTTCATAAAAAATTTGGAGTCTTCGGAGCCATTGCCATTCTTGGGAGACTTCGACCGGATAGCCCGGTACATGCTGTTGAAAGGGTTGGAAGGCATTGCTGCGAGGAGAGTGGATGTGGTAGATGCGGTTGATGGAATCACTTTGAAGATTGAGGTGCAATTGGAAGAAATGGCTTGTCTGGAGCTGCTGATTTACTTTCCACATTGCTGATTCCTGACACTTATATAACTATCATGATTGTGAGGGAATTGTATAGTCCACTCCGTATAGTTTGTTACTGCCTGGCCGGTGTCGGCCCTCGGAGTAAACGCACGGGCCTTCGGAGCAGCCCTGAGCGTTCCTGTCATTTTCTCTCCGCGAGCTTATCTTCCCTTCCAGACCCTCTCCCTCTCCCTCTCTCCACCCACTGTCGCACCCACTGTCGGACCTCGACTCCAGGTTTGACTCATCTCGACTCACGCGGAGTCACACTTTTGTTTAACGTTTAATTAAACCATGTCTGCGCCTCGTCGCAACGGTCAACTGTCGTCATGCGAGCCTTGCCGGAAATCCAAGCTCCGATGCGATCATTCGACTCCGACCTGCAAACGCTGCGAGCGCCGTGGTAAATCGGACCTGTGTGTTTACCATCCCGCCCCACTGACCAAGCCGCGCCAGTCTGGCCAGATTCTCAAGGCAACACAGAAAAGCACCAATCCCCAGCCGCTCCTGTGTGCGAAGACAATTTCCGTCACCAACCTCGGGAGCTCCGCGTCCGTCAGCCTGCTGGGAGCCGCACAGTTTCCCAATGTTTCGAAACGTCATTTGTCAGGCAGCGGTTTTCTGGGCCCGACCAGTTACTCGGGCAGCGTGTTCACCAATGAGGTTGAGCTGGAGCTGGGGATTCGTGCTTCGCTCTCCCAGACAGACACACCACTTGACCCCCAGCGGGTGAACCAAGGAGCCCAAGTACTCTCGTTGCTCGAGCATCTCGACTTGTACGAGAAACTGATAGAGAATCGCAACAAAACCATTCCAGGATGGGTCTTCGGCCCACCATTGACACGAGGACTAATTGCACAACTAAGGACCTCCTATCGCAATGCGACCGCAGGATCAGAGAATAAGTACGCACGGCTCCTGGACCTTTCCCGAGTCATATTCAAGAACTCGGCTATTCCAATTGAGACCAGGTCCTCCATGTCCTTGAATGAATACCTCTCTCAATATGCGCTCCGGTGGGACATGGTCGGCCTTGTATTTGCGGTGGCAGGCTCAACGACCTTCCAAGTCCTCAAACAAGAACTCGACGAGATATTCAAGGGCTTCCCCGGAACCACCAAAGGAGGTCTATGTCAGATGAGTCTTCAAGCATCTGAGGCCTGCCTGCAATTCTGCAATTATCTGGGTATTATTAGCGACCCGCAGTCCTGGACAATGGTCCAACACACGATCCTCATCTCTTCCTTACACGGATCTTGTGGTGAGTCCTAATACGAAAAATATCTGGCCGGCTCACGAATATTGATACCATTCTAGATCACCGGACATGGCAGATGCTCGGAGACCTTACTACCACAGTCTTTGCCTTAGGCCTTCACCAGCCTGCAGCAGCAGACGATGTCCCGTTCTTCCTGGAAGAGATCCGAAGGAGAGCTATGGTCGCAGCTTATGCTCTGGACAAGGACATTGCCACTTGTTTTGGCCGACCCCCCCGAATATGCTGGCGCTATTGCAATATCCAGTTTCCTCTGGATATCAGTTATGATGAGTTAGTGGCAGAGCCGGCGATCAGAGAGGCAGCGCTTCGGCGCCTAGATGCAGCAGGCTGGAATATCGATGGACGAATAGACAAAGGGGCAAGGGGTAGAGGCGCATTGATCGTCAGTCTTTTCCGCGAGAGTGTCTTGGAGGTATCTTTGAGCCACGAGCTTGATGGGTTGGAAGAAAGAGTCCTGTGGGTTTCTTCTTAAGCAGCACTAAGAGGCTACCTATTGATATGGCGCGAACAGAGAAGTCTGCCGTAGGTCAGACGATTATTATGCAGCTTTACCCAAACATCTGCAATGGACAGACGACAAAGAAGATTCGAACCTCGCATCATTGCATCTAGAGTTCCTCTATCAGCGATTTCTACTATGCCAAACCTTGTTCAAGCGTATTGGCAAAGGGCTTGACTTGCTGATCCGCACGTCGTCGGAAATAATCACGCTACTGCTGAAGATGATATCCATACAGTCTCGTTTAGGACTCGTACCTGCGCACGTGAAATGGGATGTAAGTTGTCCACCCGGACACATCGCCCTCCGCGTCTAACGCACTCTTCCTCCAGTTGTGCTATATCGGCCTACCTGCCGCTGGGGTCTTGTCGATCGAACTACTTCGACGCTCCCAGACAGACTCCCTCGCGTCCTTAACAGCGCCATCAGCGCCTTTTCCCCGATCGGATATCATTCAAAAACTGTCCGTGTTCATTGCCCAGTTCAACACCTTTGTCCCGCAAAATGAGGGCGACTACGAGATCAGCAACCGGGGCCAGAAGGTCATCTCGCAGGCGCTGGACCGCGTGCTGTCGGGCGTGCCCTCCAGCATCTCCCCTTCAGAAGCAGTAGTGTCTGATGGAGCCACCATAGGCGACGACATGGAGTTCATGGCCTTTTTAGAGAACTTCGATTGGGAACAGGAGGTTCGGCTGGCTTTTGGGTAGAAATATGGGAACCCTCGCAGAGAAAGGATTCGAGCGAGAGCAACAGTGAAGTGATTTACAGTTTCAGTACATGGCGTGAGGCTCTAACGGTAATGACCAACTCTACATATGACAGTTAACGAATGAACATGTCTACCAATCAATTTTCGGTCGTTATAGATCTCGATGGGATCGGGATCGAAAACAAAATTCCTAATCGGGCGGTAGGCGGTTCAGCCTAAATAGGAACATTCCGACACCGATCGGCTAAGCTCCAACAGGAAAGCTGCCGCCGACCCCACGATGACCGAATCCGATCTACACGGGGTACGTCATGGAAGAATTTCTCGGAATAGTGACAATGCCCTTGTCCGGATGGCAATACGCAAAGTCAACATACCCCATTGCTGGAAATCCGAAGTACAATTCATTGTCGCTCTAATGTACCAAACCAGTATCAGAACCAAGCTCTCAAATCTATACCATCTATACAACCCAGCAACACAAACCACCATATCAATCATACATAAAGAGCTCGTCCATCAAACTCCCCCCAAACCAACTCAACCCAGCCCTCTGCAGATCAATCAAGCCCCAATAGGCTGCTCCTCCCCACGAGGGGCATTATTAATCAAACTCATGAAACAATTCCACCCTACCACCAAAAGTCAGCAAACATCCTTACTCCCTTCCCCCTATCCCCATTTCCAACCCTCAATCATAGCCCCCTCCCCAGCCAAGAAAGAGAAAAAGAAAACATACCAACATTAACCACATTGACCACCAACACCCGAAACGGCAGGGGCACCAGGAACAGATTCACCGCCTGCACGGCGGGCCACACGGTCCAGTTCGCGCAAAGCGCGTCCCAGTAGCTTCGCTGCAGCTTCTCGGCCGGGCTTTTCCCCTCGAGGAGCGACATGCTGCTCAGGAACACGCCGATCATCGTCGGCGCGAAGAGGAGCTGGTCCGCGCCGACGCGGGCGACCAGCGTCGGGCCTGCCGAGCGGAAGGCTACGCGGGCTTGCAGGAGTTGGTACCATTTTGTGGCCACGGGGCCGAAGACGGCTGCGCTTGTTAGTACCTCCGTGATATTTTTGGGGAGGGGAGGGGAGAAAGGGTAGGGGTAGGGGTAACGCATGCTCACCGCCGCCGTATAGCGCCATCCGGCTGCTGCGCATTACATCATACTCGGCGAGGGGACGTTTCTCGATGGCGGTTTGCGCGAGGCCGTCGCCTAGGGCGAAGAGGGCCTGCGGTTGGTTTAGCTTTGGGGGTTGCTGGGTGCAGAGATAGGGGTAGAGGGGTAATGGAATTAGGGAGAGGTTGCGTACGGCTGTGGTGAGACCCTGCGTTAGGTAGGGCCGTTGGATGAGACTTCTTTGGTACCTGGATTGTGTGTCTTAGTTTCAGTGTGGGTGGTTGGGGTATAGTGGCGGGCTTACGAGGCGAACATTGTGGCTGTTGTGTCAATGGGTATCAACTAGGTAGAGGTAAGGTCACTTGATGGAGGAGATATGAAGAGGTGAATTAGAATTGAGGAGGTTATTTTTCTTAAGAATGTGAAATGTTGGTCGGTAGTCAGGTTGTGGCGGATAGCCCAAAGAGGAAATCGGCCCGCTGTGACGCAATGGGATGAGTTCATCTTCCCCGCCGGTAATGCGATCGTCGCGTGTGGCTGGATCTTGGTTCGAAAGATAACCTTATCTCCATCTGAGTGGGCAGGGGGACGATGAAGTCTTGTCTATATTTCATGTGTTTATGCGCACTGCCCTTCTCTCGATGGGACATGTTATGCAGTCTTGGCATCTCACTCGTATATCTTTCATCGAGTATCTTTCGTTGTTCAAGTCAAGTATCTGTATGACGTCTTTCGATGAGTGATGATCATGCTATTCTATGCTTCAAAGATGATAGAGGCATAGCTTCGCTAGCTGGGCCACAAATCGAGAGGCATAGAGCAGGAGATAGAGGTCCAAGCGAGATACTTGATCCGAGTTTCTGGGTGGAGTAGTTTCCTCGTCCTGACTAAGCCTCACTAATGTCTGCTGTCAGATCAACCTCCTGACCATAAGCTGCGAGGCTTGATTAACAGAAGACACCATCATAGTCACACCGACAAAATTGGAAAGAAGGGCGATGGATATAAGACATGCATTCTGGGCCATCTTGGCAATAGGTTAGCCCGACAAAATCAAGGTCCGAACTGGTAAGCATGAACGAGGTGCCCAATCCACCGCTTACTACCTGAAACATTGGGGTCGAGATAATCGACATGCCCCCAGTGAGGCAGAAAAGACTCAAACAACCACAAATCACAAGGTCTACAGTATACTCCAGCATTCGGCAGTCGGCACTGCCGGGCCCAAGTCTCCGAAGCTCACCCCCTGACGGCCCGCAGCGGGGGTCAATAGTTCGGAACCTTGAACCCTAAAAGGGGTCCGATTTTGGCGCCAACACAACAACCGAAATTAGATTCTTCCCAGTAATCCAATCGCAGCGTCAATTTGGCCTTTAGCGCCAGATGCAGGGCCCTAGCATTTTACTCTTGTGGTCGGTTCCTGACTTGTTCATCTCCACCCGGACGAACTGTTGTGCACCCTTTTAGAGAATTAGGCAGTGAAGACGAGATTTCCGCCTATGGCTCGGTCACAATTGACTCACGCTAAGGCGGGTGTCTCCCGACGCTTGGCTCGTGGATTATAAGTTAAGATCTCTGGTTCACCCGGATGACTCGGTTTCTGTCAGCCTCCTGTCACAACGCAGCTTCTCTCATGGTGACTGTGAACATGGCGAGAACTACCTTCCAGAACCTCCTGAAAGTGGCTTATGCCGCTGCCCTTGTGGCGGGCACCGCGTCTGCCATCGATTTGGACATCAACAATGAACGTATGATTTCAATGAACTCCACTCCTCTTGTCTCCTGCTGAAATCATCCCATCTGCAGAGTCCATTAAAGATGCAGCCGCCACCGCCGCGTTCAACACCATGCAGCACTACAACGGTAACAAGACCGGAGAGATTCCAGGTGTCATCCCCAGCCTCTGGGGTGAGGGCGGCGTCCTCTTCAATCTCATGATCCAATACTGGTACTTCACCGGCGACGCCTCCAACAACCCCGCCGTCAGCCAGGGCATGTACTGGCAGATCGGCGACAACGACTACATGCCGTCGAACTGGAGCTCGCAGATAGGCAATGACGACCAGATGGCCTGGGGCCTTGCCGCGATGACCGCCGCAGAGCTGGACTACCCTCAGGACGTCAATCAGACGTCATGGTTGACTCTGGCTGAAGGCGTCTTCAACACCCAGGTTGCACGGTGGGACACGAGCAACTGCGGGGGCGGACTGCGCTGGCTGATCTGGCCCTTTGAGTCCGGATACACCCTGAAGAATGCCATCAGCAACGGTGGTCTCTTCCAGCTCTCTGCGCGGCTGGCTCGGTACACCCACAACCAGACGTACGCAGACTGGGCGGAGAAGATCTGGGACTGGAGTGCCAGCGTGCCGCTCCTGAGCAACAAAACCTGGAGTATCGCCGACAGCACGGATGTGGACAATGGTTGCACGACCCAGGGAAACAACCAGTGGACGGCCAATTACGGGCCGTACATCAGCGGTGCAGCCTATATGTACAACTACGTAAGTCAATTGCAAGCCAGCTTAGAGCAACAACAACTAACGAGAACGAAGACCAACGGTCAAAACAACAAATGGAGGTCTGGCCTCGACGGCTTGCTCAACGTCTCGTTGGAAACCTTCTTCCCCGAGAAGTACGACGGTTTGATCCTGTCGGAGATTTTTTGTGAGCCCACAGAGAATTGCAACTCGCTCGCAGACACGTACAAGGGGACTTTTGTCTCGGATTTGACGCTTGCCAGTCTCGTCGCTCCGTACATCTCGTCCGAGGTGTCTTCGCGTCTGCAGGCGTCGGCTGTCGGAGCGGCGAAGCAATGCACGGGTGGCAACAACCAGACGCTCTGCGGCCGTCGCTGGTATTCGGATGAATGGGACGGGACTGATGGGAGGGAGGAACAGCTCAGTGCAACCAGCATCTTTTTCGCGAATCTGGCTGGCTTCACTGAGAAGGGCGTTGCCACTGCGGCCGCGGCTGCTAATCAGACGACCGGGCCTGCCGGCACGCATGGGACTTCCACAAACGGCACTGGTGTTCCTCATGCCTTGAATGGTGCTGGCAGATCGTCTCAGGGACAATTTGGTGCTGCTACTGCTGGCGTTTTAGCAGGTCTTGTATCGCTTCTCGTGCTTTGACTTTGTCAATGAATCTGTACGGTAGTCTTGGTCTGAACAAGTAGATATGCGCAGGTAGTGGACGTGTGTGATGCAATAGCTGTCTGTAGTGCGGGCGACTAACGTGACACCAGTAACTTCTTCGCAGTGTATGTGACACTATCAGTCCAATCCCGATAATGACGGCACCGGTAACTCATTCTTGACTCACAAGAGCTTTACCCTTCCGAGATGGCGCGACGGAAGCAAGACTGAGGATGGCAAAGCCCGGTCTGTCATCTCGCGTAAACAAGAGGTTAAGGCGAGATTTGTGAATTGCACCGATTGACAGCATGCACAGTGTGCTGAAAGACTATGGTTATGTATCCAAGCACCTACGGTGTAGTCTTGAATCGAGTCAGGCAGCCGTGTAAAATTGAAGACTAAGTCAACATCACCACCTGAATCGCTAAGAGCTTACTCGCGCACCAAGCCAGAGCCACCCAGTACCCGCGCTCGAGCAGCCTTCGCTGCGTTTCTGACAGTCTCCCGCTGTAGAGGGGTTGACAAGTGGACGCTTAAAGCACGCTCCGGAGTGGTAAGCCGAAGTTCCTCTCCACGAAGAACACAAGAAAAGTCGAAGAACAGGCTTTTCTTCATCCAGATCTCGAACAACATCTCCCAACGCTCGCCATCGAGGTTCGGCAGCACCGTGCTAAATTCATCACGCTCGCGAATGAGACTTTCAACTTGTGATGCCGTGGACCATGTGAGAACGGAAATCATGGCTTGCACGAGCCCTGGACTGAGATGCTTTTGCGCACGAAGGCAGTTGGCGGCATAGTACTTACCTCTATTGTCTTGCGAAGTCGCTAGGGTCTGGACCACGGACTCTTGAATACATTCCGGTAGTTCTGGGTCCTTATATAAGGCCATTAATGCCAAGTTCTTTGTCAAGTAATTCGCGTGGTCTAAATCTGGGTCAACCAACAGAGCAGAGACGGGTCCCGTGGCATACTCTGGCAATCGGCACCGTCCAGCAAATATCTCACACGCTTGGCGTTGCAGTTGCTTGTCTGAATGACCAAGAAAGGGAATCAAAGATTTGAGAACGTTGTCACTCAAGTCATGATAGTTAAGAAGGATCGCTTTCGCGCGAAGTCTCTCGCTCTCGCTCTCGAAATCATCAACGTGGCTCCAGATTTTGAGCAATGCTTCAAAAGCTTCGTCTGGGAGCTGGGAGTGCGCGGAAAATTCCCAGAGAATTTGAAGCACAATTTGTCGTTTTTCCGAGTTCGCATTATTGAGCATAGACACGAAATATCGCACTCGCGAGTCAGGAATCTTCTGACGGCCTATTACTCCAGCTGCAGCAAGCCTAACATTCCAGAAGTTCCCGTCATCCAGGAACAGAATTGCAGTTTCAACGATATCCGCCGGGAAGGCGCAATGTTTGCTCCATACTTCCATTGTTGTTATCCTCACTATAGCGTCCTTATCATTTTTCATTCGAAACGCCAGAGTGTCCAAAATTTCGATGGGCAAAGATTCTTCTGACAGCAAGGCATCTGCAGAAAACTGTCGAACGTTTGCATCGTCATCATTCAGAGCACTGTGTAATGTATCAAGAACAAATGACCTATCAGAGACCCTGTAGCAAGCTCGGATGACCGCAAGCCTCACCCGTAGATCACTATCATGCCGGAGAGCCAGAACACGCGGGATGATATCGATGTTTGTAGATAGATAGGACTGGAGTGTTGACACGGCAAATTCCCTCAACGGTGGTTCTCGCGCCTCCAGCAGTGATACAAGCTTCGTTATATTTGTTTCAGCTAGCCTGAAGTGCGATTTTATGAAACCAACCCACTCTGGCACTGGAGTCTGTTTTGCCTCGATCCTGGCTAACAATGTATTGATAAATTCTTCCTGTGCCCTTGTAATTCTCCTCATGAGAGCGATATCAAAAGTTCCTACTGTCCACAGCGTTGGAGTCTCGAGGATCTTTTGGAGCGGCTCTTGCCGAAATATGTCATGCTCAATGAGAGCACGGAATGCACTCTGCTTCAAGCTCTTGGACTTACTGGTGTGCATAATATCGTTCATCTTCTGTAGGAGTGCTGGTGATACCCAGGCGCGGCTTGATATATCGCGGAGAGCCCTGATTTTGAGTTTCTCATTGGATTTATCCAGAATGCGCCCCAGTAAGTGCTCGGGGAACTCCATTTCAGTACTCAAAGGGAATGAGTTAAAAGCATTACATCCCACTAAAGCAGCCAGTAGCTCCCCATCGATGCTTTGTTGCAATTGCCGCAGAGCACTGCACCTAGGAGGAAGCAGAATCTCATTGAAACAATACATCAAGATACGAGGATGTGCAAGTCCGAGTAAGTCCTTTGGCTCACTGTCCAGCACTTGCATGAACTGGGTTAGTCTTTCTTGATTCTTGCTTCCATGGAGAAGTCCTGCTACAAACCGCCACATGACATTGTAGCGACCATTATACTTCTCGCGGTGTATAAACTGTTTCGTATCCAGATAATGACACTTGGTTGAGTTCATTTCAAGACATGTCAGCGGGGTATCAGTCATCCAACAGTGCACGAAGTAATGAGCAGCAAAGAACTCCTGGAAGGTCAAATGCATGAAGTGATAAGTCTGACGTGGGTGATTCCCCGCGGAATGAGAGCTCCGGAGAAACGATACTGCATTGAGCAGATTATCTGATTTACCTTCCAAGCCAGGCAATGTTGCATATGTTGTTATCCGATGTTGATGTGTGAACTCAACGAAGTTGTTGTACAAGCCAGTAAAAGCAAGCTTCTGAATCAGCTCGATATGTTCATGCATAGCTTGTTGGACTTGAGACCGTACGTGGATATTCTCAGCCTCACTCTCGCTCAGCTTTCCCAAAAGAACCATGTCTTTTTTCCATAGTCTGACTTCGATGGCCTGATACAAGGCAGTCATAGTTCCGATGTTTTGCGAGAGAAGCCTTTCGTTCCAAGCAAAGCATAACGCATCCAGTTGAATAGGAATCTGAAGAAGACTTTTCATCAACCAGTGGCTGTTGATGAAATGCTTGATCTCCCTTGCAGATTTTTCATCCTTGCCAATGCAGCCCACAATCTGGTCGACGTATGCTTCTACCTGCTCGGAGCGAAACCCTGTCGTCTCAAGCTCGAGATCAAAGTCCTGAATCGATTTATCAAATCCTGCATGTGGCCTGGCCGTAATGATGACATTCGGGTAGTTGAGAAGATCCAACATCGGTTGAGACTTGACAAGGTCTCCACTGGGAGTCTTCGCGCCAACTATCTCATCGAAGCCGTCCAGCAACAGAAGAGTCTTGTTTTCTGTTTGATGATATATTGTTTCCAGAAGAGCAGAGATGAAATGGTCTTTCTCGCGATGATTTGACCAAACCTCATCGCCAAGAAACTGATCTAGAGTAGGCTTGTCTTTCAGCTTCCGCAAGGGTATCCAAAGCACCCGTTGAAAATTCCACCGGGGAAAGTTGGCATTGATGAAGTCGTGAATGATCTTTTTGCATAACGTTGTCTTTCCCACTCCAGCACGACCTCTGATCAGAATGCGTCTTGGAGTTCTTGACTGGCCATCGGGAGAACCAACATGGCTTCTTAGCTTACGGGCATCAAAAAGTTCTTGTAATCCAAGTGCTTCCCCCTCGCCCGGCGCTTCAACCCTTAGACGCCTCTGGAGGGATAGTTCGAAAGCTTCTTGGTTTTGTCGGTTTAGTGAATAATCGACAATTCCAAGATTAATGTAGCAATTTTCGATGTCTAGAGTGTCGTTGGAGAGACGTAGTATCTTAAGCCGGTTCTGTTGCAAATAATACTCCGTCAACGCGGCATCTGCATAGAACCTTTGCGCCTCCTTGCACTCGTGCCACGCATCTTCCAACAAACTGCCACCCATAGCTGCTGCCGTGTTCGGGTCAAAAGGCTTCCTCACTTGCGGTTCGCACTCTAGTTTTTTCAAAAAGCGGAACGGAAAGGATCTTCGGGCTCTTGGTAAGGACTGTTTCCATCCTTTCTGATCAAACGTCTCTGAAATCAGGTTGATCCACTGCCGAACACGCAAACTCTTTGCCTTTATTTCCTGCAAAGACTTCATGTCGAATGTTCCGTTGACAACTCGGATGATCCGACTTTTTTCCCGTTGACCTCCCAACAAGAAGCCTTGTTCGAGTTGGGCATACAATCCGCACCAGAACTGCCAGCTATCCCCACAGGGAACCTTAGGTAATATGTGTTCAAGGGTGTCAAATGAGTTGCCGCCAGCCATAATAAGCATACTAGTGTACCGGAGTATGCCATACCAGAGCCTTTGATTTGGAAGTCTTCGGATGTTCTCAACAAACACTTCATCCATCTCTCTTATAGCTTCAACTTGGTCTTTGCCCGCATCATAGATTCTCTTCATGAATTCCAAAAGTTCCATCAAGTCTGGCCCCGCCTCCAAGAGTCTTTCTGGGTTCATGGTTGAGACAGCCCCGGCAGTTCTTGCAACCACTGCAATGACCCTCCAACTGTTGCTCCAGAAGATATCCCAGGGACCTTGATTGTCTGAAATACCTCTGAGCGCTTCGTACGCGTAGGCTGCCGCTTGAGCCAAGCGTGGCTCATCATGACCCTTCAAATCCGCAAGTAGTTTGAGAAGTGGGCCCCGCAGTGAATCTTTGTCAATTTCGGATGCCTTGATATCAACCGCGACGTCGAGCAAGACGCCGAGCCCATAGCACAGAAGGTACTGAGCTTCCAATGCATTCTCGCGGATTTTGTAGTCCAGCCTCTCACGCAATGCATTGACTGCCGCATAAAGCCCATCGCGCGAGTAACCTTCCGGCTTATTCCAAAGGAGAAAGACGAAGCTAGGGAGAAGATCCCCGTCAAGTGCATTACCCTTTTTGGCGTTGTCCACGATCGCCCGCGAGAAAACTTGTGCCAAGTGGTGGTATTGTCTCTGAGTTGTGGCTCGTGACAGACGTGACGCTTCAACATAGTAACTTGGACGGCTTTTGTCACGAAATCGGCCGACCATTTGCGAGATCAAAGCACGCAGTGCCGACTTCTCTTTCTTGTCGCATGCGGAATCGCCTAGCCGAGATGTGATCTCGTCCACCGTGTTGGGTCTCGAAGGACAGTGCAACGCAGCCGCCATGATTAATGTAACGTTCAAGGGCTTTCCTTTGTTCACGAGAGATTATGCTCATGAGAGATGATGTTCACGAGAGATTAGGAGGCATGGAAGAGGGGCCTTTCGGGAAAAATAGGCAGGCTGCTTAGCGGCTAGGGCGAGGCTGTGCGCTGAGGCTTAGCAACGTGCAGCGACCCCTGCTAGTTGGCTGAAATGCCCACGAATCAGCATAATTGATTGACTGGCTTTTTCTGATGGGCGCGTAACTCACATTGTCTTTAGTCTTGGTCTGTCATGCAATTTCAGATTTTTATGCCGGTACAGCCCAGCCTGTCTAGTCACAATACCGCTATTTGTTCCATGGTAATCTCTAGGGTTTTGAGGGCTAGATATCTATCAAGCTCCATAGCACAAGAATGCGAATTGGCAAGCTCCTCCACACCGCAACTTGATCTCATCAAGCAATTCTGGCATGTTTCGCAGTTGGTCAGAGGGTGTAAACTCCCCACCAGCCATGCAAACGCTTCGCAGCGCACCTCCGGGGCTTGGGGCTTTCTGCACCCGCTGCTTGGAGAACGAGAGCACAGTCCGCGTGGCTTTCCCGTTCGGCGTAGTGGAGGGCCGTCCATCCTTGAAATCCAGGTTTGTTGACATTTGCGCCATGAGAAATGAGGAACTGGGTTATGTCTGCATGACCGTAGCGGCAGGCGAGATGGAGTGGTGTCCAGTCGTGGGATATTGCGACGTCGATCTCAGCACCAGAGTGTAGTAGAAGGGATACGGCCTGTCGGTTTCCATGGCGAGCTGCGACATGAAGGGCGGTTTCGCCAGTTTCGTTGCGGTGGTTGACTAGGGAACCACAACGGAGGAGTCTTTGGAGAAGAGCTGTGTGGAGAGGTGTGGTTGCCGCTTGATGGAGATGATAGTGTATGCCTTCGTGGATCTCACGGATGAGGTGTTCATCAATATAGGGTGCTGTGATGATGGAGAGCTGGCAGCAGACGAGACGGAGGGAGAGGAGATCTGCCTTGCTGAGCACCTAATGCGATTCAGTAAATGCCTGTGAAGGATCACAGTTCCAAGCAAACCGGGAGAAGAGCAGACCGGGAGAAGAAGGTAGATTATCTCGAGTGGTAGATCACTAAGGTAGGCCATGGTAAGGACTAGGTAGTGTCTGTTTTGCAACTTCGTCGAACACTCACATGGCAAGCTGGCATGCTTTATTTGCTCGGCCTAGGCTGTGTTGTCGTCGGTAAAGCTTGCCCGTTCGGTTGATCCGACCATGCGCCAGCCATCGGACTGCGATGACTCCTAACTCAAGCGACAGATAATAGAAATAATTGGCTCTCACGTATGTCCACGAAAGGAGAGCGTTTGCGGAGCTGAGTTTGTGGAACCAGGCTGGCTGAAGCCGAGTGTATTTCAGTCTTCCGCTCGGTCCTGTATGGGCACGGTCGGACCATGTCAATAATAAGGGGAATAGAGGGAGCACCGCCATAAATCTCCTGCGACTCGAGTGTACCGATATGACTCAACTGAGATCTATGTTCTAAAAGCTTTAGCTACCAAGTTTAGACGACAAAGTATAGAAGAATGATAGCAATACCAAGGTGGATACTCGCAAGTAACCAAGTTACTAACAAGAAGAAACACTAGTGTCAAGGCAACACCCTGCTAGCCTTAGGCAACCACCAACGAATGCACACTGCCCTCCAACAATAGACATTCTACTACATCCTGACTTCAAAGCTAAGAGAAGGCTAACTACATAGTAACCACTTCAACCCGCCGCTAAGATTCTCTTCGCTCGTTCCCTCTCCCAAGCGAACAGAGACTATGCGATCCTGCGATCCTTCTCGGCCTCTGCAGACTTTGGGCGCCCGACTATAAGACGCCCAACAACCCAGCAACAAAGACGACAATAAGCTTACTTCTTCCACCTCTCCGCAACACAACCCACACATCACGATGGCATCCAACCAAGCCCCAGAAATTACGCTCTACCGTGGCTTTCCCTGGCCCGGGAAATACACCTGGTCCCCCTTCGTCACGAAGCTCGAAGCTCGTCTGCGCTTTGCGGGGATCTCCTATCGCACGGACGCCGGGTCCCCGCTCGGCAGCCCGCGGGGTAAGATTCCATACGTCGATATCACGGACCGGTCGACGGGCGCAAAGACTACCATCTCGGACTCAGCTCTGATCACTCGGGGGTTTATTGAGGATGGTGTAATCACTGACCTTAATCGCGATCTCGATGCGGAGAAGAAGGTGTTGGATGCTGGAGTGAGGCCTCTGTTGGAGGACCGGTTGTATTTCTATCTGGTACACTTCCCCTTTTCTTCCCTCGTGAATTGCCTACACGGTTCGAGAAGCTGACTCGGGCGACAGAACCACGAGAAGTGGATCGAGAACTACTACGAGATGCGAAAACACGCCCTGAGCGCGCTGCCATACCCGGTCAAGGTCGCGGTGGGATACTACATCTACCGGAGACAGAGGGAGATGCTGTACAACCAGGGCACACTGCGGTTCTCGTTGGAGGAGCTAAAAGGCTTCAAGGAGGAGGTTTGGACGAGTATAAGCGAGCTGCTGCTGTCCCGCAAGGCCCAGAAGCAGGGTGATGGGCCGTTCTGGGTGCTGGGCGGCGAGGAGCCGACTGAGGCTGATGCGGTCTTGTTTGGGTTTCTGGCTGGGTCTTTGGTTTGCTCTGCGTAAGTCTTCTTGACCTTTGGCATTGATCAATTCTAATCTATTGTGTCCAGCTGTCCGGAGACTCAGGCGATCCTGAAAAGCTTGCCTGTGGTGGTGGAGTATGCACGGCGCATTCATGACCGCTACTTCCCGGATTACGCTTGCTGGGAATGAATACCTATTTGACGATGTTTTGGGCCCATGCTATTTTTCTTTTTAGTCTACTTATGTAGTTTGTTCTAATAATTACCACATCATCTTGCAGATTCGTTCTTGGCATGAAAGTGTCTTAACTCAGGGCGAGGGATTATATGCATGTGGGCGCAGTGGCCTGAAGAGTGTTGGTGGCTAAGGCGTTGCTCAATGCATGTTCTCCACGCCCGATGCTCGCCAAGAGTCTACAGTAGTTTAGTCTAGGATATAAGATGAAGGTCTGTGTCTTCCCTGCATCGGGCACAATACAGTTGAATCGAGTCCCGAGCGTACTAGAGCGCCAGGCGCAGGATCGCATCTCATAACCAAGCTAGGTTCACATAAACTACATTAGCATACCTAGCTACGCCAACGAACTGCCCAGATATAACTGTCAAGTCTGATTCCTTACGCGGTTACCCCAAGACACTCCAAGCGGTGCAGGTCATCACAACAAGGCATCGGGAGAGATCAGATCGACCCATCCCAGGTTCGGCTCGGATTGCTTCCAACCCAACCGCTGTTGCACCAACTTTGAGTATGTCCGCACATCCTCGATCGGATACGAAAGGTACGATATTTCCTGTTGGATCCAGAATCAGTCACTCATTCGTAGAGCGAAATACGTTTCGACCTACCTCCTGACGATAAATTCCGCTGCACATGAACATAATGTGCATCATTCGTCCCCCTGAAGACTCGAAAAACTCCCCGCCTCCATGATAGAGACTGCCCAACATGATCATAGCTTCGCCGGCCTGTATTTCAGCATCGACGAGAGTCATATCACCATCGGGGCCGAAGTCCGGCTTCTCATCGCCCCAAAGGTGGCTACCTGGGACCACACGCGTGGCTCCATTCGCACGACGAGTATCGCACGCGGGGACAAACAAGCCGAGAAGCATGTCGCGGTTCGCGTGGTACGCATCAACACGAGAATGTCTGGCATGATGGTTCTTGTCATCGCGATGAAGCTTCTGCGCTTTCGCCCCTGGTCGAATTTCCATTGTGATGGCGATCGAAAGAAGCGGGTGAGTGGTGTTGGTAGACGGCTCGTCGCCGTACCAGTTAGTCGTCGTGATCGCGAGGAACTCTTCAGCTAGGTCCTGCAATATCTTAAGACAAGTTCGTTTCTTCTGGGCGTGGCAGAATCTGTCTTACCTGGTACAACGGATCGGAGAAGAATTTCTCGCGCACGGTCTTGCTGCGCCCGATAAGACGTGTACAAGTGCGGGTTCCGCCATTGAGGGCTGTTGTCTGTCAGGCTATCTAGCTGATGGCAATCTCTGGTGCGATCGGCTCACCACCCAGCTTGCTCCGTTGTTGTTCTTTTTCCAGCCATGGTTGAACTTCCTGCCTTGCTTCCTCTAACGTTTCCAATGTGGTGAAGCCCTGGACTATCACACACCCATCTCGTTTTAGGGCATCGATGAAGTCTTCCCTAGGTGCAGAGTAAGGTAGTCGTTGGATGATAGGCTTGGTCATTCTCGCATTGAATGTGGTTCGGAATCGGTCACGCGGAGAACAACACGAACGGAGTAGAAGTTTCCAGAAGAAAGCTGCGTGTTGCGAAACATCTCAAAGTCGATTTGAGAGGGCCTCGAAGTCATAATAATTGAGATACAAGGTTCGCTACAGCGACTGAAGGCGGGGAGATGCTTATCTCGAACCAATTGTCGTTGTGGTTGTGATAACCAAAGTGGGAGGAGATGGAAGGCTCAAGGCTGGAGAAGTGGGGGTCGATCACTGGATGACTGACCGACGACGACTCACCCCACGTTTCTTTCCATTTCCACACTTGCAACTTTCCCCCTCACCTTCCACTCAATCTACTCTCAATCTACCCCAATCTACCCCAATCTACCCCAATCTAATTTTAATCATGGAACATCCGCTGCAACAAGCTTTCTCCTCTTCTATGCTTCTTAGCTGTGCCCGTGTCCGTGTCGGGATTCAAGTGTGTGTTGCCTGTGTCCACGATAGCTAAGCTCCAGACAAGCAAGCGCTTGAATTACGGTGCTTCTTCGCCCTCGCTTCAACTATTTTAGTACACACTGCACATCTGCTAACATTTCCATCGTTTCAATGTAGCGCCTCTCAAGGTAAGCCCGCATGAAAGCTCGTGTCAAAGCTCGCGAACCCTCATCTAAGGGCGACTTGCAGCTAGCGTCTCGAAAGTCAATGGCCTGATGGCGAATCATCCCAGGAAGGTTCAGGATCCGTGCCTGCTTGTGAACCATCTAGAACGTCTGCCCGGCCGCGCGCCTGCAGCGCTACGCTATCTGCCAACTGCTGCACTCTACGTCGTTGATAGCCATCAGCGAGCCTCGGCAACCCCGGGAATTATTCTGATTCCATAGCTTTCCACATGCAGTCACAAGATCATCCCCAATCAGGAATGCAGACTGGCATCGGACCCCTTTCACTAGTGCCAGAGGTAAGATAATCGTCATGCGGCCGGAGCCGACTACACCCAACGGCGACAGTCCATCCCGAGTTCCGTATGAGTCCCGTATCCACATCGGGCCGACGTCACACTTGGATCAAAAGCGAGATTTCGCCGGGCCAGCCCTGACTCGGCGCCCCACCCAAATACTGATCGCCCACTTTTAAGTTGGTCTGCACACCTTTGGTTGGCTGGGAGGTGGCCCGGCGCATGGTCTTTATCCGGACTTCTCTCCTCCGTTCTCTACAAGTACACAACCCCCGGCGGGAAGGAGGGAGATGTCATGATGGGGTCAAATCCTTCTTCGGTCTGCTTGCGTGGGATGGGTGCGCAAGGGCCTCTGCCCCTCACCCTCCTCTTTGGAGAGAATTATATAACACTGCGGATGTTTCTATGTCCGTCCATGTTAACAGAAGCCATTCTTGCATTATACCTGACCCCCCAAAGTTTACCCCACGCACTAAATCACAATGAAGGAGGCCCAGGGAGCTTGTGCCCCAACTGCACCTGTCCTGAAGGGTAAGCGCCTTGGTCAGCGGTAATTGGTCATTGATCCTGGTACTCACACACAGCAGATACCCCAGATAAGGTATCGCAAGAGGTTGAGCGCATTGCGCAGATGTTCACCATCGATGGAGACTCTCTCCGGCGCATTACGGATCACTTCGTTCAGGAGCTTGAGAAAGGTCTGTGGTTGCTTTAACTGTATCGCGTGTCTACTTACTGACCCAGGGCAGGCCTCAGCAATGAAGACAGCGACATTGTATGAGATCGTTTCTCCTCACCATGCATCCTGCCACTAACGGTATCTAGCCTATGAACGTGACGTGGGTGATGAATCAGCCGACCGGGTACGAGACAGGCTCATATCTCACTGTGGATATGGGCGGTACGAACCTTCGCGTCTGCAACGTGACCTTGACCGAGGAAAAAGGGAAATGCGAATTGACACAGCATAAATTCAAACTCCCGAAGCACATGAGACACTGCACCGCAGACGAGCTCTGGACCTTCATCGCCGACCGCATCGAAGACTTCATTCAAGAGCAACATCTCACACCACCCGAGTCGGAGAAAGTGCCCCTAGCCTTCACGTTCTCTTACCCCGTCACGCAAGACAATATCCGACACGGCGTCCTCCAACGCTGGACAAAGGGGTGGGATATCTCAGGTGTTGAGGGACACGATGTGGTAGCACAGTTGGAGCAGGCTCTAGAGCGAAGGGTATGCGGGTCCCAATCATTGTTGTACACACCGAAGCAACCTCTCTTACTGACAGCTGAACAGAACATCCCCGTACGGGTGGTAGCGCTTGTCAACGACACGACCGGAGCACTAATTGCATCCGCCTACAAGGACCCCGACGTAAAGATTGGCAGCATTTTGGGGACTGGCTGCAACGCCGCGTACATGGAGAAAAGCGGCAACATTCCGAAGATCGCCTCCCATAACCTTCCCCCTGATCAGCTCGTCGGCATCAACACCGAATACGGCGCCTTTGACAACGGCCACAAAGTCCTCCCGCGATGCATGTTCGACCTCGAGATCGACCGCGCCTCCCCGCGACCGGGACAGCAGACCTACGAAAAGATGGTCGCAGGCTTGTACACCGGGGAACTTTTCCGACTGATTCTCGTACACCTGCACGAGACAGTGGGCTTTTTGAGTGGTTGTGATCTCCATAACCTCCGTGACATCCACGCGATGGAGTCTTCGTGTCTGTCGCGCATGGAGGAGGAGAATGCCGTTGCGGAAAGTGAAATGGCCGAGACGCGCGCCATGCTCAAGCAGGAGTTCGGGATCGAGCCCACGCTTCAGGAGCTGAAGACCTGCTGTATGCTGGCGGAGATCGTGTGCACGCGGGCGGCCCGGCTCTACGCCTGTGGCATCGCCGCCATCTGCAAGAAGGAGGGAGTCACGCGGGGGCGTGTCGGCGTGGACGGGTCGGCGTTCAGCAAGAACTACCAGTTCAAGGAGCGGGCTGCTGCGGCTTTGCGGGAGATCCTCGAGTGGCCAACGGAGGAGGAGGATTTGATCACGTTTGTTCCAGCGGAGGATGGCTCGGGGATTGGGGCTGCTTTGATCGCGGCGCTGACGGTGGAAAGCAACTAGGTTGTACGATTGATGACTGTAAACGATGTCATTCTATTTTATTTTCAGCAGTATACGTGAGCGTTATTAGCATAGCATGCAGATTTGTCTAATCAGAAGGATTATTCCAAGTGTTCACAATAAGGTCTAGCAGCCACTCAATATGCCCCGAACTCGGGCTACGTTCGTTCTATACTCTCCCCCAACCAATCTAAAGTATAAGGTAGTCTTCACTAGTAACAGCCACCTCCCTGCTTCGATGGGAAGTTCCCCAGCGTCATCTCCGTCCCTGCTGCGCTTCTTTTGACGATCTAAAGCAAAACATATGCTAGCGAAAGCTCGTTCCATTGAGGTGTTCTTTATATCAAGGACTTCGTTATATCGAGGATATCATTTATACTACGGTAGACAGACACCCATCACAACGAGGAAATATCCCATTCTAGCCGCGGTGTCCAACCTCAACTCCGCCCTGAAACTAGCCAAACCGAACTTCCAATGTCCCCACCAGTCACTTAGCACTGCTTTGCGAGTCTAGCCCCCCGCCCACACAAGGTACTCTGAAGCCAGTTCGCTTCCCGTCGGAGTCTGGTGTCGGTGGCCTACGGTCTCCAGTTCTCCGAGAATCGGCTGTCCAGCGGTAGGTACCACCCTGCCCGGCCCTGCCCGGCCCTGCCCGGCCCTGCCCTCTTCCGCATCCATTGCGAGTTTAGTTCATACACCCCGAGGCATCCAAACTGCTCGCTCCACCCCACATGAATGATAATTACTGGGTCCGGGGATAACACCTTCCAGATAGAACTGAATCCACGATAACAGGGCTATCCATTACTCCGGTCTTGGTCTCAACAAACTTAGAGAGCGAAGATAGTGCGGAGTCGCAATCACAGCCGAGGGAGTGGATATAGCAGTGATACGGCACGACTGATTATTCACAGACCGCCTAGACTATCACTGGGGGTATAAGTAGAAGTAAAAGCGCATGGGCACACGATGCGGGGAGCGGGAGCTCCAACAGTCCCAAGAACGTGATCGAGCTGAGTGGTGGGAGGTGCGCCGAGCGAAAGACATGGAAGAGACTTATCTGTATTGGACGTGTTCGATGCACGGCTTGGCCTACCTTTGCCCTACCTTTGCCATAACTAGTACGCAGTGGTGGAAGGCGATTTGAGTACATCAACAAGTTATGGATGAGATCGGACTTAGCCTGTGAAGGCCGACAGCATACTAAACTTGGAACCTTGAAGGGTACGGTTTCTCCGCATGGCGGTTCCACCCGCCGCCGCCCACGGGGGAACATGGAACATGGAACCCACGAGCAAGCCGCTGACGAGCATTGGCCTCAGTTTTTCAAGGTTTAGGTCCACGGTTCAAGCCTCGGCTACCTCTCTAGGGATGACACTATGACTAGCTCCTTGGCTGAAGATAAACCCTCGGGTTTGCATTAATTTATGACTAAGATATGTACTGTGACCCCGGCCCTCAATTCCGGCTAAATACATCCCTCGATTTAGCCTCCAGAGAGACCCTGCACGACCAAGTCAGCCTGACCGCTCGTCTTCCGCCCCAATGCAGCCGTTGCACGGGATCAGCAAGCCCTCTCCGGCAAAAGGAAGGATAATAGATTGCATGGGCTGGGGCTACCGACGCCATCCCGTGCACCGGACTGCACCGGCACCATGCAACTGCCGGCTTACGCTTCGGTAGTGTGTGGTGGCACGGGAGCGTCGTCCAGATGCACCGCCTTGGTCGTCATCTTCTCCGCGGATGCGTCCATCTCACCATGCAGCAAAGCCGTCAGACCGATGTCGCGGTCGATCTGCTGGCGGAGAGCCTCGTCTTCGGCCGCCATGCCCTCCGATCCAAACACTTCGTCCATCTCCTCGAGGGTGCGGCCTTTGGTCTCGGGGACGAAGAACAAGACGTAGAGAAATCCGATCACCGTCAGGCAGCCGAAGAAGATAAAGGTGCCATAGGCGGATCGTGCAATAAAAGGGGAGGTTGCCAAGCCGACACCGAAGTTGTTGAGCTATCAGGAATTAGCCGGGCTCTTGAAGACACAGGTAAGGATACATACCCAGTTGCTGCTACCGCCGAGACTGACTCCCTTGGCACGCATGCTGAGCGGGAAGACCTCCGATACCACAATCCAAGCACAGGGACCTAGTTAGCTGTTAGTTTTGCGCTCATTGTATCAGAGACTCAAACATACCCCATGAATAGGCAAAATTAATGATGAAAATCCACACAAATGCTACGGTCGCCCAGCCCGCACTCCGGTGGCTTCCAAACTCGCCTTGGTACGTAGCGATAAGTCCGGCACAGATGAAGTGGCAGATCGCCATGCCTGCAGCACCAGCCAACAGAATCTTCTTGCGACCTATGTTGTCCACCCAAAGCACTGCAGGAATGGTGAACACAAATTCGAAAATACCAGCCACGCCAGTTGCGAGGAGGTTGGTAGTGTTACCGCCGAGTTCGAGTTCTTTGAAGATCTGAACCACGCGGTTAGTTATATCATTTCCCATCCTGAGCGAAAAATACTTGCCTGGGGCGCGAAGTAGTTAATCGCGTTGATGCCGTTCCATTGTTGGAATGTCATCACAAGACACTAGATAACAATCAGCTGCGCTCCTGGTATGCAAGGGGTCAACCGTACTGCAACGGTGGTCCGCTTGAAGAGTGACTTGTCCGTGACCAACGAGGCATAATCTTTCACACCAATCATAAAGCGACTCTTGAACGAATCATCCTGGTACTGAGGGTACTTTCTCCTCGAGGTCTCTTGCTCGAACATCTTCAGGGACTTGATTTCGAGGTACTCAATGCGGACGAGAATGTCATCGGTTGAGGCATCGCGCAAGCGGGCCAAGGTGCTGAGACACTCCTCCTCGCGGCCAGTATTCATAAGGTGTCGTGGTGACTGAGGCATGAAGAAGACCATGCCGAACGCTAAGATAATGGCCGGCAAGACTTGGATGCAGACCGGCACCTCCCAGGCCGCTTTAGACTGGCCATCACCGGTGCCACCAATGTAATTGGTACCATAGCAGATCTGGTCTTGTCATTAGCGCTAGAGACCAATGATGATAGAGTATGGCTTGCACCTACCCAGAAGCTGACCATGATACCGAAGGTGATCGACAGTTGCTGCACAGCGACAAGAGAGCCGCGAATTTCGGGGGGTGCCTACACAAGTCAGTCACGAGAAGCAAGCAAGCCTTGGCCTAATTATCATGATTGGCGTAAACTTACCAGTTCAGCATTGTACAGTGGCACAATCATACTCAGACTACCCACTCCCAGACCGGTCACAAAGCGGCCACCGAACACGTAGCTTGGGTCTTTGGTGCATGCCTGCACAATGACACCGGCACAAAACACAATCACAGCCACAACCACCGTAAGCCGACGGCCCAGCGAGTCCGCGAGATATCCGTTAGCCAGAGTACCGACCCAGGCACCCAATTCCAAAATCGACGTAAGCATGCCTTGAGCAGTACCGGTCTGTTCTGCATAGTGTTGGGTCTATACCCGTCAGAACGTGTCACGCCATGGGTATCAATCATAGTTGGTGCGTACTGCGAGAATGAAAGAGTTCATCGTAAGAATACCCGAGAACATGCCCTGGTTATCTGAGAACAATGTAAGCATCTCCACAACCGATTCCATTCGAAGCACCTACAGCCATAGACGAAACCACCAAGCGACGCAAATAATGCAATCGAAAAGGTCTTCTTGCTGCTGAGCAGGCCGCGCCATCCGACGCGGTTGCCCGCGAGCTCAGCGCGCTTGCCTGAGATAGCCTCAGCGCCCACACCAACAGCCATCGCGTCTTAGTATGTGGTCGTGAAGTGAGGGCTGTCTATTGCGATGAGAAATAAAGTCAAGACAGACAGCACGAAGACGCCAAATACCCCCGGATATGGTATGAGGAGAAGCTGGGTGATCGGCAAGCGGGGAAGAGAGGGGGCGTGGGCTTTATAAATTGATCTGCGAGCCCGTACACTACATGGGAAGTCATGTCTTTCATAATCATGCCTGTTTCGTTGTCTGTATCTTCCCTGCTAATACGTTGCCCGTAAGCATATGCTTCTGGATAGATGCAGCGTCACCGCATGTCATGCGATTCCCTCGTGGCCGGGTATATCGAGGCTTGATTGGGCCCAGCATTTAGCCTGACTTTCGGTTGGGTCTCGACGGTTGTCTCCGACTGCCACTCGAAACAAGGCATCTGCAGTTCATTTCCTAATCCGTAGGCGTTGGCAGACCCCATGGGGGTGTTTGTGTCTGGTTCTCGGCCTAACCCCTGACAGCCGGGATAGCCGGGAGCGACTTCATCCGCCTGCGTCTGGGGTCAAGCTTTTCGTATAGGACAGGGTTTCAACAAGCTCAAGCCTTCAGGCTTATTCGGCGGCGTGGCAGTTGCAATTAGGCCTCAGAGGAATTTTGGCGGCTAATGGAGGCAGGAAAGGAGAGATAGAATGTCTAGGCGGGGATTCTCGCTGGCTAGGTTGGGGAGAGCAAAGGAGGGGAAATGCGGAGCAGCTAAACTCGGACGTCAATCGCATTTAGCCGAAAATGCCCAGTTGGACAGTCATCAGCCCACAGATTTCGGCCCCAGTTTCTGAGCTATAGTGATTAGTGAAGGGCCTCCATCAAATCTATTGCATTCATGATCGGCTTCTGGTTCTCCGCATTATGATCTGGTAGAACAGAGGCGACAGCACGTGGTGTATCTGGCACATGGTGCCGGTCTGCCACAAGCGCATAGTCTCACGTCTCGAATCGTTCGCAACCGGTCCATTGACTCATGACCAGAGAATTTCCGCAGCTTCCGGGCTTACGAGTGAAGGCCAAGACCTGTTCGGGACGAGAATTAGGCTGTGTGCGTGCCGTGCCTGTGAAGCGCGTCCATTGCGCATGCCGAGTCTTGCGGCGCGGTGTTGGGGCCGCCATATCCGATCGGCTCTATCGCAGACTCATCCAGAACGTTCTCTCGGTCGGATTGCTCGATGACGCCATTGGTTTGTGTCTGATGGCTCGGGGATGGCAAGCCCGGTTGATGGTGTGGCTGTGTCTGTTGTAGATTGCGTACTTGTAGATGGAAAAGAGCGAGCGGAAAGCCTAGC